TTATTAACGCCATCTATCAATTGACATAAATCACTATTCATCAATAATATATTTCTGTATGTACGCAAAATAATTTACATATTATAATCAATATATCAGTTAACCGTTCTATATTTTTATTTTACGTCTCATTGGTCAAACAGAATTTACTACTCAAGATCCAATATATCTATTCCATCTAAAATACAAAAGTTTGTCATTAGACAATTAAAAACTGTTCTCTATATTCTTATAAATTTTTGTAGATCTGTACATATAATGGATGCTCTTGAAGTCGAGCATTTATGTAGTCAATTATATGGTGGTGGAGGTAATAGTGATCAATTACGTACAGTATCTCAACGTCTTGAAACATTTGCTAGTCAACCAAATTGTCTCTCACAATGTCGAGTATTATTAGATCGTGCTGTAGCTCCATATACACAATTTTTTGGTGCTACAACATTAATAAAATATTTTAATCGTACATCAAATCAACCAGTAGCATCATTTACTGAACGATTCGAATTACGTACATATATTCTTGAATATTTATATAAACATAATCGTTCACTTGCTCCATTTGTACTTGCTGAATTAGTTAAATTATATGCACGTTTAACGAAAAATTCTTGGTTTGATTTAAGCCCAAATACAACCAATTTGAATAATGAAACTTATCCATTTCAAACATTTACAGATGATTTACTTAAATTTCAAGTTGATCCACCACATTTTTCTGTTGCTTTACAATTATTAATTGCTATTCTATCAGAAATGAGTGTACCTAATGATGAAGAAACATCAGCTAGAGCATTTAGTAAACATCGAAAAATATGTATATCATTTCGTGATACCAAATTACTTGATATTTATTTATTTGCTTGTCAATATCTACGTGATGTTATTGTTAATCAAAAAAAAGCATTAGGTTTATCAACTGAATTTAATACATATCCAAAAACAATTACAAGTGTACAATTACAAGCAGATTATTATTTAGTTGTTGAAAAACTTCTTTCATTAGGATTAGCTTGTTTATCATATGATTTTCTAGGTATATTTTTGTTCTAAAAATATGTATTTTTAAAAAATGAATTTTCTATTAGGAACCGGTTCAAGTATTCATGATGTTGATATATCAGATGAAAATCAAACATTACAAGTTCCACTTGCTTGGCATGATCATGTTGTTGATGGAAGTTTTTATCAATTATTTTTTTCTTATTATTTTCTTTTTTCGAATACATCACTTGTTCCAATAGCAATATCATGTTTAGTTCAATTATCAAGTGTAAGACGATCATTATTAAATACAAATGAACGTCTTGCTGTTCTTAATCATATGACATTTGGTAAGTTGATAAAAATTTTGTCACAAGGCTGAAAAAAACACTTTCTTGTTACAGGTATTCGATCAGTTCTCGAACAAGCAGCTGGTCTTCTAGCTGATGAAAAATCTCTACATGAATTTTGTCGTTTAATTGCTCGATTAAAATCTAATACACAATTACATGAATTAATTCGTATTGATAATTATCCATTATTTATCGAAACATTATTTCGTTTTACAACAGACCATTTATTAAATGTTCATCGTCATCAATATCATTTATCCCCTAATACACTTCATTATATATTATCATTTTGGTCAAAAATAGTTGCATTTTTATCTCATAGCTCAAAATTATCTGAATCATCATCATCAAATGATTCATCAACATCTCATTTATTAGATATATATGTACCACAAATTGTTTGTTATTATGTGCAATCACGTTTAGATGCATTAAATAATGATGATGTACTTTATGTAGAATTATTTGATAATGATCAAACAATATTACAACAACAATTAGAAATGATTAGTATTATGTCAAGATTAGATTATAATAAAACATGTGCATTACTATGTACATGTTTTGATGATCTTGCTCAACAATATCAACAGGTAAATGTAATGAATTATATATTCTCTTCCTCGTAGAGAAGAGTACTGTACACATAAATTGTTCATTTGCTTGCTTGTGTGTCCGCAGGGTCAAAAAAACATCGAAGATCAATTTTTCAGAAAAGACATTTCTAGAGATATTTCGATGCAGTGACTTCGAATCTAATGTTAGTTTTTCAGAATTCTTCAAGAAAAAGTTTGTTTTAGACAAAGAACCAATTTTTTTGATATAAAATTTGACGAAAGGGTTTTTGAGGTTGGGGAACACGAATCTGATGTTAGTGTTTGCAAGTTATATAAGCAAAAGGTCTTGTAGCATTGGAGAACACCATTTCTACGAGAAAGAGCTAAGCGAGTTCTTAGACGAGCGTTACTTGTATATATATATATGTGGAATTTGTTTTGTTTTTTGTATAGGCAACAAATTCTGAAACAGTTGAAAGACGTTTTACATTTTTAATTTATGTTCTTGGATGTGTTATTGGTGCACGTGGAATAACATTAACATCATTATCATTACCAACCGATGATCAAGATTTATTTGATGGTGAATTAGTTGTACGTGTTTTACAATTAATGACTTATATACAACAAAAAACAGCTGGTGAAACACAAAATAATAATAATAAAAATTCTATAAATACAGCAATAACAACATCAACAGATAAAATTGGTTCGACACCGTATTCTGAACGACTTGAATTAGCTGTACTGTTCTTTTTTGAACAATTTCGAAGACAATATATTGGAGATCATGGAAGATCAAATAAAATTTATCAAGTACTCTTTAAACATCTTGGTAATGTCTATTTATTATCTCATGAATAGAATGTAGAATGATTATTTTAGGTATTGCCGATGAAGAACAATTATTATCAATATTTATTAAGAAACTTTTTACAAATTTACAATATTCAACAATAACTGATAAATTAATTGAACGTACTGTTGGATGTTTTAGTGATCTTTCACAAGGTTATCAAAGTGTACGTAAATTAGTTAAACTTGATCCAATACAATATTTTATTAATAATCATACACAAGATTTATTTCCATTTCTTCATCATACATTATCAGTTAAACGTTCAAATAATAGTAATATTAGTGTTAGTAGTTGGTCACGTCTTCGAACAACATTCTATGCTGCTGTTGGACGAATGTTAATGCATGAATTTCGTTATGATGAAGATGATGATGATCGTGTTGAAGCATTTATGGCACCATTTACAAGTCAATGTAATCGATTAGTACAAATATTTAAAGACTTTCCTGATTTTACATCGCTCAATGCTGGACAATTTGCAGCAATGGGTCAATTTACGTAAGAAATGATCAAAAAATTGATATAAAATGAAATTTATTTTGTTGTTTTAGTCCAACATTAGCATCTCTCGATGAAATTCAATCTCTTGTTATTGGTATTGTTCGTGATCTTCGTGGTTTATGTAGTGCTTTTGTTTCTAAGCAAGCTTATTCATCTTTATTTGAATGGCTTTATCCATCATATTTACCGTTATTTCTAAAAGCTCTTTATGTATTCTATGATCGTGCAGATGTTTACAATCCTTTATTAAAATTTTTTCATGAATTAACATTGAATCGTCGGGAACGTTTAGCATTTGATTCAACAAAACCAAGTGCTTATTTATTATTTCGTGAAACATCGAATGTACTTTATATATTTCAAACAAAAACAATCGTACATGTTAATAACACAGTTCCTGAAGCTGATGGAACATTATTTTATAAATCTAAACTTAAACCAATTATAACATGTTTAAGAATAATTCGTGCATGTCTAATTGGTAGGAATTCATTTTTTTCTCTCTCGCTTAGAAACTCGAGGAATAAGATTCGTCCATTTATTTTTAGGTAATTATGTTAATTTTGGTGTATTTCATCTTTATTCTGATCCATGTTTTGATAATTGTTTACAAGTATTTCTATCGATATTAACATCTGTTAAACAAAAAGATTTATTATCATATCCAAAATTAACTTTATCATATTTTACAATGATTGAAACTTTATCACTTGTACAAATTGATTTTTTAGCTAATTTAAATATACCATTATTTGGTTACGTACTTGAAACAATAAGTGAAGGATTTTTATCACCTGAACAAACTATACAAAATTCATGTTGTATTTTTTTGGATACTTTTTTATCATATGTTTTTCGATCTGTTAAAAAAAATGCCGCACCAACTAATTTAATGGCTAATGTTAGTGAATATGGAAATTTATTTCGACAGATACTTGTAAATTTATTGAATGGAATTATATATGCTGAATGCAAGTAAGATATATGCCAGATTTAGAATTTTAGTGAATAGTAGATTATACTGAAGATGAAACAGACGGAAATTAATTGTGCACTAGACTATTTTCAACCTTCTAGCTAAAGAGATCAATCCAATTTAATTCAAAGAATGTCGAAAATAAAGAATAGAAGTGATGGTGAATATGTAAGATTAAGGATTTGTATTCTAATTTATTTTGATTTCATCAGTGAAATTTGCTACAGTCTTCTCTTAGTTTTATAAAGCAAACGCAGGGAAATATTCATATTCGATTGAAAGATTAAAGATCATAGACTATTAAAATCATCCTACAGTTAGTTTGCGTTAAGTTAATTATTTATAAATTTTATGTCGAAGTTCGATAGTTACTATTTCTGTTCAGTATCCTAATTGATACAGGATATATTTAGAATGAATTATTACAGAAAACGACAACATAGTACTATTTTAATAGTAGGTGACGAAGTACAACTATGTTTTTCTTTCTTTACTAATCTTATTCTCGTGTTATTTTCTAATTCTTTACTTTGTTTAGAAACATCTATGCGGTATCAAAACCTCTTCTTGGTCTAATATTATTGAACGAAAATCAATTTTTCACTGAAATTAAACAACAGTTACTGTACGGTCATACTCAAGCAAAACAAGCTGTTCTATCTACAGCATTAGATAAATTAATGACGGGTATTGATCGTACACTAACACAAGTAAATAAAGAACATTTCACACAAAATATAACACAATTTCGAAATGACATTCAAGATTCTTTACGTGGTATGATGATTAATAATACTGATTTATCATCATCTATATCATCTATTCCACTTTCATCTTTATTTTTATCTTCAGCATCAGCCATAGCAGCAAACGTTCCAGTTACAATAGCTATTTCAACATTGATTCCATCATCTTCATCTACAGCACCTGTGGAAGAATTAATGACCCTGTGAAAACAATCAGTTCTTTCTTTCTTTCTTTTTTTTGTAATTTAGTTCATATACATATTTTTTTATAAACTTGAAGAAGAAGAAAAAATTCCAGAGCGCCATATCTATCTATCTATCTATCTATCTTTTTTCATTTTTTGATAATTTTTTTTGTTGCTGTTGAAGATGTATTCGATTCGGCGTGATACTAATAACTCATATTATTATTCACAATATTGGACAATGAATTGTCAACAACAACATCAACAAGTTATATTTAATAGTCGTCAGATGATTAAAACAAAACACCAATATTTTTGGTCAACAAAATTTTATAATAATACTAACAAAGATAGTTATATTCAACATTATCAATTTCAAAATAATAGTGTTAGATCAACAGATACTCATGATTTATCATTGCCTGTTTATCGAGCACCATGCACATTTCAAAATTCATTAGTAACAAATAATAAAGGTAAGAACGATTCCTTAAATAATCATCGTTTTACAAAGCAAGTCTACAAGATTTTGAGTGAATATTTAGATGGTTATTCATGTGGAGTATTTCGTCGTTCACCTCTTTCATCAACGTCCTCATCGTGTGTACCGGATGTATATTCACCAGGTTCAAGATCAAGTGGTAATTGTTCACCACCTCCGCCATCATCAAATTTACCACCGCCACCGTCTGAATGGCTTCATTAAAAAGTCTCTTTTTTAGTCATTTATCAAACAAATCTGTCTGATATAATCGTTGTTTTTTTCTTCTTTTTTTTCTGGTCATATTTATTTAAACAAAGAATACTCATTCAACGACAAAAATATCCTATGGCTCATGATCAAATCTAAAAAACAAGGGGGGAATATTTTTTTGTTTTCCATTTTGACAAATAAAAGCTGTTTGTAACTTTTTCTTTTTCTTTTTTCCTTCTCTATCGAATCTATCCATTGTATGTTATTATTATTATTTGATTATACTTGTTTTTTTTTCTGTGAGTTTCGAATTCTTTATTTTTGTTTTTTCTTCTGTTTCGTTTCTCACCTTTTTTTTTTGTCTTTCTTAGTTTTCTCATAAAGATTTCTTTTTTTGACATTTATCTATGTTACCTCTATCTACAAATGATGTAATGCATCTGTGTTTATTTGAGCTTACTTACATATGTTTATCTATTTTGAAGAACAGTTTATTTTTGTCGTGTAACAAGTGTCATAACATATATTTATGAACGAAAAAGGAGAATGATGGTAATGATAAATATGTTTATTTTTTTTTTGTCGGAAAATAAAACTATAGACTATCTCAGAATCCGAGCAATAAATAAACTTATTATTATGAAATCTACTTTAAACGATAACAAATATTCAAATTTGATTTATAGATATACAGATCTGTTTTTTTTAATTATATACTTTTGATAGAAAAATAATGCAGTAATGACTTCAATGCTTCGTAAACTTTTTCCTCAACAGACTACTTTATCAACAACAATAACATGGTTTCGATCACTTTCAGTTACACCAGTCTATCATGGTCGACCACCACCAGAAGTTTTTACTGGTAGTAATTGGCAACCACCAGATACAATTCGTACCGATCATCATCCTGAACCAATTGGTGTACCTGATGATTGGGATAAATATAACCGTGTTGTTTATCCACCAGCAGCGCCTGGAGAAATACAACGAACAGGGGTAAATATTTATAGAATTACTTTTTTTTTATTCGTCGTTCTTTAGTATGTTCACCATTGTCGAACGTATATTCGAGGAAATATCAAGAAATATTGGTTTCTTGCTCAAATGGTAAAATTCTCGAATAACAAAAGAAAGTTTTAAATATATAATTTTTTATTTAAAGATTCGTGGTATGAGTATTGATGAAGCTATTAAACAATTATCTTTTCATAAACTACCAACAGCAATTAAAATGCGAGAAGTAAAACAAGAAATTAATTAATATTTAATTTTTTTCTTTCTTTTCATAGACATTAATCGAAGCACAAGAAATGGCTGTTAAAGAACATAATATTGAGTATAAATCAAATTTATGGGTGTGTAAGTATTATGAACAATAAAACTGATATAGATGTTCTAGAAAATATTTTTATTTCTAGCTCAATCATTTACTAAACGAGCTTTAATTGTTAAAGGTTTACGTCGTCGACCAAAATATAATTATACTGCTCTTCATTATCGTTATTTTCATTATATGGTTCGTCTTGAAGAAGGACCAGCACCTGGAAAAGAAGGTCTTTATGGACCTAAATATCCGGAATTAAATGTTCGTCTCGAGAAACGATTAGAACATTTGAATAATCGAAAATTATTAGGCACTATTGCATGAAAATTGTTTTTTGTTTTTGTTAATATATAAACGATTATTAGGATAGACGAAGAACATGATGAGAAAAACAAAACACATTTAATTCTTCATTTTTGTTTTTGTCTTAGATGAATCTATGTTTTAAAAATGATATTTCACCGTTTAACACTATTATCATCATTTGTTCATCGTTCATCAACGTTTCTTACTCGTTCTCCTCAATGTCAATTATTTAAACTAAATCCTAATCGTCAATTTTCTCTAACACCAATTCGTTCACAACGAGGTGATCGTCCGCCAATATCAACTAAAAATGCACCGAAAAGGCCTAAAGTGAAATTAACATTCAGTGATCTTAGAAGACTTTTTAATTTAGCACAACATGAAAAAGGTCGAATTGGTTGTGCAATTGCTCTTTTACTTCTATCAAGTGGTGTTACAATGTCTGTACCATATTTTCTTGGAAAAATTATTGATATGTTACAAACATATAAACATGATGAACTTCGTCAACGTTTAAAACAAATGACATTTGTTTTAGTTGGAATATTTGCTGTAGGTGCATTAGCTAATTTTGGACGTGTTTATTTAATTTTAACAACATCACAACGTATTATAAAACGTATACGTGAACAATTATTTAATGGTATACTTCGAAAAGAAATGGCATTTTTTGATAAACAAAAAACAGGTGAATTAGTTAATCGTCTATCATCTGATACTGAAGTTATGTCAAATGCTGTAACACAAAATATATCCGATGGTCTTCGAGCATTAACACAGTCGATAGCAGGAGTTGGTTTAATGTTTTATATAAGTCCACAATTAGCATTAGTTGGTTTAACAACAGTACCTCCATTAGCTGTTGGTGCTATACTTTTCGGAAGATATATTAAACGATTATCAAGTAAAGTACAAGATACACTTGCTCAAGCAACATCTGTTGCAGAAGAACGTTTTTCAAATATTCGAACAGGTAAATTTATTGAATATAAAACTAAAGAAATAAAAATCATATTGATGTTTAGTAAAAGCATTTTCTAAAGAAGAACAAGAAATAAAATTATATAATCAACGTATTGGTGATGTTTTACAACTAAAATATAAAGAATCATTAGCTTACGGTCTATTTTTTGGAATGACTGGTCTATCCGGTAATTTAATTGTATTAAGTGTTTTTTATTTTGGTGGTATATCAATGAGTGAAGAATCATTAACAATTGGAGATTTATCAAGTTTTTTATTATATGCATTTTGGGTTAGAAATTAAATATTATTATATTTTTCCAGAAAAAATTTATTCTAGGTTGGTGTGTCTATATCTGGTATATTCTCATTTCATCTTGAATTAATGAAAGGCGTAGGAGCAAGGTTGAAAATTAATAATTTTAAAAAATCGTCAATTTTGATCGTTTTGTTTTCTTTTTAGTCAAGCAGTATGGTCTATTTTAAACGAAAATTATAATGAAAAAATAGCACTCTCTGGTCAAAAACAACGTACAATTCATGGAGATCCATTAACATCAGCATTAATGCTTCGCGATATAACATTTGATTCAATATCATTTCGTTATCCAACTCGTCAAGATGCACTTGTTCTTGATAATTTAACACTTCGTGTACCTGGTGGTAAAGTATTAGCCATATGTGGTAGTTCCGGTTCAGGAAAATCAACATTAGCTCAATTATTACTTCGATTTTATGAACCACAATCAGGACAAATAACTATAGGAAATATTCCTATAAATGATATGCCACTTCAATGGCTTCGTACAAATATTGGAACAGTACCACAAGAACCAGTTCTATTTTCATCATCTATTTATGATAATATTTCATATGGATATCCAAGTGAAATAGAAAATGCACAAGAAATTGTTCTAAAAGCAAAAGTAATAGAAGCTGCTAATACAGCGAATGCTAGTGGATTTATTGAACAATTACCTGACAAATATGATACAAAAGTTGGAGAAAGAGGAACAATGCTTTCTGGTGGACAAAAACAACGTGTTGCTCTAGGTCGAGCAATTTTACGTGATCCAAGTATTCTTGTACTTGTACGTATTATATCCCAGTTTTGTTTCAATTATAAACTTTAATTCTTTCAAGGATGAAGCAACATCAGCACTTGATACACAATCTGAATATTTAGTTCAAGAAGCACTGGAAAAAATTATGGTTAATAGAACAGTTATTATCATAGCACATCGTTTATCAACAATTATAAAAGCTGATCAAATAGCTGTACTTGATAAAGGTCGTATTGGTGAACAGGGTACATATGCTCAATTGATGAACATCGAAAATGGAATCTTTAGAAAATTAGTTGCTACACAAACAATGGTTGATGTAGATCTGGATGGATAGAACTATTTTTCCGTTTCTTTTTTTCTATACAAAAGATATTTCATTTATTTGTTGTTTTTTTTAGATTTATTTATTTTTTCATTTCTTATGTCTTCACTAACAGAAGTAAGTATATCAATGAAAGGAATCTGATTTTACTGTTATTTCTACGAATAGCTTGGTGGTGATAAACAAACAATTGAAGGATCATTAAATACAATACATAGTCGTTTAAAATGTTATACAAATGATCAGATAACTATCTTAGATGATATTATGTTAGTCATTTTTATTTTAAGAAAATATTTATTAATATAAATTGATTTGTTTTTATGAATATAGATCGATAATTGAATCGTATTATAAAACAGAAAAACATACACATGAGGTAATTATATCACTGATAGAGAATAAGATTTGCTATGTTTGCACATATATATATATGACTGCTTTCATAAATGACTATTATTATTATAGAGAATGCACGGAAGTTTACAAAAATCACTTGATCATACACAAAGTTTATCCTATCTTGGAACAAGGTATTCTAAAAATTAAGCCATAACATAGTATCTTTGCTTTACTATTATTTTCGAAATATCCTTGATTTGTTTGATTTTTATATTTTAATTTATTGATATCGTTATTTTAGTTTTATATTTTTTATTTTTCAGCGTAATCGGTTCAAGTTGGACAACAGCATTGAAAGAATTAGCAGAACATTATGCGCAACGAGAAGCATCATATCCAGTACTAAGACAAGTTATATTAGAGAATTTAAAAACAATAAAAAATGGAAAAGTCGATGAACATAATAAAGTAGAAATATATCTTTTTTTAATCTTATTGATATATTGACGGAAAAAAACAGGTTTTGCTATATGATGAAGAAATAATTAAAGAAATGGCTGATATTGAACGTCGTACAATGAAAGCAAAACGTGCATATGATGAAGCATTTGAACGTTTACGACAATATCTTAATCCAGTCAAAGAAAAAGAAAGTAGTATTAAACGACTACAGTCAAAGATTTCACCAAAAGTATAAATAATAATCGAATAAAAAGAACATGAGTGAGAGATTCCTTTTTTTATATTTTAGAATGAATTAGAACGATTGGAAACTGCTGTTGTTGATACACGAAATATGTATATTCTGTATGTTAATCAAATGAATTATGCATTGAAATTTTACATAGAACAATTTATTGTCGATCTTGATAAAGTAAAACATAGAAGTTACAAATAAATTTTTTTTCTATTTCGTTTTCTATTCAGTTACTTGTCTGTGATCTTTTTCCACAAATAGAAAAAACACTTGAAGATCTTGTTTATAGTGAATACAAACGTCTTCGTGATACACTTCAACGTGCAATTCATCAAGCAGTCGAAGTAACATTCTTGTAAAATAAAGATTCAATAATCGATTCTTTTTTTATGATTGATAGGATGGAGATGAACAAAAAAGACGGTTATTACCTAAAACATTCCAGAATTATAATTTAGTTCTTCCAACTGATCAAGTAAAAATAATGATATTTCAATTACCTTGATTGTAAATATTTTTCAGAGTGATCAAATAAATACTGATGAGAAACATCTATCACAACTTGCATCAACATATGCTTCGGCTACAAATGATGTACGTGATGCCGATCAACAAATACAATTAGCTTTAGATAATTCAGTACTTAATGCACCACTGAATAAAGTATGTCGAAAGAAATTTTCTATTCATAATTACTTTATTTTAATTAGGATTCGAGAATGGATTCAAGTAAAATAAAACTTAAACGAATGGAGGTTAGATAGAAATCTTTATATTTTTCGACTGATTTATATAATTTTTTTTTATTCTAGATGCGAAAATCAATGGCTTCATTTATTCTTGATACGTTAGGTAAAAATTCATATAAAAGAAAGAAATATATATGTATAAATTGAAATCTATTTAGAAAAATTAGTACCGAATATTAAAACACTACAAACACCAACTCGTAGTTCATCAAAATTGATCAATGGTCTCAAACCATTCATATCAAGTTCAAAATCGGTTAGTATTACAAATAAATTTCGATTTCATGTTCTGAATCTAATATTTATTTATCTAGGAATCTAGTTCACCAAGTATTATTAATTCAATAGTTGACACAACAACAACGTCAATTAGTCTTTCTGAAGTATATTATTTTCTATAATCATTTCATTTTTTTATTTTAATGAAATATTTTAAGTTTCAAACTTCACAAGCAAATGTCGGTACAACATCAATGTTTCCATGTCAAGCAGTTGTCTTATATGATTTTGATGGTGCAAATGAAGGTGAAATATCAGTACGAAAAGATGATAAAATATTTATTGAATCGAAACCAGAATATGAAGGTTGGCTTGTTGCTAAAGGACGTGATGGATATGGTCTTGTACCAGAAACATACGTTCAATTATTATCATCAATGGCAACTCCCATTGATCAAGGTTTGTCTCTTATTTTCATCTCTTTATTTCAATCATCTATCTTTCTAGGATCAATTAAAAATCATGGAAATATGACCGATAATTCATTGGAAAAGAAAAAGAAACAATTGAACAATAGTAATTCTATTCCGTCTACACCTGGAGCCGTCGATGATGAAGCAGACTATTTTTCAGACGATGAATAATATGCATATCTTTTATTTTAATTTTTTTTATTCTATCCCGTCCGTCAAGAATGTGAAGAATGTATAACAAAAATAATAAAAAATGATTTTCTTTTTTATCCTTGATTACAGTCACGTATTCATATTCAGATATATATATATATACATGTGTAAATTAAGAAAAGATAAGATTAGAAACAAATATACATTACATATTGAGTTTGAAATATGAACGGACATACAGATGATAGATCATTACCAAAAGGTAAACCATTTGATGAATATCAACCACCAAATTGGGATGAATTATTCATGCTTAAAGTTTATTTAACTGGTGAGATAAATACAAGAATTGATTGATGGATGATAATAATGAAATTTTATTCTAGCACAAAAATCAAAAGATCCTCGAACTAAAATAGGTGCTGTACTTGTACGTGATAGACGTGATCTTACTTCAGGTTTTAATGGCATACCGGAAGGTAAATAAACAATTGAAAATTATTATTTTTGAAAAGACTTTTTTTGTTGTTGTTAGGAGTGAAAGATTTACCATCTCGATTTGAACGACCAATTAAATATTCATATTTTGAACATGCTGAACGAAATGCAATTTTTACAGCTGCTCGACATGGAATAAGAACTGAAGGTGCAACGTTATATGTACAAGAAATGCCTTGTGTAGATTGTGCTCGGTAAGATTTTATTTTAATTCTTAATAAATTCAAATTTCTTTATATCTTTTAGTGCAATTATTCAAAGTGGCATTAAGAAAATTTATGTTCATGAACAGTTTTATAAATTAAGTTCATCTATTAGACGTGCTCAATGGCATGGTCATGATGAAATAACCATGCAAATGTTTGATGAAGCTAAAGTCGAATTAGTTATGTTGGATTTACCTAATTTAAGAGTTGATGCATATCTTGATGGACTTGTTTATCATTTTGGTTGTTAAAAGTGTTATTTTTCTTTTTGATCAATAAAGTCAAATGAAATAGTTCGAATTTTTTGATCATCTAACAATCATAGATGTAAGAAAAAGCAACACGTAATTGATTATGGAGTGTACAATAAAATCTAAGAATCAAAAATGGATTTAATTACGTTAGGCCTGATGAATAGAAGTAATATATATGTTGCTATCGTCTTATTTTATTGATATGTTTTTGTGTGTATAAATATTCACTAATTCAATTAACAATCTATTTATATGTACTAGAAGTATTAATGGTGTACTTAATAAACTCTTCTATTTGAACTCTACTTGACGTTGATGAGTTAAAACACAACAGGGTTATAGAAAAGTGAATTGGTAGTACTTAATTGGAACAAAACGATGGCATTCTCACGTTGAATAGAAATGGCTCTTGATATTTCTATTAATAAATCATCGTCTAACATAAAAGAAACCATCTGCAATCAACCACATGTCAGACATTATAGTCAAACGTCAATTTCCTATCGATTACACTCGTTGATAACATATTATTATTAGATTATACAAAAATATAAATTTTTATTTAGTAAATTATTTTCATATATAAAAAAATATTTGATTATCTTTTATTTAGGCTAGATTTGTTCATGTTTTCATTGAAAGATTATGCCATCGCATTAGCAGCTGCTTCTTCTTTCAAAGCACGATTTTGTAATTTAACCAAAATAGGATTATTTAATTTTGTATTAAATGTACCACGAAGAACAGTATCTTGTAAAAGTGGTGATAACTTAATAATAATAATAAAATAGAATATTTAATTTAGATTCATTTCTTTTTGTTACTTACTTCATAATCAGCTGGACCAGGTAATTGAGGAATTTCATCACGAAAACGTGTATCACGTACAGGTGCATAACCATGTGGACGTGATGTAATAGAACCTTCATACGCACCAGGTCCAGGATTGTCAGTAGTCATATCACTAACAAATGTTCGTTTAGCAGCACTTAAAAATTGACTTTGTCGTTGACGTGCAACTTTTGAACGTGGTGATTTTCGATGTTGTGTTATTAGTGATTGATAAGCACTTGGAACATCATATGCTGCTGGACCAGGAATATCCTTCAAAGGAAATATAATCATGTTATACAGAAAACAAAGATCTTTTTCTTTCTCGATATAATTTACTTCAATAACAAGATCACGACTAGTATTAGAAATAAAATTAGCCGTTGGTTGTTCATATTTTGGTTTAGACGGTTGAGTTTTCACATCATACGTACTTGGTCCTATTTGTTTTATATAGATAAAATAGATTTTCATGAATTAGAAAGAATTTTACCTGGTCTATTAGTTTCATCTTTAGGTAATATATTAAATCGGCGTACTGCAGCTACATTAAACGGTGGCTTTTTTCCATGATCCATAGCTACTCGTCGTGTGTTTTCATCAGTAAAAGTAGGAATATGATATTGAGCAGGACCTGGCAAACTTCTTGATCTATAATTTGTTGAAACAAAACGAGCTGTTGTTTGATTAAATGGTACTCGTTTAATACTTGTTGGTTTTGTTTGACTACTATTGAATATTGAAAGAAATTTATCATCATAAGCTCCTGGACCAGGTACTGCAGTTGCAAAATTATTAAAACGCTATAGAATAATAAATGATACTTTTAATTATCTATAGAAATAAATGATTTATATATACTTGTGTTTGAGAACCAAATGGTGGTCGCTCAATGTCAAGTCCTAATATATCAGACTTTGATTGTTCAAAATCAAGTTCACGTTTTATTGAATATTGACCAGGTCCAGGAATATCCTAAAATTTGGAATATAATTCAAAACAGTAGTATTATATTATTTATAAGTGTACATCTTTCGCTGCTGTTTTAAGTAAACTATCAGGATATCGTGGTACTTGTAATTCAGATCGTTTTTCAATTGGTTTAGCATTGATATGATGAATTTCAAGTTTGATTGGATCATGTACATCGTATTCACCGGGACCAGGACCTGGTTTAGCCGCAAAATCAGTACGTTTACTAGAATATTTACCAAAATGAACACCTTGGTAAAGTTTCGTTGGATCATTTTCTACCTTCAAATAAATAATAATGAATAAATAGAATAAGTATAGACATTTACTGTTGTATTAGAAAAATCTTGATCTATATCTTGATCTAGAAAAACTGGCTGATGTGGGACAAGATTTCCATCTTCATCTTGTTCAAACCCATATGAATATTTTGGATCAGGAATTGAAGGCGGTAATGATTTACGATTAATTTTAAGTACATGTTGACGTTGATGCTATGGGAAAAGAAAAAGAAATGTACGTAATAAATGTCGGATGTTATTATAATTATTTTGAGAATGACATACTTTGACAATATCAGGAATAGGCAAACGAGGTGACTGATTTGCATGAAGTTCATAATAGCCTGGTCCTAAAAATACTTTTTTTCATGATGAATGTATTTCTAGTAATCGAATATACCTGGTGTTTCAGTAGGAGGTTTTTCATTAAAACGATTTGCTCTATTTGCTAATGTACTAGCTCCCTGAAAAAGAAAAAAAATATTTCATTTAATAAAATGCTTGATAAATTTATGAATCGAAAAGCAAGAAGTAGAGCTACATTTATTTTACTAATCAGTATCACCTTAACATTGTATTTTGTATAATATCCTAAATCAAAGACATAGAAAAAAGTTAATATTTTGTTATTTTATTAGACGTCATAAAAACAGATCGTTTAGTCTAGTAATTCTATGTAATTTCTTTAAATATAACTATAGTATTTACGTCATCATAGTTCATTCATGCTTGTATATATATTTATCTAAAATCATACTCATTAAATAGCACAGACATAAATATATAAAAGAAACCGACACAGCGCGGTATATTTTTTAAAAAGTATTTTGATCATTGTTTTTTCCTTTAATGTTTTTTCTCATTAATATTCTTCCTATTAATAAACTATTTTGTCAAAAACTAAAAAATACAAATTAGTATGCAAAATATATCATAAATACCAACGTGAAATGACTTATGAATAAAATCGAGAATAAATTATTAAGTATCATTATGGTTGATATATAATAATAAATATCCGATTTTATTAGTTATTTGATCACTATTAGTATGTGACAAGAATTATAGATTTATGTATATTGGAAACTTCTCTCTTTGTTATTTTTAATTATATTAAAGCGGAATCTTTTCAGAAGCAAAAAGTTTGTTTGTCGATCAAATGATACAGAAAATGATTGACTATTATTTGACAACATAAGCACTTAGAATCTTTTTATATACACTTTAATTTAAGAGAAAGTCGACGAAAGAAAAAGAGAAATCCGGAACGGAAGTGTCCTTGGATAACTGTCACTACTATGTATCTTTTCATCTTAATGACTAATTATGAATTATCTTCCTCCAATAGACATGCAGGAATAAACAGATCATTTCTCTTTCTTGACGCCGCTCTCTCTCTCTCTATGTTTTCTCTTTTTTGCTCTTTCGCCTTTTTCCTATAAAAAAGAAATATAAAAGCAAAACTCTCTTTCATTCGTCTCTCATATATCGTTTGTTACAAAGTACCGTAAACAACTATTCATTCTATAACAATGCTTAAATCAATTATTTTCATTCAATTTATGTTAATCTTCCTTGTAACATTAACTAATGGAAAACCAGGCAAAATTGATGAACAATCAACATCTCCAAAAGCTAATTTTTATAAACCACAACCAAATGTAATGCGTCGTCTTAATCCACTAAAACTTTTATTTACTGTGGTTCATGTTCCACAACAAACTCCACCATATAAACTTGAATGGAATGTACCACTTTTAAAAACAATGTTACTTGAAAGTTCATATGTTTCAGATGAAGATAAAGAATTATTTGTAACTGAATTTAGTAAACAACTCCATGATTATGCTGATTGGTCAGACGAAAAACATTATGAATTAGAACGATTTACTGAAAAATATTTTAATATATACAAAGCTCCTAACAAATTTTTACCATTTATTGATTGTCCTGCCTTAACTCATGCTTTAACCGATGAAATGATTGGTGATCGTCAACCACCTATGGATCCACATCGTCGAGCAGATCTTCGTGCAAAAGCAGTTCGAGTTTTATGCGATTCGGAATAAAAGTTTTTATATATAAATAAAACACGTATTTATTAAAATGGTACGTGAAAAAAGTATTCTAAATATTCAAGAACAGTAACTTTACACACATTGCTTATCTTTACATCGCAACTAAAAGTTTTTTTTATTCTAAATAAAATAAAATAAAATAATAAACTTATTTCTATTATAAATAAGAAAGAAAGAAAAGAGAGGAGATAAATTAATATTATCATTTTATATTCGAAAATGATTCTTTGTCTTTGTTTTAGACATTAATCCTCATGCATCTATAATCAATATGGTACAAGATACATTTTATTAAATTGAGTACAACTTATTTTTCTGTTCTTCTCTTTTTTTTTTCTTTGTCAAAAATTTCAAAAAAATAGACAACAGAAAATAAATAAAAACAAGTACTTTTACTTACTTTTATTTTTGGTGATGGAAAATCATAGTAACCTGGACCGGGAATTTCACTATTAGAGAATACTTCACTGCGATTGGAGAGTGATAAAAATGGTGCATAGCCCTCTGTTTAAATTTTATACAAATAAATAAATAAATATATACATGTGAATAAGAAGAATAAACCTGCAGAAATTTTTTTTGGTCGATGAAGATAACTACCAGGTCCAATATGATCAGGCGTACAACCAACGATATTGTTGAGTGAACGCGGTGCACGATCATACATCTAAGAATAATTCAATCGATCTTTTATATGAGAAATAAATTTATTTTTCTAATACAAATAAAAGGGTTTGTCACAACATCTTGTCAATAGCATAAAGTCCTGTTTAAAAAGTTATAAACTAATCGTATTAATGAAAAATAACGTTTCATTATAAAAGTACATTTACTATTTAATTATATAAATAAAAAAATAGGGTCACACTGTAAAACTGATCGACGTGTAGTAAATAAAGGAGTATTTACAGATGAAAAATATCATAATAAGATTCTTTTGACATTTACGCGTAATAATATTCATTGAACATGAAAACATCAGTTGGAAAAATAATAACAAGAAATATTTATCTACATTTCTTTTTGATAAAAGGGATTCTTTGTTAAATTATATGTGGACTATTATTATAATGTGCGTTTTTAAACAAAATGGTACATTAGGAAAAAAGAAGTATTTTTAGAGGTTATTCGTACTTCTTCTATTGACGTCGATGAATATTTTTGCACTAAGATGATTCATGAAATTTTAATAAATGAATATAATAGAGACGCATTTCCTTTTTCATCTCATCTCAATTCTCAAGAGAATATTTAACAGATGTGATTTGTATACCATTGAAAAAGGAAGCTAATTAACTCAAAAATATCTATTTCAGAATATATTTATCAACAAAATATAACAATGGATATTTGATGTGACATTTTAATAGGAAAAAAACCGACTTTCTTCTAAATGTTTTCCTCTTCTCTTCATGTATCATTTCGTTTACAAATACATACTATAGTGTGAAAGAAAACAAAAAATGCCCTATATTTTACTAAAGCTAAATAGGCGTAAATATTTTGTATTGTATACTATTTTCAATAGGTCATTCAACTTAGTTTAGTTTTCTTATCATTAGTTTCTATTTGTGAACTAAAATATTTATTGTAGCATCAATAATTAATACGATTTAATCAAATAGAAATCGTTTATTTTTTATGCTCGATAATCTTATATGAAAGTAAATGTGTATACTATATTCTTTCCTTATTTCGTAATTCAATCGAAAAAACTTATAAATTATTTTTTATGGAAAAAAACATGTGACGCCTATGGCTTTCAATTCTGATTAGATATCAAAAGGACTACAAGAAGATACTATATATTATATAGATAGTTTAATTCAATAACAATACTAATCATAGATATTTATCAAATAAATCGTTCATTTTTTACTATTATCGAATTATTTCATTAGGCTAATTGAAAATGTCAGTATAGTATTATCATCAGAAAAGTACTGACATTTTTATCTTAAGATTAAATTAATATCAGAATAATACAGACACCTAGGATGGTTATGTCGACATTTTTTGGAAGATAATAATTTAATCTTAAGACATCTCTTTTCTGATCTTTATATAAAAAAAACTCATAAGTGTATTGAACAACTTGTTCATATATATACGTATTTTTTATTGTGAATATTTGAAGACTGACCGATTATTATCGGTGTTTATCCTCTATAAACTCAAAAGTATTCAAAAATCACATTAGCTAATAACGAGTAGACATTCCTAAGGTAAACAAAAATTTGAAAACTCTATTTTTGCATATTAAATTTTGTCTGATCCGTAGACATGTTCGAACTTCTAGCTATGGTTTAAGTCAAAATAAGATTATATATATAGAAAAATTTTCGATTATGAAATAATCACTATTCTACATTACTTCTGTTAATAATTTGGCTTATGAAATTTGAATGCGACACGACTTTTCATTGCTACTGTGATATTTTCGTATTTATCTAAAATCATATATATGTTAAAGTTATAATCGATTTGATGCATGTGGTTTAAGGACGAAGCATTGCAAAACATTGACACTTGAAAGGTTTCTAATGTTATTTTCTATTACTTCAAGGGTCTTCGCAATAAACACTTCATTTTTTTTACTTTTCTACTCAATTTTTTGTTGATCGAGAAATACAAAACATCGTATTACTAATGTTGATATAAATCAACACTTCCGCTAATACTTGAAAAAGAATCATTTAATTATCAATTTATAGCATATCTTAAATTTTCTACTCGAATTACACAATACAATCTGATGTTTTTGTCTAAACAGTGATCGAAATGTATCTCTAACAAAATATTTTCTTAGATAATATAACTTATCTATGCCGTTATGAACTGAAATAAAGGTGTTAAAAAAGAATATATATTCACAAAATCATTGATTGACTCAACTTGAAGTAACCATAGATGAATATTCTAGCCAAAATAGATTTGTTAAATCGGTTAATATAAAACTCTTCTCATTTCACACTATGTTTTGTTGTATTATAAGTCAAAACAAAAACAATAAAGCCATACTTTAATAATTCGAACGAAAAACTTTCTTTTCTGTCATTTTCATTGCCATTTAAATGTATTGTCATGACAATATGTTTATTGATTTCTAACGCATAGATAACTTAAAAAACTTGACATATTATTACAATTGGTTAAATATTGATTCAATCAAAGTTCGTCTCATTATCTTTTTCTATTCGTTAACTCTTGCATCGTGCACTTCACATACACTCGTTTCTCTACTCTCTTTTTTATTTTTACATTTTATATCTTAAATGAAAAAACCCAGGTTGTTTAGCATATTCTATTTTTCATCTTCATTATTATTCAAAAGATATCTTTTAAGTTCCAGATAGACAATATTGAATATGCACTGAAACAAAACATATATTATTAGCTAAATTATTCATTTTTTGTTCTTCTAATAATAAGAAAAAGAAACGTCTTAAATCATGTCGAATCATCACGATGATGAACCATTGTTCCCATTAGAAATGAGTGAACATCGATATCCATCTGGAGATTCTCAACACACATTAAACAATCATAATGATTCAACGATAATCGATAATGATGATGATAATCGATTTGTTGATAATGATACAGGTGTTGATCCAACACAAACAAGGTAAAATGAATACAAAAAATAAAGAAAATTATATAAAGAAAGTAATTTTTAGTGAAATTGAAACAGTACAAATAACTGAGACAACTGTTAATCCACAAGGTGAACGTGTTTCACCGCATGATTTTCAATTATTAAAAGTCCTTGGCAAGGGTGGTTATGGGAAAGTATGAGATAAAAAATTTTGTCAATAAAATATTTTTCTTTGCTTTTTCTTAAGGTCTTTCAAGTAAGAAAAGTAGCTGGTAGTCATCAAAATGAAATATTTGCTATGAAAGTTCTTAAAAAAGCGACGTATATATTAAAAATTTTTATTTATTAAATATCTTCTTCCTTTATTCTTTGAAAGAATTGTTCGAAATGCCAAAGATACAGCTCATACAAAAGCTGAAAGAAATATTCTCGAATGTGTTAAAGTAAGAAACGAAAGTTTTAGTTTTGTTTATATTCTTTTAATATACAGTGTCCATTTATTGTTGATCTTGTGTATGCATTTCAAACAGGTGGTAAATTATATTTAATATTGGAATATTTATCTGGTGGAGAATTATTTATGCAACTTGAGAGAGAAGGAATATTTATGGATGATATGGCTTGGTGAGAAGAATATATTGAATAATATATAAACAAATGCCGGTCTTCGTTTTTTTTCTTTAGTTTTTATTTATCGGAGATTTTATTAGGATTAGAACATTTACATAAAGAAGGAATTATTTATAGAGGTAAATATTTTAACGAAAAGATTTTTGTATAAATTAATATTTTGTTTAAGATCTTAAACCAGAAAATATTCTACTAGATGCTCAAGGTCATGTTAAATTAACGGATTTTGGTTTATGTAAAGAATCGATCTATGAAGGAGGACAAACAAATACATTTTGTGGTACAATTGAATATATGGCACCAGAAATTCTAACAAGAAGTGGTCATGGCAAAGCAGTTGATTGGTTTGTTTAGCTCGAGAGAAGAAAAAGAAATTAATTTTGTTTTTTATTATTATTAGGTGGTCATTTGGAGCACTTATGTACGATATGCTAACGGGTGCTGTATGTTGAAAAAAAATTTTCTTTTCATGCCATTGTATTATTCAGTATTATTTTATATTTGATTCAGCCACCATTCACAGCTGATGATCGAAAACGTACAATGGATAAAATTATTAAAGCAAAATTAGTTTTACCAGCTTATTTAACTATTGATGCAAGAGAACTTATTCGAAGTGTAAGATATATAAAAAAAAATGTTTCGTTTTTGTTTCTATAGTAAAATTCATAAAAGGACATTATATTTATATGTAAACTTTAAGTGAAATTATAGAATTTTTTTCGTTCTTTATGTTGTTATTTACACAAACATTCTTTGTATATTCAAATTTTAGTTACTTCGTCGACAAGTTAGTCATCGACTTGGTAGTGGTCCAGAAGGTGCTGAAGCAATCAAAGTAATTCAAATATAAGATATTTTATTCTTAGCAAAAAATTAATTTTTTTACTTGAAGAGTCATTCATTTTTTCGACATTTACATTGGCCTGATGTATATGCTAAACGAACTGAACCTCCACATAAACCTCTTCTTAAAGGTGATGATGATGTTAGTCAATTTGATACGAAATTTACAAAACAAACACCTGTTGATTCACCTGATGATCATATGTTAAGTGAAAGTGCTAATCAAGTTTTTCTCGTATGTTTTATTTTCAAACTAAATCAATATTATTTACATATAAGAGTTTATTTTTAGGGTTTTACGTATGTTGCTCCATCAATAATTGAAGATATGAGTCGATTACATTATCCACATAATGGTGGACATAGATCTCCAAGAAAACTCCTATCATCGGATATGTGTGCGCAAACGTATAAGATATTATTTTATTTTTTTATATAAAATTTCAAAATCATCTTATTTAAAGATTTAATTTCAAATTATCTGGAGTACCTGGTCTTAATGAGCATACCGGTGCAGCATCAGTTGAAGCAATGGATATTGGTGATAATTCAAATCCATTATTATCATCAGCCACATCTCGATTTACTGTCAAACCAACTACAACGAATAAACCAAATACAAATAAACCGATGAGTCCAGGTAAGATTTTGTCTTTTGAATAATTCCATTGAATAATAATTTTAATTTAGTTAATACCGGTCTTCCTCACTGATGTTTCAAGGTAAAATTAAATCAATCAATAAATAAAATGAATGAGTTTTTTTATATTTTAGTCGATATGATACAACGATGTCCCCTATTTAGTTTTTTTTTATTTTATTTTCCTTTATTTTTTTTGCGAGAACTATGAAAAGATTGTTATCATTCTTGTTTTGTTACTCCTTTTTTTTCTCTATTTTACCTATTGTTATTAATGGCACGGTATATTTCTAGCTCCACTTATTTTATGAACTTTTTTTCTTCCAAGTGATGTCATTTTGTTGTTTGTTATTATAATGAAGAAGAAAAAATCTTAGATACTTATCATTCTATCCCGGAAAAGGATCTATACGACACATACATACATACTTTTAATTATAACTATATGCGTACTGATTCGTATATTTTTTTTTTTGTTTTTTTTCTCTTGTTTATAAATAACAAGAATATCGTGATGATCATATGATATAACTATTTAATACGTGATGAATATTTCAAAATTAATCAAGATAGAAGATGATATCGATATCAGATGATTTTTAGTTTATTTTGATATCTGTACAAACTACTGCAAAATCATAAAGAATCGAGATAACATAAAAGATCCAGTTATAATATTGCTAGATTATTGACTAATAAATGCATGTGAATACTAATTAAAGAAAACTAAATGATTTGATCTATTTGAATCCCAACTGGTCAATAGTGAGATAAAATATTGTTATGATGTATTTAATCTCTTTGATAGATACGAGTCGTTGACAAATAAAGCATAAAAATATGTCATAAGAAATAAACTCGACGACATCTGTACCATATTAAATACTAACAGATTATTCAATATTATCAATAACATTTTGACAGATGTTCTTATTATGGTAATTGAATACAAAAGTTTTAGTTTCAACTTTATCATATAAATTTACTATTGAAATTATTACACAGTATCAAAATTTTAGTGTAAGAATGAGAGTTTTAAAACTACAACATATCATTTGCTTCCCATAAAATAATCAAAACTGTCCCATAAAAGAGTATAACTATTAGCAGGTTGAGGAATATGTATCTAGAAGAATATTGTTGAGACTTAGTTATACCTATAAAATTTTTAATCATTATATTCTATGCCATGTTGTATTACTCCAGTCACGAATACTTCTTATCATTAATCATTGAAGAAACAAAGGCCATGGTATCCATATAGAGATATGGTAAATTAGTGTTAATCAGATTATCATTCCTATCATTATTACTAGAAAGTGTCGATAGATACATATATATTTAATAAACATTCTATTGCTGTTGACCCCGAAGATTATTTGAGAACTAACACTGATGAAGAAAGCTTTTTCTGTTTGTGACATTTCAAAATGTCTTTGAACATGCAATTTTTGTTTGTTAATTAATGCTGTTGTCAATTGTGTCACTCAAATTTGTGACATAAAACAACTTAATTAGGAGAATAGAATTTTCAAAAGTTATATGATTTTATACTTCTTATGTAGACTACATTTGAATAATTATCGATTCAAGTATCATTATAAGTAAAACAAAAAATCTAGTTCATCTATATATTCACAATACAATAAGCTGAACATATAAAAATGTGGAATAATGCATTGCATCGTCTGTTACTAGAACGTAAATTAACTGACAAAGCGATTTTATACATGACTAAAACAACCAAGGTCAATTTTGACTTGCTATCCGTTCGATAGTTTTATCGAAATTTTTCCAGCTTGTTTTCATAAGATGAATAAAGAAGAGAACGTATTCCTCGAATAATATCTAAATAGGTGTTTTGTATGAGTTGTTCAATCAATAATTTATTATATGAATTAGATTTAATAGATAATAATGTAATTGGATTAAGTGATAGTGCGTTAAATGAGTAAATTGCTCAATCATTAATAACAATATAGAAAAGGTTCATAGCCAGTGGCATCACGCAATGATTTATGTTCAGATAATCATTTGAAGAAATTATTGACTATCATTCTAACGTATATTGCATGTTCTTTAGCATAAACTGAATCTCGATAGTTAGATAAAGCCCGAAAAACAGCATTATATTCTAGACTGACATCGGGTTAGATTATATTATGTTAAACATTTAGTAATCTAATAAATATGATGAACTTACTATGTTAAATAATAGAATGTAGAATGAACATACAATTCATACTTTAGTCGAAATAAAACGAGAGAGACAATCATAGTACTTATTTATGTTTTGATAGAATATTCAAAGCGATCGATAAAATCGTGTGAAATCATCAGAGACTCTATCTACATATATCATTTTATCTAGGGAATAAAAAATGATCTTATTCCCATACTTCACTATAATATCTTTCAAAGATTAAAACAATGCAACAGTTTATGATTTATATATTATTATCCTAAAATGTCAAATTAGTTTTTCTTCCTCACAATCAGTTAGTTATAAATATGTTTCCCAAAAAAAAAAACTTTATCTCATCTGATATAACATTAAATACATGTCATTAAAATTACTAACAGATCAATCGGGTGCAATGTAAATATAGTGCGTCAATTTATTCCTTTTTTTTCTTCTTTGCGTTTTTTTGAAAGCAAATAAAATATGTTTGCATTTGAATATATAATGATTAAGTCTATCAAGGATAAAAAATAATACATAGATAAAAGTTATTAAAAAAAATATTTCTCCTAAAATAACTACAATACTCGCGATGCATATATACATATGTTTATTTGTACATATAGTGTTATATATCGAAATCTTATAATGATGGATGACACACGTCATCACTGTCACGTAATGCAGAACATATGTGTTATACAGACAATTACATGTACTGTGCAACTTCTATAGGCTGGAAGATGCAAAGATTAAGCTATGAATAGCCCAAGGTTCGTGTTTTATAGTCTTATACATATGCGACATGTACACACGCAATGATCTTTTTCTTATCTATCTTCCATTTTTTTTGCTTCTTTGAAGCATAAATATACGTAAACGTTATCCCTCAGGAAAAAAAAGATTATTTCTTTTTACCACAAAGATATCCAGTCAGAACATTTTTTATCCATATCATACCAACTACGGATAGTCGTTCTTTTATACAACAAAATGAATTCCTTGTCACTCGTTCTTTTTACTGTGGTTTTGATCATAGCCTTGCACACTTTACCAACATCTAGTAAAGCTGTAAAAACAACAGCAACAACAACAACAGCATCTACACCAACAACTATCGTTGCTGCAGTGGTGAAGGTTCCTGAGAAACCAAAAGTAGCCAAACCTGCTGCTAAGGTTTCAAAGAAAACAAAGGCTGCAAAGAAAAGGTATATATAATTCATTCGATATCAGAATTTATATTCAAAATATACTTCATTTTTTTTAGTAAAAAACCAAAACAAAGTCCGTGGAAAGTACCAAGTGCTGATAATAAAAAATTATTTAATGATGTAACTATGTCATAGTTTTATATTATTTATTATAGGATTTATTTTTTTATTTAGTATAAAGCTATTTTACGTGCAAAAATTACACCTCGTCAAAATATCTCAGCAACATATCAATTAGAAGCAGCTAAATATGGTTCACAAACAGTTGATAAAACAATTCTACACCACTTTTTGGTAAAATAAAGAAGAAGAACAACAACCCGAAACGATATATTTGTATAATTATATTTCTAGATAAAATTGCCCGATTCAAAATATGCTCATGCAATTATTGGTACAAATAAAGATACAAAAAAACCGATCGAAGTTAATGAAAATAGTGCTTCAATTCGTCGTACAATTTATGATAATCTTGCAGCAGCTGAAGCTTAAAGAATTACATATATATTTGCTAAAATAAAAACAGTGACATTATTCTATTTTTCCCTGTTTGCGTTTTTTTTTCCTTATTTCCACATATACACATTATATTTTCTCTTTTCTTGCGTTTGACACACTCGAATTAGAATCGTCGTTGGTTCTTTTTTTTTGCGCTCTGGTTTATGTGTTCGGGAAGAAGAAGAAGAAGAAGAAGAAAAATATAGAAATGAGCACTGTGCTTATGTAAGTAGGGAGAAAAGAACTTTTTTTCTGTGCAACAGTGCCATAAGAAAAGAATTCTGATGTTGTTATATAAAGAAAAAAAAAATTGTTAGCACAAAGATGGAAGAATCATTGGGTGATCAAAGGAAAATCGTAAGTTATTGTCAAAGAACAATAAAATGATATTCATAGAATAAATTTGAAGGTAAGATATATATATATATATATGTTTGAAAAAAAGCGATTTTTATTTTTGATCTTTATTCGTTGGATCTCTTAACTTGACGGATCAACAAATAATGACTATAAGAGACAAATGGCAACGGAAATCGCCAGGCAGGAAATGGATGGGAGGGCATCAGCAGATCGAGAAAACAAAAGAGAATGTATGAATGATGATGAAGATACTAGAGCTGCAAGGCAAATAAAAATGCTTAAACATGTCTTGATAATTTTTCTATTATAAACGTAGTTATTTAGTTTTTTCACAACAATCAACAATACATTTATTTATTATTGATAATATAATATTAGAAAAAGGTCAAGATACACATTCAACTTGATTTTCTGTTTTGTTGATTAGTATAAAAATTATAAATAGCATTGGTTCTATAGAGTAAGAAAACTAAAGTCAAAGAGTAGCGTCTATATTGATCTTACGCATGTGTATGTATATCGAATTTCAACCTAGAAAAACGGAATCATCTTATTATATTTTTTTCTATTGTGTGAAAAAAATGTTAGTAAAACAAGGTGTTAATTGTTTGCGTACTAATCATATATACACTTGTGTATAGGCGATATATTTTGTTTTATGAACCTCATCATCATTATCATCATCATTTTGGATAAATCTTGAATGTTGTTAAACTATTTTCCGCCGTTGTGATCGCTTCATATACACCAGCAATAGCACATAATCGGAACTACTTAAAACAAATTAACATTTTTTTTTCTTCTCTTTTCCTAGTCTTATTCGGCATTTTCTCTCTTCTATTCTCTATCGCGCTTTCTGGCCAAGTCGAATTCGATTAGGATCTGAACGCTGACTACATAGACTCGTTTTTTAATTTCAGCACGAACAGGCCATCCATCCTCGGAGAATAGCTCGCCGTCGCCCGTTGTCATCATTGTTGTTTCTCTTATGCTTGTCTCTTTCTCGCGAGCGCGCGCGCGCGCTGCTTTCTTCTTCTACTGCAATAAAAAGTGAAGCAATAGAATGCTATTGTTTTTTATTCTTATGTTCTAGCTCTAACTAGCTGACTGAATGGAATACACGCATGTGACAGTTCTATTCAGCCTTCGTTCGGTGTTGTAATGTTACTACTTTCTACTTCTGCATCATTCATTAATTTTTTATTGATCATCCTTCTCTTAGTATTTGGCTTGTATTCTACGCGTTCTATTGTTTCTTTTTTTTTTGCTGCTTCTCCTCTCTTCTCGTCCAGCATTGTTATTCTCTCAGTTTCTTTTTCATCAATAAGGATATGGCGGTTGGGTATGCATTGCTCTTCGCATGCACGTCCTGTTTGAGTATGTGTAGCCATTAGAATCTAATAATTGTATTCCGCTTTGAATTATGGGTCTACAGAAGTACAACGAGCAGAAAAACATAAATGTAAACTCTATAAAAGAAACAAAAACAATCGTTTCTATAGTTCTCTCGATCTAGATTTCTTTTTTTTTTGTTGCTTCGATATTCTAGTTTGTTTTGTTTCTTATTACATATGATTACCATAGACATGTATGTACTATCGTGCTTGTGTCGTTATTTGTGAGAGATATCACTTGAAAGTCAATTTGTGAAAAAGAAAAGAGAAGATTGCATGTCTGTGATCATGAAGTGAAGGAAAGCGAGAGAGGGAGAGGGGGAGAGAGAGCGAAAGCGACAGATCGGTTTTTCTTCTTCTTCATCTTTTTTCCCATCATCTACTCGATCCGAGAATGCGACAAAATGCAAATCAAGTCACGTTCTCAGAACATTCATTGTCGAATGTAAGAACAATTGAACTAATTGTTTTTACTGAACATTTCATCATAAATCATCAATAGCAAGTATGATTTCAACTTTATTTTTCTATAAAATAGAGATATATCATGTTTTATTGTAAACCTATAAAATATAATATCTCATAATAGACAACATAAATCGACGAATATGAAGTTTTTGTCAATAGAAAAGAAAAGATTGTCATGTCTTTCTTACATTTATTTTGTATATATAAATATACATATTTATCCAATAGATTACAGTGACATGACAGATTAATCTTTATCTTTATTTTCATCGTTAATTCTCCTAGAAGTTTTTTTTTATTTAAAATACAAAATATTTTTTATTATTCACATACAGAAAAACTAGTCGTATAATATTTATTCTTTCTTAAAATGTATCAATAGATGGTTTCTAATTCAAGATTGTCTATATAAGCTTCCGTCTTCTTGTCTACTAGTAATTCATTCATTTTGACAGTAAGCTTCTTGTTGTCTGGACAAGACAAGCATTCATTACTTGTTACTCTAGATGAAGATTTGCTATTATCTTATTCAAATGTTAAGCGAAAGCAAATATTTAGATCGTTCGTTACAATATTATCACGATCGAAGAGTTAGTTCTTTAATAATAGAGGAACTGAACATTTCATATCAGTAAAAAAAAGATGTTGACAATTTTGTACTATGAGAACGTGACAGTAGAGAATATTTATGGTTTTATGAAACCTTTTTAGTTATCAAATAGATTCTACTAGATCTTTTAATTGTAAAAGATGACTGAATAACACTTTAGAGATAGATTTTTTTTCTATATTGATTAACTAGTTGCTTCTTTTGAATAAAATGAAGAATACCGAGACAATATATTTTTGTTTATACCTTGAGAATTGTCCATCAAGGGCTTTAAATACTGATTGGTAGCGCCATCTAAAGGGATTTATTACAATTCCCAGGGTAAAAATGTTTTTCTCTGTTATCAAATTGTTGAATTGAAAAGAATTCCATATCTTTTATTTTGTTACATTCTATAATAACTATCTATATATATATTTTTTTTCTTCTTCTAGTTAATCATCTGCTAATTTTGATCGATTGATTTTATTTGCTTATTTTTCTTAATTGAATGGAAATATTTTTTCCTTCAATCTTTTATACTTCATAAATCCTCTTCTATTTTGATTCTCGAATTTCTTTTTTTCACTTTCTCTGATCAATATAAATTAATTGGTCACTAGTGAATTTCTTTTTTTCGAACATTAATCGGAAATGAAACGAATTACATATATGTAGTCTCAATTCCCATGTTCATATAATTCGTTATTAAGGTTTCTTCTCTTTCTTTTTTTTCTTCTTTATAATATTAACATAGCTCTCTTGTCTAATAGAGTAGTGAGAAGAAAAGATAGATTTATTTATTGAGAGAATCGACGATCTGTGACATACATCAACACGCGTTAATCGAATCGCAAAGAATGTCGAACGCGAACAGAGAGCTTTACGTCGTGTCATTGTCAATTGAGAGAATAATCGATTTGCAAGATAACAACAACAACAACTAAAAGAGAAAAAAAAATACTGTTATTGCTTGTTTATTGTGTTTCTTTCTTTTTTTTCCATTAATATCTAAATATTGTTGATGGGTAGGAGGAGAAGAACGATCGTTTGCGCGCTCACTCAGTACCTTATTGATGATGTGAAAAGAAAGAAAGAACGAACGAACGAAAGAAAGAAAGAAAGAAAAAAAGAATAGATGAATAAATGCAAGAGAGCAAAACGTTGGCTGTTACGACTAGCTGCCATACACACATTCATACATGCTTCTATAACAACAACATTAGAATCGACGAGGACGCAAAAACAAATGCAAGTAGAAGAAAGAGAATGCATACGACTTCTCTTAGTTTTTCCTCTTTTAGAGCCTTCTTCTTCCTTCCTTCTTTCTTTTCCTTCTTTATCTAGCGGCAAAAAAAGCTTGATGATACATAAATTTCTTTAACTCTATTCCATCGACGTACTGCAGCATACACACATAGCATACTATCCAAAAAAAAAAAAAGAAAAGAAGAAGAAAGAAAAGAACATCGTTTCGCGTTTGTGCAAGGAAGAAAAAGAATGAATGAAAGAAAGAAAGAAAAGAAAGAAAGCAGGAAATCTATTTTCATGCCCCAATGGACGATATGTGGTTCTGTCTAACTCCCTTCTCTCACTTTCTAAACGCGTGTATGCAGGTGTCTTTATCGACAGCCTTGTTAAGACGAAGAAGGACAAATAGTAATACAATACTACATGTATAATCATCAATGACTATTATTCATTTCTTTCGTTGATTTATATTTATTTGTTGATTTTTTTTCTTCTCTATTATTCTAGATCTATTTTCTATCTATGAGGTTTTTTTGTGTCTTGTCATGCTACTTTATCATCGGTCAATTATATTCGAAATAGAACGAAGAATATTGATGTTATTAGAAGTATAACATCATCTTTCTTCTTTTCCTAATGGATAGATCATGATTATAATGGCAACAAGTGCAACAGTACCTAATAATATTTCAAATTCTTCTTCGTCCAATAAAACATCATCTACACCTGCATCTTCACCACCTACAACAACATCAATAATGGCATCATCAACAACAACAACAACAACCAGTAATTCAACAACTCCATCAATTAATGATCGTGTGATTAAAAGTAAATAATTCAAAAGGAAAAAAAAACACTTGATTCTTATATTTTAATATAATAGACATTCCATGTCCACCAAATACACGTTTAAGTGCATACGATGTATTCGATTCACGTGGAAAACCCCGTGTTGATATTCTTAAAGCACATTTTATAGCTGAAGGACGTGTTAGTGAAGATGTAGCTCTTAAAATAATTGAAGATGGTGCAAAATTATTACGACAAGAAAAAACAATGATTGATGTTGAAGCACCGATAACTGGTAAAAAAGACAATTTAATTATATACAGAAAAATTCTTTTAACAAAATTTTATTTTAGTATGTGGTGATGTTCATGGACAATATTTTGATTTAATGAAATTATTTGAAGTTGGTGGTTCACCAGCTACAACTCGATATTTATTCCTTGGTGATTATGTTGATAGAGGTTATTTTAGTATTGAAGTAAGTCAAATGAAAACTAATAAAATCATATAAAAAAGTTTTTTTTTTCATCTTTAGTGTGTTCTTTATTTATGGTCAATGAAAATTCTTTATCCTACAACATTTTTTCTATTACGTGGTAATCATGAATGTCGCCATTTAACAGAATACTTTACTTTTAAAACTGAATGTAAGAATCAATAAAAATTCTATTTATTTATTTATTTATTTTTATTACTATTCAGGTAAAATAAAATATACAGAACGAGTATATAATGCCTGTATGGAAGCTTTTGATTGTTTACCATTAGGTATATAGAGAATGTTTTTATTTAAATAACTAATATTACCGGATTCTATTTAGCTGCTCTTATGAATGGACAATTTTTATGTGTACATGGTGGTCTTTCACCGGAAATTCATACACTTGAAGATATTAAGAGACTTGATCGATTTAAAGAGCCACCTCCTTATGGACCTATGTGCGATTTATTATGGTAAAAGGTTTTTTTAATCATCATAAGTAGAGGTTATTGTTCTTTTTATAGGTCTGATCCATTGGAGGATTATGGTGTTGAAAGAACTACTGAACAGTATAGTCACAATACAGTACGAGGATGTTCATATTTCTATAGGTTAGATAACAAAAAATTTAATAAAAAAGAAAAAAAACAATTTTTTTGTCTTTAGTTATAATGCATGTTGTGATTTTTTGCAAAATAATCAATTATTATCAATAATTCGAGCTCATGAAGCTCAAGATGCAGGGTAAAAAATAATAATATTTTAGTAATATTTAATTAAATTTTATTCGATCAATTTTAGTTATCGTATGTATAAGAAATGTCAAAGTACAGGATTTCCAAGTCTAATTACAATATTTTCTGCTCCAAATTATCTTGATGTGTATAATAATAAGGCTGCAATACTTAAATATGAAAATAACGTGATGAATATTCGTCAGTTTAACTGTTCACCTCATCCTTATTGGTTACCTAATTTTATGGATGTATTTACATGGAGTTTACCATTTGTTGGTGAAAAAGGTTTGATCTAGTTTTTCTCTTTTCATAAATAATATATATATATATTTTTTAGTAACGGAAATGCTTGCTAATATTTTAAATATTTGTTCGGATGAAGAATTAGAAAATGATAGTACAGAAACAGATGAAAGTACGTATATTTTTGTTTTAAAACTATAAAAAAATATTAGTAAATTATCATTTGATCTAATCTATATTTATATATATATATATATTTTCTTTTTCATTATAGCTGATGTGATGACTGAAGGTAAGTGTTGATGGAAAAGTTCTTGAAAGAATGACATACTAGATGACTTTTTTTGTTTTTATTTAGCTGCATTAGCTGCACGCAAAGAGGTGATACGCAATAAAGTACGAGCTGTTGGCAAGATGGTTCGTTATTTTGCAACATTAAGGTTTGTAATTGTCAATCAACAAGACAAAAAAATATCAAAATAATATTCTCGTTATTATTTTTTCTATAGAGAACAAAGCGAAGATATATTAACATTAAAAGGACTTACATCAGGTGGAACATTACCATTAGGTACACTTGAAGGTGGCAAAACAGCAATTGAACAAGGTTAATTAATCATCATAGTTTTTTTTTAATGAATATTTTTTATTTTAGCTAAACAAATAATTTCTAACAAGAAACGTATATCATTTGAAGACGCTAAACGTTTAGATAAGACAAATGAAAGTATGCCACCATGGCAACAACTTCATCCATCATCATCCGGTCTTACTTCGGGTATTGGTTCTAGTGGTACAGCATCTTCAACTACTGGTTCACCATCTCCACGTGTTATTAGTACATCAGCATTATCTTCATCTATTTCATCAACATCATCATCACCTGTTAATACATTAGCTGATGCATCATCAGGTGTAACAACTAATTTATTAATTGATTCAACAAATACGAATGGTATTGGTAATGATAAAACATCTGGACGAACAGCAAGTGATTCGTCGAAAACTCCTCATCGAACGAAGTGAAGATAAATTATTTTTCGAAAAAAAAAAAAGAATATTTATAGTCTTCTTTTTCTATATAACATTAAAAGAATATTTTAGCGTGAATTGTTTGCATTCACTGATATAAATACGTTTAATTTGAAATTTGATCTATGGATCTTTTTTCGTTTTTTTTTCTCTCTTTTTCTTCTTTTCTTTTTTTTTTGTATAAAGTCGACTGACTATGTTTTCTGTCTATCTTTCTCTCTCTTTCTCTTTCTCTCATTTTTGTTCGCATGCGCGTGTCTAACTCTTTTCGTGATAAAACAAAAAAAAACAAAATATATTTTATTGTCGTCTAAAGGGAAAAGATTCCGAATCACTGTCTATAAACAATATTTCTCTTCAATGTTGTCCCGCGTTTGCTTGCGTCCGCGTTGTTTGTCTCTTATCCTTTCTTATTTGCTTCATTTCTTTTTTCCACAATTATTATCATCACAAACAATAACATCGTCGCAGTTTTTCTTTTTTTCTTATTTTTGTTTATTGTGAGCTATGAAATTCCTTCTTTATTTTATTTGTGGTAAAAAAAAAATCTCCTAACACGACGACAATAACAACAAAATAATATAATGAAAAAGAATCAACCGTTTTTCTTCAATATAGTTTTAGGGTTTTAATCAAAACAAGGTAGCACACTTTTTTTCAGTCTTTCTCGTGCTTCTATAATTATTAAATACTTTCGCGGAGAAATAATCTTTTTTTCTTTCTATGAAAACACGTGGGCACATTTTACAAAAAGGTTACCTTGAAAAACATCATACCATACATAAGCACAAGTGAAGTAAATAAAAAAGGAAGTACTAGGTGAAAACATAATTTATTGATACAAATACATAAATTCGCATCTGTGGGCTTTCACATGTCTGAGAAAATAAATAATCCATCATGTTGTCAATGTTGTATATCATCAATAGCAATATGTGTTACTTGTAATCGTCATTTTTGTTGGGATCATTTTGGACAACATCGTCAGACATATATAAATTATCTAGATGATTTAAATCAACCATTATCACAATGTCTCAATGAATTTGAACGTATTGAAAATAAATTACGTTCAGATATTGATCATTGGGTAAGTGAAACTATTAATGAAGTACATAAATCAGCAAATCAAGCTCGACGTACATTGGATGCTTATATAAATAGTTATCGGGCACATTTTAATGAAGAATCTTCAAGTCTTAGACATTCAGCAGCACATCAAGATTTAGTTATAGGTCGTTTAGAAAAATTACAAATTGAGTATGAACGTTCATTAAATGATTTACGTCTTATAAAATTTTATGATCGAGGACAAATGCTAGAAATTGAAACGAAAAATGTCATTAGGGAACAAGTTACTATTAATGATTCATTACAAATTGCACCACAAGAATCTGATGTTTATGTTACACAAACATCACTTGGTCGTAGTCTTATTAGAGAACCTTTAGCAACAGCAACTGTAGGTAGTTTTTGGGCTATGGGTGGTTCTGATCAATATTTACTTTTACAAGAATATGAAAATAAACAATTAACACTATTTGATTCTCGTGGAAGGCGAGGTGTTTCAATGACATGGCATTACGATGTAGTTGTAAGTTGAAAATTAGATTTTCGTTTTTATTTTGATAATTGATAACAATTCTTTTGCTATCAATAATATAGATTATATTTCTTTCTGATGGATTTTTTTTATGACATAAAAATCAATTCATATACTGACATATATGTCATTTTATTGATGAGAATATAATAGATAGTCGAGAACTTGTCGGTGATACTAACTGACACTTTTTGATAGATTAGTTTGATAATGCAATATTTTATTTTGATATAGATTCGAGATATAACTTGGTATGAAGAATCTCAACGTTTCTTTATTCTTCTTGATAAAAAATTAATTCTTTTTGATCCTGTTACAAAACATTTCGAAGATATTATTCAAGTTAAACCATATCAATCAAATGCATTTCGACGATGTACATGTTATCACGATCGTTTATTTATTGCATATTGGGGACAAGAAAGTCTTATTGAATTAATACGAATAAAAACATGGGATACTGAACAACGTTGGTTAAGTCCAGTAACATGTCGTGCAAATGAATTAATAACATGTATTCGATTAAATTCTAATGATGAACTTGGTTTATGTATTCAAGATGAAAATAATCCACGTAATCGACAATTTCGCTTTGAAATTCGTGATCTTACACTTAATATATTGTATAAATTAACCCTTCATGTTGATTCAGGTATTTTTTCTCGTATGATACAATTACCGGATTTACATTGGGCTTTATTAAATGTTGATGAAAATTTTGTTTTTGTCGTTAATCGACATGGAGAATTAATTGATAAAATTGATTGGCCACGTGGCTCGTTATCGAATATTGCTTTGATTGGTAATGATGCTATTGTTATTCGTACAATTGATAAAATTTATTTTTACGATGTAGAATTTCATACACAACATTAATTAAAATTTTTTGTTATTTTATTTAGTTTTTAAAATGAAAATTTATATAATTTTTTTTTCATAGATTGTAAAAAAAATGATTTAATATTTCAAATATTATAAACTTCTATTTAATAAAAATTATTCTTTTATAAAAAAAAAGAAGTAGATAATGAAATGTCTTTCTTTTCCGGAATATGAAGTAAAAGGAACTGACTTTATAATCATTTATTCTTTTTTTTTTCTTTGACATCATCAAATGATAAAAAAAGAATACTAGATTCTTTTTTATGATCCATTCAACACATTCAAATATGAATATAACAATACGGAGTATTTTCCTACCATTATTTGGTATTTCCTTAATGTTTTTTATGATATGTCTCTTCTGGAAAAGAATCTACCGTCATCGTCCACCTATTCTTCCATATCAAAATTCACAAATAGCTTTTATAACTCAAACAAATTGGTCATCACAACCTACTGAACAACCACCACCTTCTTATTATTCTATAATGAATAGTACAACAGTGTCATCATTTATTAAATAGTCAGTTTGTATTTTTTCTTCTTCAAATAAACCCGAAGATGCTTTATTTACTATTAAAAAAACACATTATAAAATGCGACTTATAAATGCGAAAATTTTTCTTTAAACTGAATCCGTTGTCATGAATTTCTGTGGAATTGGTGATGGCGAATCATTTTGATGTTTTAATTGAATTTCTTTAATTTTCATATTATTATTTAATTTTTCTTGTTCTCGTTGAATTATTGAACCGATTGCTAATGGTAATACACGCACAGAATCATTTGTATTATGACAACTAATTAAAAATTGCCATGGAAATGGGCAAGTGCGTATATCAACAGGAAGTTTATTCTTATATGATTGACGTGAATGCCATAAATAAAGTGTTTGTTTATCACAATCAATTGTTAATTCAACAAAATCATGAACTTTCATTTCATTAAGATAACCATTAAGAACAGGCATAGATTTTCCATTGATATAAACATTATTATATCCAGTCCATCCATGAACAGATGAATTCAAATATGCTTTCTGATCGAACGATGCATGTTTAGATATAATACCGAAAAAAATCCAATCATTTGAAGTCATATGTTCAATACGAAAAAATAGTGTTTGTTCACCATGTGAATATTCATTAAAACCACGTATGGATGCATCATTTTTTGTTGAATCATGAATAAAAATTTGACCATTATCGATGATTTTAACATGATTAGAATGGTAACAGAATCGATCATCTTTTCGTGATATTGAGTTTGAATTATGATCGATAGCTTTCTCTTGTTTTGTATTATGATATAGAATTTCAAATGGATTACTTGAAGAAGGCTTAATTGAAACTAAACCTGATGGATTATGTTGCTGTCGTTGTTGATGATGATGATTTGAAGAATTTTCATGTATTCGATCAGGTTGAATTTTTATAATAGGCATAACAACAGGTTTATTACCGTGAATACGAACAGTAAATGTTGGTGTTGTAATAAATTCATGTTTAATATCACGTAATTCTGTTGCCCATTGTTTAATATTTCTTTCATCAAATGTCGAATTTTGATTTTCACTAATTTGATTTAATTGTTCTGATAATGATTTTAATTTTTCTTTCATATCATTCATATGAATTTTTAATGCATCCGTAAGTGCACGTCGTGCTTCATTTGCTGTTTGTTGAATCTGTTTTATAGATTCTTCTTCCCACTTGTCAATAATTTTTCTTGATGGATGTGTTTTTTGCATGATTGCTAAAGTATTATTAAGTTTTTGAAGTAAATCATCATGATCAACAGTTAACCAATCGAATTGTTCATAAAGTGTTTGTCGATGTTGATCAGCATGATTTTGACAAAATACTCTATTGCATCCATTACAATAAAAACCAGCAGATTCTTTACATGTATTACAATATTGTCTTATTGTTTCGTTAGTCACAATTACCGTAGACATTTCGTACTGTTATATTTGAGAACAAACTAAAATGAAACTAACAAAGTTGTTTTAAACAGGTTGTCAGGCTGTTTTGTCTGTTCTTTTTTTCCTATAAATAAAATTGTATTGAATTAAAGAAAAAATACGATAGACAGAGGTAAGTAAAGAAAGTACATTTTATTTCTTTACAAAAAAAATTCCTAATGCACATGGATAAATCCAATATTTAACCAAATATAGTCATTCAACAGCAAAAAAGTTAACCGGTGAGACATGATATTCATACAGAATTATTCTTACCGTTTAGAAATTTGACCTTATAAGGTTAATATTGAATAGATTAACACAAAAAAAAAGAAAAACCTACTCTATTCAATAAATATATATACATAAGATGAACGCAAGGAAAAAATTTGTTAAATGAGTTACTTATAAACATGTTTTTCATACTTTGAGAAAAAAATTATTTTTAGTAACTCAACAAAATATGAATCTTGTCAATATATTTTACATATGAAAAGTAAGTGCATCTTATAATGATACAGTCACTCTATATAATTATGTCTTTTTATGCATATCCAAACACAACATATAGATAGAGAGAGGGAGAGAAGTAACTCATTTTCATAATATGACATACGAAAAAAAAGAAGGATAATTAAAAAGATATAAAAGGGTAAAATTTATTGATCCTTATTGATAATTCTCTTCCTTAACATTCACATATTATTCATTTTATAGACTTATAGTTTTACTACGTCTTATTCACTAGTATTTATTTAGAAAATAAAAAAAATGTTAACGATATAATATCTATAGAACTACTTTCTTACGTAATACTTTTACCCTGATTAAAATTTGTTAAATTATAACTAAAATTTCCATCATAAAAGTAGTTTGAATACTAAGGAAAGAGCAAAAAAGACTTCTCACTAATACTATGATGAATTAAATCCACTCATGAAGACTAGTTTATATAAACATGCTATCTCTCTACTCATACGTCTTAACTAGATCCTTCCGGTTTATTTTCATCTGACTATGTTTTTGCTTTTTATTGCACTTTAAGTGCTTCCGAGTATTAGAATACAACGAGCAAAAAAAAATTAAATGAATTCTTAATGATTTTCAACAAATGAATTTTATATGTAAATATTTTTTGTATACGATCGGATAGCGTCTACGTGTTCTTTTATTTTCATAAGGAAATTTTTTTTTACGATAATTTATTTTCTTAACATTTCTTTATCTGTCATATTTATTACCTTCGTTTCTTTTTTTAATGATTTTTTTTGTCATTCAATAAAAACATTTGTTATTCATGATCAAATGCCACACATTTCTCATTTGTAAAAGGTAAAAAACTACAAAATATGATTTTGAAATAACATGACACACAAACACAAATATTGCTCTCATAGAAACACAAACAAAAATACTATCGTCATTGAGACATGAGTCAATATATTCTCATGGGCCGACCCTACTGATAATAATTTAGACTATTAGATAAAAGTATTTTAGTAGAAAATAACAAAAAAAAACAACATTGGTCGCTAATGACAAAAGAAATAGGTAGACACGAAAAGACAAATATTTATTTTTTAAACTTCTTTTTCTGTATATTGAAATAGTTTTAAATTACAAAAAAATATCTTCATTTCTAATACGTAATAAAAATCAACATAGCTTCATTTAAAATACGAATTATATTCTAACATGAGCGCATTATATCTGCAATGTAGGTTGTATGATTAATATGGCAAGAAAACATATACTAGGCGATTATATTCAATCTTCTAACAAATATCACTACATACTTCTCACACAATAGAGTAACTCAATGGCACAACAAAATACAATGTCTACAAAAAAACAAACTCAACAATCATTGACGTATGCATATCTAATTTCTTTTTTTTATTTATTTAAAAATAATAAATATGTTTCAAATAGAACAAAATTACAAACTTCCTTATCCCAACCAGAACCGAAAAAACAACAAGAAACAAAATCTCGTCGTCATCTAACATTACCAACACTTTCAAATAATAATTATTCTCAAAGTCCAGCTGAACAATATATTCTATATCGATCACAAATGTTAAATATTTCAAATGAACAACAAGATAGTTCACCTGAAACACCATTATCTTTTACAGGAACAAATCTTAGTACAGTTCAATCTCCAATGAGTCATACCGAACGTATGGATCAATGGCATAAAAAACAAACGAATGATTTCCGTAAAAAACACAAACATCAATATGTATATGGCTCGCCCTCGTCTTCCTCGTCAAATCAAACATTTTCTACATCTATGTATTCTACACCATCTATATCTTCATCTCAAAGAGACGAGTCTTCATCATCTATTTCTACAGTTAAAAATGATAATAAACCAAAACGATTTACTGCTGTTTAATAATTAAAAAAAACTGACATTAAATTCTATGTTTCAGAAGCTTATTTTCTTACTAGATCGATCTTCAATTGTTTAAATACATTATTCGTAAATCAGAAGATTACCAAAATAAATATTTACCAAAAATGTAGTGAGTAACATTTATAGAAATGTGTTTATAACCTTTATAAATAAGCATTGTGTACTATTTAAGCTTTTCTTAATCTTTGTGACGTGTTAAATCAATAGATGAGTGTTTTCGACATAAAGTTTCAATTTTAAGTCATGTCCTTCCCACTCTTCTAAGCATCTGTTTTTTCCCATAAGGGGATTTTATGCATGGAGGTGTGAGAAAATCTAGATTACTTATAAGGCAAGTAAAAACCCTATCGATTCTATTCATTTAATCAATTGATATTTGAAATGAAAAAAGGAAAGAATATTTATTTGACATTTGAATATATACCAAGACTAAGAATATAATTCTCCGGAAAAAAAATATATATGCAAAACTTGTTATTTTCAAAGAGATTTGTATTTGTCTTAAGACAAATAATAATTAAAAAAATAGATAGATAAAATACAAGGTATGAAGACAGAAATTTAATAGCACTCTGTTATCGTTGATACGGTATTTCCTTCTCTACGTGTTACAGTTCGACAGTTTTGATGAGAAGAACCAGATGTATGAACATGAAAATTTCCATTGCCCCCGAATAAATCACTACCAAAACCAGCATCGCCAAAATCACCGAATATCTCATCGAAACCAAAATGATTTCCATCAGAGAAATACCCAGTGTCATCATCATTATCATCATCGAACGCTGAACCGAAATCGAAATTAAAATGATCATGATCAGCATGATGAAAATGAGATGATGCTGAATCAAAATGTTGAAAAAAATCATTCATATTAAAATGAAAACCAGAAAAACCATCTTGTTTCGATGATGATGATGTATAGGATTGATGGCCTTGAGTATCATATTGACGACGTTTAGTTGGATCACCTAATACATCATATGCTTCAGCTATTGCACGAAATTTTTCTTCAGCTTTAGGTTCTTTATTTTTATCTGGGTGATATTTTAAAGCTAGAACAAAAAAAATAAAAATTTATTAAAAAAAAAACAACATATTTTTATTTCTATACCTAATTGACGAAAACGTCTTTTAATATCTTTATCACTAGCATCTCGTTTTACACCTAATACTTCATAATAATCTTTAGCTGCAACTGCATTTAAGCAAATAATTAATGTAATAAGTTGTATCCATATGGCAGTATCCATCGTTTCAAATGATTGTCTGCTAGTTAAACTATGAAAGGATGGTACTATATATAGATGGATGATGTTTTCGTCTTCTGTTCTGATATCATTTGTTATGTAAGTTATACCATTATACGTCAAACACGAACACGTTGATGTTGCTAACGACTATTGGTTAATAAATAATCAGTAAAATAAAATCTAATGAAATATATATTGATCATATAGAATAAATATTTTCCAGAATTCACTATTTGTTTAATAGATAAACCAAATTATATAGGAATATACAAATATATAGATGTCGCTAATAAATGAAATTTTAATAAATCTTTTATATATTTATCTTAAAAAAATAAAACTATATTTAAAAAAAATACAAGCTTTAATATAATATCATATTAAGAAAACCTTCAAATCCGCCATATTGATTATCAATCCTCTATGTCGATGTATTTCATATTAATCAAATACAATTATTTTCTATGCGCGTTTGTTGCTATGTTATATCTTTCACTTAACATTCATTAATCAAACTAGACTAAAGAAAATATGCCACAACAAAATGAATGTTTATCATTTTCATCAAATCTATTTGTTTCACATATTGATTATTCCGAAGCTCAAAATATCCTTGAATTAACTACAACGAAACAAAAACAATTCCGTCGACAACGTTCACAAAATTTATTTAAACAAGTTTTACTTAATCAAACCTATACACTTGTATGTCAATTATTAGATTCTGATTGTTCTTATTCTACTAATCAATATCAATCTTCATCACATTTAACAATTGATACAAATAAACGAAAATTATCATCTGATGATCATGACTTACAACCATTACTGAAAAAATCCAACAGCCTGATGGATAAATGCTATGATATCACAAATGATAATGATGTTTTACAATTTCTTCGTGAACTCAATTCAGTGAAAGTAACATCCAGGTATTGAAAATAAGAGACAGACATTTTTGTTTTGTTTTTTTCTTTGGACACTTCAGTTCTATACACATGAACTTTAGTAATGACAATGAACACAATATGGCAATTATTATCTTCGTCGTGTAAGTCAATGTATAAACAAAACAAACATTTGTATCATTCGGTGAATGAACTTTCTTGTTTTTGTTTTCTCTTTTTCGTAAATTTATCAGATATGTTGTAGTGTTTAATAAATCAGTCCGAAAATATATAAATACAGGCAGTGTGCCTAAAAGAAACTTGATTTAATTCAAATTCCTGGTGTTATCATATGTATGGGTAAACATATATATTATGAATTTTATGTTTTATTTCTTTTCTTCATTTTAATTTTGCGAAAGAAAAGATTATCACAATCCATGGTACCATTGAATACAAATATCACACAAAAAGAAAATCATAAGTTTATTTTTCTTCTTATTTATCTTTTTTTTCTACCCATAGAATCATTATCTTCTCTCTCTGTGAATATATATCTTTATTTACGACAACAGATCATTATGAGAAAATATTCAAAAGGTAATGAATTAATATTTAAGATAAATATACATTCTTGAATAATAATAGATATAGAAATATATTCAGGAGTTAAGCTTTACATATTTAGATGAAGATTGTTAATCATTGAAAGTGTTTGTAATCAAAAAAGAAAACATCTAATTCGTTATTATTCAATATACAAATACAATTGTCAAGACCAATGTCGTATGAAATATTTTCGAACTTGTTTTATTCTTAATATCATACTTTAGGACATATATGTGAAATAAAGTGAAAAGCATATTCATTGCTATGAAAAATTGATTTATATATTCGAAAATCCAAATAGGTGAATACAATAATAGTATATTTCGAAATATTCTAATTTTTAGTGATACAAATTCAAGACTTTTTGGGAAATAAAAAGTAATGCTCTAGCTTTTGCTCAATCATAATAAAATATTAACAGCTTTAAAATATTTTCAAAAGAATTTAGTTTTTATTCACACAATCAATCGGAATATATAGGATAAATATTCAGATTAGAGCTAGAATAATACAATGTATTAGATATCAATCATGAAATAAAAAGAGTAAACATGAACTAATCTGATTTCATGCAGTCAAATGGAAACTATTGGATTATCAAACATAGAATAACTGTACCTAAAATCTAATTAGAATGAATTTGTTTAATATTCTTTGTAATTTCCATTTATTTTATCTAATAAAAAATAAAAGAAATATAGCTAAAAATGATATTATTTTTATATTTCTGATTTATCTTCAGCTGATCAGTCTTTTTTTGGTAAACAAATTTTCATGTTACGACATGTTCGTCACCGTGAGTTAAAATTCAGTAAAAAGAACGAAGATGAAAATAAATTTAGTATCAACAAATGAAATAAAAACTTCTCAACGTTGTCATAAGTAATTAGAATTCATTAGCAATAATTCAAGTAACATTTGTTCGTTGTATATTTATTCTTTCGACTATAATTGCTGTTTGGCGTGTTGTCGAAGAAACAAAACAAATTTATTATTGATATTTACTTCTTGTGTTGAGTCCTATGTAACTGTTTATTCACGCAAAGGATATGGTTAAAAATCAAAGGTTTTGTCCATTAGCATTTTCTTATTTAATTGGAATTGAATCATAATTATCATTCATCATTATTATCAAACTAGACAAGGTTGCCATTAACAAATCAACAAATGCATTTTTTATTGATTTTAATGAAGATGATAGCAAGTCTGAAGAAAGAAATATATACGTATGATTAAACGAAAACGTGCTCTTTCAACAATATTAATAACGACAAAAAAAATAAGATTTATCTTTAGCAGAACTATTAAAAACACCCTAAGGAATTATATCGAAAATAAAGTTCATTGAAAATGTCAAATCTACTTGAAATTCTTTCACTAAAAAAATACACTTATGCAATAATTATGAGTTCGAACGTTGAATTGATTCTTAAAAACTTGATAATATTTCAATAGTTGCATTAGTAAACAATATATATTCTTTAATAGGCCATTAAGTTTTTCAGAAATAAACTATAAAACTTGACATTTGAAAGATTTTCTCTTTTAAAAATGATTTCCGTTCATTTGTGATTGACAATAAACTGCATACTGAATTATAAATAATAAAACTCCGGGTAACACACAACAATTCAATTTCTTTCTTTCAAGAATAGCTTTTAATCTTAAACAAAACTAACGATTTTTCTAGAAATATAAAACAAATAAACATTTATCAACAAATAACTTTACTTGCTCTTATAATAAGGCGATGGTTGCTACTTGAAAGTGAAATAACTCCTGAGGAACTTTCACAATTATTATTAGTAAAATTATCACATTAAAAAAAATTTCTCTTGTATTTCTGCTGATATAATTGAATTTTTGGAAGATTAGGACAAATGTAAGATTAAGTATATTAGTACTTCTTCTTTGGACATTACCTGGGCAGACAAGAAACGAAAAATACGGCGTTTCTATGCCTGAAGAAAAATTCTTTTTTTGTAGAAAAAGTCGAGTTGCTAACAATAAATGGTGTCTCCATCATTTTGCTTTCAAAAACACCTTTTTTTCGTCGCGTAAAAAGCGCACATGTTTACACCCAGAAACGCTGTTTTTTTCGCTCTTTATCTGCCTGGGTAAGTGTAATATAATTCTATCTTGCATTTATAATATCACGTGGTTGAAAATATCGCTTAGTTATAAAACAAGATATTTATGTAGTCCATCTGATTTTTGAGGAATGTGAATGTCATTAGTTCCTCAAGACATACCATTGTTTTTTTGTTTTCGTGCTTATATTTTATCTTATTCAACAATGTTTTTTACATCAAAAAATAGTCTTATTATTATACTCAAATGGTATCGTATAACAGTTATATTAGCAATAACAATATCATCGATATCAAGATGGAGAATTAATTCATATTATTCTAATAAATACAAATTGAGAAAAACAAAGATAGTTATAATAATGGCAATGCATTAGTTTGATTTGAAATAAAAGAAATACGGAAGTTTTCTAGTATTTATTTATTTCTACATAAATTTCATCAATATCGAACTTATAGAATTCATCATACCATTAACGTGAAGTTTTTCCATCGTTTGAAGTGCTTAGATAAATACTTCATATTTAAAGTAACTATTCACATCTATTGAATAGTGATATAATTACTAACATATATATATATATTTATACTATATAAAATTTCTATCAATATTACTTATTTACAGATGAATAAATTACGATATTATCTTATGATAAACATCAATTATAGCGGATTCTTTTTTTTTTCTCTTTAGGAAACAAAACCTAGAAGAAGATGATTTCTAAATCTATTACCTTAATACAAAATGATAAGGTCGCATCTAAATACATGACAAGTCATGAAATCTTAATCATAAAATTATTGATAATATAACTACCGCTACAATCTCTATCTCATGAGAAAGAAAAAGAACTATTCTGCCGCCTATGCGTCTATAATACTATATGTAAATATGATAGATTTTTTTTTAAGTAAGTGATTGATAAGATAATCAGAAACATCTGTTGCAATTTTATATGACTACGATGAATGTAATAATCAAAAAACCTAGTTACCTGAAAAATAGATTTCAATTTCTAAAAAAATTCATTTTTTTTATCTATCATGGGATTATTTCTATTAATTAAAAATATAGTTTGGATAAAAAACATCGAGCATTTTATGTTTAAATTAAAATTTCGTCCTAAATTTTATATGTATATATACTATTCACCTATATTAATAATTAAAAATAGATTATTTTTAGTAATAATCAAAATCATTCATAAAATAATCTTGTTATTAATGATGGCATCGATGATTAGAAATAGTTATTTCTAGAAATTTACACTCAATCATACTTTTATTATTCAATAATTGATTTCTTGTTGCACGAATAAAAATGAACGGAAGAAGATAAGATTTTTATCTATGGTGATTTATAGAAATCAAAAGGTGCCCTAGAGCAAAAAATATTTTGCTTTTTTCTGATGAAAAAAAACTAGAAAGAATTATTTGAATATTAACTAATCATTCATCCATTGAATTTATTTTTCATTATTCAATGAACTAAATTCATTTAAAAACATCAAACATCTTCAAGAAAGAAAATATCTATATAATTTAATTTAGGAAAAATCAATTTTTTTCTTCTTTTCAAAATACATATACACTAATGTGTTTGTTTTTTCTTCTATCAATCAAATTACAATTTGGACTAGTTAATTCAATTTTTCTTCTGTTTAAATATGTATATCATATAATCAATGCGTCAGCTAAAATAGATTCGAACTTCATATACTTATCTAAAGACAACATTTGTCACCAACGGTATTTTTTGATGATATTGACAATGGACATTTAGGGACTCGTGGCATATTACAGCTGCCGACTGTAATGAAATGTCTCGTGAATATCTTAATAATCCTTAGAGATATAAAATTGACATCAATCCCAAGAAAGAAATGATTAAAAAAAATATTTAATTATTTTCTTAATAAAAAAATATTTTTCTCATGTATTTTCAAGAGTCTAGATAATCATACAAGATTTTCAGTATAGAATTGTTAATATAAACAAGTTTGACTTTTATATTATCTAGAATATCAATATTGATATTTCTCTATCTTTTTCTTCTTTTAAGACAAACAATTAATAAACTAATTTGAAAAAAGAAACTTCTGATCTTTTAAATAAGATTACTAATTTTAAAGGTAATAGAAATATTGATATTTGTTTATTAATTAATTTCTTTTTTTTTTATTAACATTTTCTTGAAATAAGAAACCAACGATGACTTATCACAAATCAATTACTTTAACAGATTGTAACAATAAATCGCCCATTTTTTTTTCATCTTATTTCATTTGTTATTACATCATTCATCTAATATCTGTAGATATGTTTATTGATTATCAAATGTCGATTTCTTTCTCTATTTGTCTATCTCAGAGAATTAGTCGAGCATTGCGATCAATCGATCGAAAGCAATAGCACAGAAGGAGGTCTCCCTAAGGTTGTTGCTTATTGCCGTTACTGGTAAGACACAAGAAGAAGAAGAAGAAGAAGAAGACGAAGACGAAGAAGAAATGATAGAAAAAGTGCGAGAAAAGAATGACAATAATACTACTAGAGGCATACAAACAACGTTCGTGCGCAGACACATACATAGATAGATAGATATATATACAAGTGTAAGACAAAAGCATCGTAGCAGTGGATTTGATTTCTGTATATAAATCTAGACAATAGATAAGTAATGAGGCAAGAAGACAGATTTATTTTTCGATAAGATCTAGTATATGAACCAAATAAGAGTATGTCATCGAAAGAAATTATAAATGCGTCATTGTCAATGTGAACTAGATATATATGAGAAATCTTCAATCATCTTGAAATCTCTTACAATTAGTGCATCTATCAATCCGTCTATCTATCTATTTATCAATCTTTTTCTTCTACGTTATTAATGATCATCATCATTTATCGCTACGAATGCCAAATTTATATATGTCAAAATCTGATGAAATAGTAAGCGATCTAGTTTTAACTGACAATTGTTCGACTATGGATGTGTTAATTGATCTCTATCTCATCGTTTTCTTCTTTCGTCCTCGATGTGTCGAAGTCAAGTCTCAATCTATTCATTCATTGTTGAAAGATGTGCATGCCCTCGACATCCTTTGCTTTTACGAACACATATCTGAGGAAATTGTGCCATCGTTCGTACTATGACGACCACGAACTATTGTTATCCTTTGAAGACAAAGAGAAAGCAAAAATTTCTTGCATTGCATAGTATTATTTTGAAAATCATCAGTAGCAATAGTAGCAAAAGACACGCAGCATGCGCGAGCAAGCAGCAAATATTGATTGAAGACGACAATTTCTTTGCGCTTCGCTCTCATTTCTCTCTCTCTCTCTTTCTCCCCCTTCTCCCTCTTTCTTGGTTCTCTAAAACCGAAGCATCGTCTTCATTTCTTTCTCTCTTTAGCTTCTTATTCTCGCCTTGGTCTCCGATATCTATGGTTAAGATCGTTTCTTTTACTATTGCCATGTATTTCACTCGTTACCATTGCTGGCAGATTGGCTTATAGATCATGCTCGTTATATGGCATGGCAATAAGATGTTAGTTTGTAATCCACCATCCGACAGAAGTAGAAACAGCAGGAAAAATTGTTCCCTTGTCGATCGATATTATTCCGACATTTAGAAAAAAATGCGACTATATTTTACCTCTGTGTTGCCTCTAGTCTGTGTCTTAATAAATATATTATAGATAAGAAAGATATAGATTCTCTGTTGCATATCTTTTGCTTGTTACTATCATCATCATCATCATCAACAATGTTGTTTTGTCTTGTTATTATCGTTATCAGCATTTTATAATATTGTATTGCTAACCAATCTGCAAGATAACTGTTGTTACTACTATAAGAACATCACATTTCTTGTTGTTGTTTTCTTTTATTTGTTCTGTTTGACATTAGTAAGAAAACGTAAGCTATATGAGATTAGACTTGTAGTTTTTTTTTTATTGATAAATATACGTTCGCCGACTTCCTTATCACTATATTAGATTTTGATGGGAAAAGCTGTTTGTCACTTTTATGTTTTACTGTGCACACATCATTGATACTCTTTAAGTTTGCATTTTGGAAGAAAGTGTAAGAAGAGGAAGTGTAGGCATTAGGATAATCGTCGATGAACAACAGTGCGTAAATAAATGACTGAATGAATAAATAAATGAATGACAGATAGGCATCGTATTGTGAGGGAGAAAAAAAGGAAATCGAGAAAAAGAAAAGAGGTAAGTACTATGAACATTTTTGTCTAAGTTATATTATATGCGTGGGTATATGAGTGCGTTTATAACTGAATCAATTGAGTTGTAGTAGAGTAGTAGTGTTGTTGATGTTTGCTGATTGAATTCCCGATTTGTCGCTCTGTCTACTACAATCACGATCTGATTTTCTTCTCTCTTCATATTTTTCTCGTTTTTCTTTTTTTTCTCCGACTTTTTTTTTACCGTAGACGATCTAACTGTCGTTGTTCCGGATGAAAATATATTTCCTCTTTTTGATATTATAAAAAATCGAGACGAGTACAACGGAAAGAATTTCACCATTGAATGGTGTTACAGTATTTCTTCATCTTCTTCTTCTTCATCATTATAATTATTCTTTTTTTAAGAATGTGAGCCGTACATTCTTCTAGTTTGGCTCATTCATGATGCATTCTTATTGTCATATAATATTATTATTGATTTTATTTATAACATTGAGTATTGTTCATGGAGAAACAATTCTTAATCAATATAATATTTCATCCTCCAATACATGCTCAAAAATTCGAACGAATTGTACCCAAGATGGTATTATAATTCCTCTATGGCGTCCCCAACAAGGAATATCAACTGGTGATCGATTATCTCGTGCTATTGTTTATCTATTAGCACTTATTTATTTATTTATCGGTGTTGCTATTATATCAGATCGTTTTATGGCTTCAATTGAAGTTATAACATCACAAAAACGTGAAATCAGGAAAAAAAATCCCGATGGTACAATATCAGTAACAACTGTTGCAGTATGGAATGAAACAGTATCAAATTTAACTTTAATGGCATTAGGTTCATCAGCACCTGAAATTTTATTATCAATTATTGAAGTTGTTGGAAAAAATTTTCAAAGTGGAGATCTTGGTCCAGGTACAATAGTTGGTTCAGCAGCATTCAATTTATTTGTTATTATTGCTATATGTATTATGTGTATACCAGCCGGTGAAGTTCGTCGTATACGTCATCAACGTGTATTTTTTGTTACAACAGCTTGGTCAATTTTTGCTTATATATGGTTATGGGCAATTGTAGCAAAGATTTCTCCTGGTTATATTGAAGTTTGGGAAGGAACATTAACATTTTTATTTTTTCCATTAACTGTTTTTTCGGCATATATTGTTGATACAAAAGTGGGTCAATTTATACGTATACGTATAACATCACAAAAACAAGTTGTTCAATTAGAAAATCATTCATCAATGCCATTACCAATAACCTTAGATACGTCAGGTAATATAGAAGATAATGAAGAAAAATCTATGATCGATGGTTATACGAAAAATTCAGCAACAACAAATGGAAATGATACAATACGTGGAAGAAAATCTTTATCAACTCAAAAATCTATATCAGGTGGTGTATTTGATCAAACAGGTAGTACAATACATGGAGTTGATGATAATACGATAGCAGATCATATTGAATCACAACGAAGACAAGAATTTATAAATATATGGCAAGAATTACGTAAAAAATATCCAAATCATGATATGCATACATTAAATGATATGGCTGCAGTTGAAATGATGAATCGTGTACCAAAATCTCGAGGTAAATTTATATTCAATGAAAAATTCTAATAACAATAAAAATTTTCTTTTCTTTAAAGCATATTATCGTATTCAAGCAACAAAACGTTTAGGTGGTGGCGGTGGTGGTACAAATCTGAAAAAGAAATTTTTAGAAAAATTAAATGAACCCGATGAAATTGATTTGGCAGAAAAACAAAATTTAATTAATGATACAACATCACATATAAGTAAAATACGATTTGAACCAAGTCATTATACAGTTTTAGAAAATGCCGGTTATGTTACATTACATGTTCTACGCTCAGATGGAAATCTTCAAAATACAGTTTATATTGATTATATGACAGAAGATGGAACAGCAACACATGGAGGTGATTATGAACAAGCTGAAGGTACTTTAATTTTTTATCCAATGGAAACACATAAACAAATACAAGTTAAAATTATTGATGATGATATTTTTGAAGAAGGTAAATTATTGATTTTCATTCAAAAACAAAAAATATATTTTTTATTTCTTCTATTTAGATGAACATTTCTCAGTTAGATTAAGTAATCTTAAAATCAAAGATAATCAAGGACGTTTAACACCAGGATTATTTGATAAAACTGTACAATTAGTTGAACCATCAACAGCTATTGTTATGATTATTGATGATGATCATGCTGGCATGTTTGTAATTGATGATAATGAACGAACAGTTATAGAATCTGATCGTTCTATAGAAATTAAAGTTTTACGAACATCAGGTGCTCGTGGTCGTGTACGTGTACCATTTAAAACTGAAGATGAAACAGCTATAAATACACGAGATTATATTGCAAATCATGGTGAAATTATATTTGAAAATAATGAAAATGAGTATGTATATACATATATATTAACGGATCTGTTTTTGATTATAGAAAAATGTTCGAGAAAAGAAAGAAATTAGTTCTGGTTCGTTGAAATTATTAAAGGTTTTTTTCCATTTGCTTTCTATTTAATGAGAATCTGACTCGCACGTCTGGTAAATATTATGTCAATAGAACTAGTAGTGTTCGAACGACAATCGGCTAATTGCAATGTTGCTAAAGGATAAATTGACTTTTTCTTTACATATGTTTTACACTCGTATTTACTCTTGTCAAAAGCAAGAACATTTCTAATCGGAAAAGATAAATGGAAAAATATGCCTTTCTTTTTTTTCTCTTGTTTATAGAAAAACAATAACAATTGAAATAATTGATCGTGATCAATATCAACGAAATGAAACGTTTCTTGTTCATATAGGTGAACCAACATTAATCAATGATGATAATGAAATTGAAAAATTAGGTAAATGACATTTATTTATTTGATGTTTACTAGACTATATATATTTCTATAGGCATGAGTGAAGAAGAAAGATTAATTGCTGATTTAGGTAAACCTAAATTAGGTGATAAACATACAGTTCGTATTCGTATACGTGAAAGTAAAGAATTTAAAGTAGGAAAAAAAACATTTTTTATTTTTCAATTTATATATATTTTTTTTCTCTCTCTAAAGAATGCTGTTGATAAAGCATTATATAAAGCAAATACAGCTATACTTGTCGGTACATCAACATGGTTAGAACAATTTAAACAAGCATTTAGTGCTAAAGGTATATAATATAGAATAAATATATTTAATTAAATAAATATTGTTGTTTGTTTTGTTAGAAGAAGATGATGATGATGGATTAGGTGATTCAAAAGATGATAATAATGAATCTGCAACATGTAAAGATTATATAATACATTTCATAACTTTTTTTTGGAAATTTTTATTTGCTTTTGTTCCACCAACAAGTAAAAAAATTCTTCCGAAAAAATAAATTACATCATTTTTTTCATCTCCTTCATATAGGTATTGCTGGTGGCTGGGTTTGCTTTTGTGTATCGATATTATGTATTGGAGGATTAACTGCTCTTATTGGTGATTTAGCAACACAAGTAAATAAGTTATTTTTTTTTGTTTTCTTATCATTCTATATTATTCTATAGTTTGGTTGTACTGTTGGTCTAACAGATACAATGACAGCTATTGCTTTTGTTGCATTAGGAACATCATTACCAGGTATAAGAGATTAATATTATAGAAAGAAAAGAAATATTCTATTCCGTTTTTGTCTATAGATACATTTGCATCAAAAGTTGCTGCAGAACATGATAAATATGCTGATAGTTCCGTAGGAAATGTAAATGGTTCAAATGCAGTCAATGTTTTCTTAGGCATCGGTTTACCATGGGCTATATCAGCCTGGTATCATTATTTTAAACAAACAAAATTCGAAGTGGAAAAGGGTTCATTAGCGTTTAGTGTAACTTTATTTTGTTCATTTGCAGGTGTTGCTGTAACTCTTTTAATGTTAAGACGTTTGAAATGTTTTGGTGGAGGAGAATTAGGTGGTCCTCTAAAATTTCGTCTTATATCAAGCTTTTTATTTGTTTCACTTTGGATTTCTTATCTGGTATTGAGTGGCCTTGAAAACTATTGTCATATTAATGTTTAAAAACATTTATGTCTTTCCGTCATATGCGCATGAGTGTGTATGTGTGTGTGAGTATTTTTCTCATGTCGGTATATAATTTATTTTTATTTTGCTGTTTGTTTATTGTCTTATTTTTACATATAAAATAATAAAAAGAAATAATATAGAACAGAACGGTGCATATCAGAATATTTTAAAATTATACGATTTTAATTGGCTCAGAACCAGCACTTAAACCTGCAGCTGTTAATGGTATTGAAATTTCATTATCTAGTACTTCGGATTTGACTTCACTCAATTCAGGAGTTGTTTTACTTAATGTATCAACTGATTTTTCTGATTTACAACATTTTCGACGTATGATTTGATATATAAGAAGAATATACAATGGTTGATTTGATAAATAAGCAACAACAAGTGGCATTACAGTTGCTTGACTATTGTCTGGTGCTGGAAGTGAATAAAGTAATATCATAAATGCAATACCAACATTTTGAATACCTAATGAAAGGAAGTTATTAATGATTATTATTATTTATGTTTACCTGTTTCAATTCCAATGGTTATAATTCGTTTCTCGTCTTGTTTAAAAACCCAAGCTAAGAAACCACCTAATCCAAAACCTAACCATGGTAATAAAGGTGCTGTTAATGCTGTACGTAAATCAATATATCGCAATAGATAATAATTTGCAAAAGCACCAAATACAAAGAAATAAAATATAATTAATATTAATGTTGGTTTCACAATACGTTGAATAATTGATTTTAATTTTGGAATACAATGAACTAGAAGCATTCCTATTCCAACTGGTGCAATAATTGTTAATAATGATTGTGCTAAATTCAAAAATGGTATACGAATTTTAAGTTCCTCTAAATAAGCATATTGCCCAAGTGTATATAACCAAAATGGCATCATAAAAAATGATGCTACTGTTGATGCAAATGACATAAATACAGATAGATTAAGATCACCATCGAATATAACTGTCCATTGATTTGAGGCTGATCCACCTGGACAACATCCAACAACAAACAAACCAAGACCATATAATGGATCATATCGAAAAAGTTTTGATATAGTATAAGCTAGAATTGGCATCATACCATATTGACAAACGAATCCTATTAAAACTTGTATTGGTCGTTTTATTAATTCTTTTAATACTCCTACGTCAAGTAATATACCCATTTGAATTTATGTAAATATAATAATAAATGGAATAACAGTTTTAAATATCGTATCAATTAAACGTTTTGGTGAAGATACTATTAAAATTGAAGAACAATTGATATGATAAGTATGATTGTTTGTATCAATAAATTTAATAGAATAATGAATGTATGTTCGATTCATATAATTTGCATTTATTTTTAAGTTATAAACAATCATTGGTTTATTATTATTCACTAAAAAATAAAATATAGATTCGAATTTATTTTCAATCACTTACATTTTGTATTATTCGATATTCGAAAAGTTTTTTCTGTTATAGAACGATGGTTTTCAAATTCTGCTACTTTTTGATCACTAATTATTGCATATATATGTATTTCATGAATATTTAATTGTTTAAGATATGTTCGATTAAATGTCGTACGTATAATCTTTGTAGAAAATAATGGCACTATATATGTCCCAGTAATACATAATGATGGCTTTTCTATAGCAACGGATGTAATTTGACAATCAGATACATTAATAAGCACAATTAAAAATATAAAAACGATTGATCTAACCATTGCAGGATTGTTTTTTTGACAGTATAAAAATCAACGGTATATATACATATATATACAGACATACTCTAAGTACGCTATAGTACGTTCTCCATGACTGCTTACGATAGTGTTTTACTGTTGCTTCTTACTTATTTTTTAATAATATATGATGTGCTCACCTTCGATGACATAATCGCCGTATCAAACATGCGTAAAAATTTACCTGGATTGTACTTTTTCTTGTGAACTTGTATCGATTACATTCATAACTTGTGCAATATGTTAATTAACTAATATTTAATTAATTCTTTTTTTATTTTCGAATAAAATAGCCTTGAATCACAATATTTCTTATTAGTCATACTAAATCATAAAAGAAATAATATGATTTGAAAATGTCAATCATTTCTAATAGAATTATGAAAATGAATTTTTTTTTAAATAGAACTCCATCGTTCAATTATCTAAAATATTCTGTCGTAATTCTTTTCCCTAATAGATTTAGTTATGATAGAAATAGACAAACGTCAGATCTATAATTTAAAAATGGTTGTCTTACACATTCCTAATATTGACAAAAATGAAATCACTCATTCCATTGATTTTTAATAAATTTCCTAACTTATTATTATTAAGTTTTCGAATGTGTCCCGAACAATATTAGTTATTCGCCTTACGCATGAATGAAGAAAAGGATATCCGAAATTCTTTTCTTCCGATTAATAGAAATCGCTCGCTGCTAATATTGTCGAGTTATTGAGTTTATGCTCATTTCGATGTTATTCACATATAGACAACTCATTATTTTCATGAAAAAAACCTATTCTTTCAACATCAAATTTGATACTTGGAATAATAAATAATTGATTGTAGTATCTACTGAAGTGTAATTAATATATAGTATGTAAATTTTTACAATAATACTTCGAATAAATATTCTTAATAGATTTAATGATTAATTTATTTTTTTCAAAACGCAACAATCTATTATAACTTTCATTTTTAAACAAAAACAACAACCAAAATTACAATACAATATGGAAAGCTTATGATTGTCTATTATGATATTCAATAGGTATAGATGTTTGTTGATATTGCATAAGTATTTGACAATGATCATATTCTCGTCTTGTACATAAATCTTTACATTCAAGTATAATTGTTCTTGCTTTAGTAATTCGTTTTCTTAAATTTTCCATACTTGTCCGACTTCCTGCATATGAACGTCGAATATCATAACGCATATCTTTAATAATTTGTAATAAATAGAGATATTTTTCAGCTAAAATAGTTGATTGTGGTTTAATTGTTGGTGGATGATGATTTTTTGATATCAATGAATAACGTAATCGTTTTGTTGTTGTTGCTGTATTCATTTGTGGTAAATGATATTTAAATAGCGCGAATTTAAAGTAATGAACATTGTTGTTTATCACGAAATGGATTATCTTTAGGTGATTGAAAACCAACAACGAGTGCATCACTTGATTGATGATCAGTAACATAACGAACAAGATCTTTACAAACAATAGATACTTTCGTACGTTCACGTCTTGCTTCTTCACGTAAATGTTCACATAAACGACGTTGATTTGTATAAACACTTTGTACATGGTCTTAAAAAAAAAGAAGAAAAGTAATCCGCTGTGAATTGGAAGTAAATACGACGTGCTAGAAATGTATTTCCGACTAATTGTAATCGTAATTAAACAAATACAATTAATAACCAGCTTAGATTTTCTTAAACATGTCAAACTTACATTCTGGTGCATAGGATCGAGATGATGAAAAATTGTCAACTATACGATGATTTGATGGATGGTTGCTAGCACTGTTATTAATTTGTTGAGCAGACATATGAAATCTTTTATAAATTGATAAATTTAATTAAAGATTATTGTATTGATATTCTTTCACAATAATTATTGCATTATTAAATTTAAGATTAATGATTAATAAAATGAATCCGCATAATTGAATAGAATGAAATCTTTGGTATCTTTAATAGGAGAAGTTCTAGAAAATCTTTTGATAGAAGGTGTAGTGATAGTTATTGTAAATAACTAACAAAATTTTTTTTCCTCAAACAACAAAAATGAGCAAAGAATGAGTTAGATAAGAACATAAATAGTAATAAAAGGAAATAGAAAAAGAAAATGCTCAAAGCATTTTTTTCTTCTCTTCGTCTTATTAAGATTATTTCTTCTTAAAGACTTCTAAGACAACTTCTCTTATTGTATCTTTTCTTCTCTTCTCTCTCTCTCTTTTCTAACACTCTGAGAAAACTAATAACAAACTAATGTTTCTTTTGCAGAATGAAAGTGCAAAGAACATCAGTTTCTTGTTTTTTTTCTCCTTTCATCATAATTGTATATAATAGACAGACATCAGAATAAAAAAAAACTAAAAACGGAAGATAGCATGCAAAAGAATCACTTGAAACTATTTTACGATATGAAAACTGAGTAGAAATATAATTATTCTCTATAGAATTTGATCTATCTTTTTTTTTTGTATGAAGTATAATCGTTAATTATTTACTTGAATAGAAAAAAAAGAATCGTATTTATTATTAACAAAAAGAAAGATGAAGTAGAAAAAGAAGATTTTTTTTCTATTTAATTTTGTGATAAAAAATTCATGCATAAATGTTCAGTATCCTCTTTTATTAAAACAGCCATGCCCATGAATAAATGCGAACCAATATGGCAATGTAATAACCATAAACCAGGATTATCAGCTAAGAAACGTATTTTAATCCAACCGCATGGTTGTAAATAATTAGTTGTTGATCGATTTGGTGATAAATTATCATATGAACTAGCATAAAGTGTTAATGAATCACGTAAAACTGGATTATCTGTATCAGGAGTTTGTGTAGATGATGAAGTATACATACCAGTACCTCGTGAATGTACCCAAAATTTATGTCCATGTAAATGAAATGGATGTGTTTCACAAACACCATTTGTTGCAACAGTATTTTGAAAGACAATATCGATTAATTGATTTTGTTTTATTGTATATGTAACGTCACTTGGAAGATTTGATTCAAAACCATTATAAATATCATATATTAATGGTTGAGTTAGCTTTAATAAACGATATTCATCTAATGATGCATTATTTATCAACCAGCGCATACCTAAACCATCGGATGTGTGAGCTTGAAGAGTATAAAAAAATATTTCCCTATCTGCTGCTCGTGCTGGCATTTGATTAATACTGAGGAAGTTTTGATATGGATTGTTAAATGCAAATAAACGTAATTCATCATTTGTTGCTAATGCTGGAAGTGCAAGAGAAGATAAATTTGTTGGAAGTGCAGATATATATGTACTGTAACGTAATATACCAGTGCAACTAAAACAAAAATGTTATGTATGCTGTATATTATTCTTTTTCATAGTTTAACAGGTAGAAATTAGTTTTACGGTTCGATAAATTTCTATCGAAAACCTAGTTCGAATTTCTGAAGGATTAATAAATGGAATATGAAATTTACCTAGAACCATTGACTAATGTTCTCCATCGAATAGCTAATTGCATAAGAAATATTCCTTTTGATTGACTGTTTGTTTCAATTATAACTCCATATCTTTGTCCAGATGAAAGTTCAATTGATTGAACATTTTCTTTCGGTTGAACTAATGTACCATCAACTTCAACAACTGTCATTGGATGTTCATCAATACCAAAAACAACTGTTGATAATGTTGTTGAACCAATTAATCGTAATAAATATTTTTTTCCAGGATCAACAGTTAAAACAAAATCACGTTTACCATTTATTAATAAATATGTTGGTTCACCTTGCCAAACAAATGGAGATGCTAATAGACCATTTTCTTGTGTAATACGATCAGGTGAAAACCATAGATCAGAAAAAAGTAATGGACCTGTTGATACTTCAGTTGTATTCCAATCTTGTCGTCTATCATGTACAATTAATGCACCAAATGCAGTAGCAGATTGTAAACCAGCATGTGAATGATAAAAATATGTACCTGCTGGATATGCACGCATTACATATGTAAATGATTGTTGACTTTCAATTGGCATTTGAGTTACAAAGGCAACTCCATCCATTTGTGGAGTTTGTCGAACATGCATACCATGAAAATGTATAACAAATCTTTGATTTTCTGGTAAATTATTTGTAACATGAATAACTAAAATATCATTTAATTCAGCTTCAATTAATGGAGCTGGCATTTGATTATTAATAAGAACAATTGATGAAGAATTTTGAGCATAAGAAGCATTTAAATGATATACAATACGACGATTAACAATAACAACAGAATTTGTTAAGGACAATATTGAGAGACAAAAAACAAGGTAGATCATTTTGTTCGAATTGAAGAATATACACTCATAAAAAGATATTTAATTGCTATTATATAGTTGCTTTATAATGGACGATGTTTTTATCATGGGGTGATTATTTTTACACTTAAATATTGATGATTTATCGTTCCGCTTCGATAACAGATTTTATCAATAACATTAGACAAGAAAGACGTCCATAATGTTCACTAAGGATGATTATTCTTCTATCATTTCACGCTGAAAAATAAATGGCTTACGAATATCAAATAGTCAAAGAGTACGACTATTTATTAATCTATATTCTTTTATCTTATATAAACAAGATAGGTAGATTTTGTCCTTCATATATTTTTTTTGTCACATTCTATATATCAATATAAATGATTATGCAGCAAGTGATTGTACTGGGGACGTAGAAAAAAAAAGAAATGATATGTGAAGACATATTCATATGCGTATTTGATATAACTATCATATATATACATTTTCGTGCTGTTTATATACATATTACAATGAAACAAAATAGTTATTTTGTGACCTAAATAATAGGATGACATTGCAAAGATATTTATGAAATTCTTTCAATATAAATAATTATAACTGGTTGATTCAATATTATTGGAAAATAATTCAATGATATTATACTATTAAATAGTCTAGTATGTTAATACACTAATCTATATAATTTAAAGTACATGGTAACCTAAAAATCATTTATTAAAATTTTTTTCGTATATCTCTACTATTTTTATGTTTTCTCTTTCAATTATTTACACGAGCTGTAGTAGTTTTTTTACAAATTTTTCTTTATAGAGAAAAAACAAATCTTAATGAATCATATCTCACAAACGAAGCTCGATTTTCATAGTTCGATCGAAAGATAATTGTTTACAGGGGTAGTACAAAAATTCGATATATTCAGCTTTAAATGCAATAGTAGAGACATTTGAGAAAAGTTTTGATAAATAACTTTCCAAATAACTATTAACGTATGTGTAGAATGACATATATATATATGCTTCTAAATATTTGAATATTTACGATAGATGATTGATGCTAGGACAAATGTTAATATGAAAAATACAATCATATACCTGTGCCTTTTTTATTATTATTATTTTCTCACCTTTTTCTGTTAATTATTTTAGATTTTATGTAATAAAAATGATATATTTATTCTAGATAGAGCTGTAAAAATATGTAGAAATTATTTCCGGTGAATACATTCAATCAATACATTATTTAACTAATGAATCATTACACCTTTGTTTCTTCAAAAAAATCTATTACAACAATAAAAATCTTGCACTCTTTTTCATTGTCGAACACTTTAATGAAAAAGAAATGCTTGCAAATACACGACATAGTGACTGACGTATTAATTCACTCGTCAACCTGTATGTGACACGAAGAATAAAAGGAAAAAAAGACTTTCACTGACTCAATATATTTAAATACCGCAGGAACATAAAAAAAAATTTCTCTTTCTTTTTCATATTTTTAATGCCATAGTTTTTTTTTCTCTGTCAACAATTCACATCGCTGCGATTTATTTCCATTCGACAGAACTACAACTTACCTTCAGTGATTTACTCATTTTTTTTTAACTTACAAAAATAGCAACTATGACAACACCGAATGTAACAACAATTGAACAATTAAGTATTCATAATCCATCATATGTATCAGATCCAAATGATCCAACAGAAATTAATGTTGATGATGATATACTTCCTCCAATGCAATTTGATCGTCAAGCACGACCACAATCAACTCGAACAACGCGTTCAACAACAAGTCGCTCATCAGTAAATAATCTTGATGGACGTGTTACGTGTTATGATTATCACGCATCAAAATATTTTTCATATAGAGTTAGTTTTAATTCACATGAAAATAATATAAAAGTGAGTAACTCTTGTTTTTCTCCTCCATATAGGATCAAGGATTTGAAAAAGCACTTTTTAATATTCAAAAAGGATTTTTTCCTCAAATTAATTATACAAATGAATATCGAGATGATCTGATGAAACGATCATGGCTATTAACTGAGTATATTTCTTTCAATAATAATTAATTTTAATCTATATATATGTATATCTAGTATTGATCATTGGGATTTACATCGTGAAGTAATCATTATCATTATGGAAAATCATATATTAATTGTTCGTTATAATTTTATCAAAGAACAAATTGTTTATACACAAGCTATTCGTTTTGATGATATTCGTTCGGTTGTATATGGTCCATGCAGTTATCCAAATAAATCTCTCATGGGGTATGAAATCTATCGTTTTTGTTTTGCTCGATATTATATTTTTTCTTGATAGTGAATATTCCTATGGAGGAGTTAAAATTGTTCATGGAGATGAACCAACATTTCTTACCCGTTGGAATCCGGGTGCACAAACAAATGTACATGTATTCGTATCTCATCATATAGCTTATAATGATAAAGAACGAGAAACTACGTATTACAATTGTGATGAATTTATTCAATCACTTGATATAGGTAAAAAAAACAAAATTGACTTTTTTCTATTTAACAAAATTTTGCTAATTGTTTTAGCTTTAACTGCATATCGTCGAGCTAAGAATGAACCGAAAATCGAATTTGTTGAAGAGAAAATTGTTATACCAAGCTATGCAAGTATTTGGTCAGTATTATTCAATCAGAATTATGTAGGTTTTAATCGTGATCGAAATGGAGCAAAATGGTAACGAATTTTTATCATAACAATTAAATAAAGATATGTAATAAACATGAACTTGTGTTAATTAGTTGTTTTCGTTGATGTTTCATCGGCTAATAAACTAAGCCATAAAATATTTCGATGTAATTGTTTCATATAATCAAATAAATTCTCATCGTTTCCTTCGTTTTGTAATTCTTTTATTGTTCGTATTAATGCAGCATTTTCTCGAAGTAACTAAAAACAAACTATTATCATAAAAATTTAATTTATTCATACTTAAAAATACACTCGCTATGTGGTAAATTAGAATGAGTGAATAAACAAGTACTTAAAAATGCGATCAATTGAGAAGAAGTAATTTAATAAGTCTTGATTGAAATATTTGTTTTACATGAATCTGATCGTTATAAATTCATGTTTACTTTTTCTAATGAGTAGGTGAGTCTTAATTTACATGCAAAACTCGAGAATCTCAATATAAAAAATAAATCTCAGATAACTTTTTAATGAGTAAAAATTTTCAATTTACATTTGTTACTGTTTGTTCATCACCGGGATAATTATTGCCTGTTTGTGGATCAGCCAAGAATATTTTCGACATTTTATAATCTAAAAACTTATTATCTATTTAATAATATTCTTATACACATGCGTATTAAAAACAAACGATGAAAATAAGTATATGACTAGAAAGAAATTAAGTTTGAGGTAGTATTTGTGCGTGTTAAGAAGATTCAGATTGTTGTCTTATAGGTGTACGAGATTGATTATGCCATTGTTGTTGCATAAGATAATTTTGTTGTGGATGATAAATTTTTTGTAGTTCATTAGAATTATTATACATCGCTTGTTGATGTGAACTGACATTTTCGGTATTTGATTTTGCTGGAAGATCTATAATGATTCATTCTTCATTGTTTTTTTAATGGAAAAGAAAATGTAATTCTACTTTGTTGATGATATATGGAATTTTGTTGTATTGATGATGATGTTTGGTTGAAGGAATCTGGCGGCTAAATAATAGAAGAAAATTCATAGTAATATCAAACATAAAGACAAACTGGTAAACTATTTGAATGATGGGATGTTGTTAGATCAAATTGAGTTAAATAAGTCAGATTACGATATAATTTTCGATGATACCTATAACAAATAAATATCCGAAATATGTTTTTCTAATTAAAAAAAGAAGAAATTCATACTCGAGACATTCGTTTTGTTTTCCTTTCATTTGTAAATCAAGGATTAATGTTATTAATTGTGAATTATCATCGAGTAACTAGAAAAAACCAGGTCATGTACACTTAAAAACAAAAAAACATTAATTTACTTTTTGTATTGTTGATTTCTGTTGAGGTAATAATGTTGATTGATACTTCTGTTGAGTATACATAATTAAATTAAGTTTTTTACTAAATGAAAAAAGAATAAAATGAGAGAATACGACCAAAAAAATCTAGCCAATAAACAAAGATATAGATGACGCTGATAGGTATTTTTCTACTCATTTCTCGTTGATTCTTATGAGAATTGTTATACTATGACCATGAGAAATTGTATTCTTCAACGATCTCAAATAAATTTTTATTTCAAACGTTATTTACATGGAAAATCTCGTTTGGAAAATGGTCCTAGTTTTGAACATTTTCTTAAACAAAATAATACTACATCCGATGATTATCAGGGAAATTTAGTTTTACGTAAAGGTGAACAACGTTTAAGAATTCCACCATGGTTAAAAACAGAAATACCAATGGGAGAAAATTATGCAAAATTAAAAAAAACATTATCAAAATTAAATTTAAATACTGTTTGTGTCGAAGCAAAATGTCCGAATATTGGTAAGAATTAATTAAAATTTAAATAAAAAAGTCTGAGAATAAATTTAGGTGAATGTTGGAATGGTGGTGAAGATCGTATTTCAACAGCAACAATTATGTTATTAGGTGATGAATGTACTCGTGGTTGTCGTTTTTGTTCAGTTAAAACATCACGTAAACCTGCAGCACCTGATCCAAATGAACCACAAAATACAGCTAATGCAATATGTTCATGGGATATTGATTATATTGTTTTAACATCTGTTGATCGTGATGATTTATCCGATCAAGGTTCATCACATATAGCACAAACAATAAGTTTAATAAAACAACAAAGACCAAATTTAATTGTTGAATGTTTAACACCAGATTTTCGTGGTGATAAAAAATGTATTGAAACAATTGTTAAATCAAATTTAGATGTTTATGCACATAATATGGAAACTGTACGAGAATTACAATCACATGTACGTGATCATCGTGCTAATTTTGAACAATCATTAAGTGTTCTTATACATGCAAAAGAAACTAATCCAAATTTAATAACAAAAACATCATTAATGTTAGGTTTAGGTGAAACAAATGAACAAATTCGAGAAACAATGTCTCAATTACGTACACGTGCTAATGTTGATTGTTTAACATTAGGACAATATATGCAACCAACAAGACGACATTTAAAAGTTAAAGAATATATTCGACCAGAAATTTTTCAACAATTACAAGAATATGGTGAATCAATTGGATTTCTTTATGTTGCAAGTGGACCACTTGTCAGATCATCTTATCGTGCAGGAGAATATTTTATAAAAAATATTGTTAAAAATAAACAACAAAAAAAAGAATCAGCTATTTCATCATTGTAATAAGTCATTAATAAATATATTTTTACTCAGGCATAATTTTCGAATTATTATTCACAAATTCCTTCTCTTTCTAGATGTAAATCAATAATGTAAACGAAAATACTCATGGTAAGATTGATATATTTGTTCAAACTATGCTTTTCAGTTAGCACTTTTTTTAATGAATTCAAAAGTGTAGAAAATAAAAATATTCTTCAATGTCATTTGTATTATTGCATCAGTTAGAGTATGGCTGCATATAATTATGCTTGTTTTGTTTTTTTCGTCTTCCTATTCGTATAGGACACGTTTTTTTTATTATCAATCACTATGACATTGACAAGCATAAATAAAAAATAATATTTATTTCTCAACCAATACAACATAACAATTAATATGAGAAGCAAAGAAAAGTATTTTTGATTTATTTCAGATGTTTCCTCGATATCGATATCTCTACTGGATTATATATCGCCGCCGCAATAAATTTATAATACTGCTTTGTCTTGTTTTTACTATACTATTTTTCTCTTATGAAAGTAAAAACAACCCTCCATCAGAACATGTTACTGTAACTGAAAGATCAAAAATAAATTCGATTGGAATCAAAAGACGTGTTAATCGGGAAACTTATACAATACCTGAACAATGTCAAGGTTGTCCTGGTGAAAATGGAGGAGGTGTATCATTAACGGTAATTGAAAATATATCTAAGAAAAGATTGTTTATTTAGTTCCAGTATTTTATTTAGGCAGATGAATCAAAAAATTTAGATGCTGTGATGAAAAAAGAATTTTTTAATTTACGTGCAAGTGATAAAATCTCGCTATGGCGATCAATACCTGATACTCGAGATGACTTGTATGTTATTTAATTAATTTTTCGTTTAATTCTTTTGTTTTTCTTCCTAAAATAGATGTAAAGCAGTTAAGTATCCAGATGATCTGCCAAGTGCATCAGTTGTAATAGTATTTAAGAATGAACGTTGGTCACCAGTACTTCGAACTGTTTACTCAGTTTTAAATCGTTCACCGAAACAGTATCTAAAAGAAGTTATTTTAGTTGATGATCAATCAGATATCGGTTGGGATACATTTTTGTAAAAATAACAACAAAAAAAATAATTGTATCGTTTTTATTTAGAGGAAATGGGTCAAAAATTAGATGATTATTGTGAAGAACATTTTGGTGAATTAGTTCGAGTTTTACGAGCACCTAGTAGACTTGGATTAATTAAAGCAAAAAATTATGGAGCAAAAAATGGTTAGTTTGATTTGAAAATAACACGATAGAATATATCTAGCTTTTATTTTTATAGCTACCGGTGATATTGTTGTTTTTCTCGATGCTCATTGTGAAGCTAATACTGGATGGTAAAAATTTTGATTATTTTGATTGAAATATTTCTTTTGTATAGGTTAGAACCTCTTCTTGCTCGAATAAAAGAAAAGCGTTCAGCAGTTTTATGTCCAAGTATTGATATGATTAGTGATCATAATTTGGCATATGGCGTGAGTATTGTTTTTAATAAATTATGTAATCTAAATTTGTTTTTTATAGGGTACAGGTTTTGGAAGTGTAGGTGGTTTTTGGTGGTCATTACATTTCAATTGGGCTCCAATTCCAAAACGAATACGTGATGCACAAAAATCCAGAATTGATCCTTATCCGTATTATAATAGTCATCTATAATGAAATAAAAATTTGTATTGTTCATTATTAGATCACCAACAATGGCTGGTGGACTTCTAGCTGCAAATAGAGAATATTTTTTTGAAATCGGTGGTTATGGTAAGATTTTTTATATATGATTAATTTAATAACTTTCGTTCTATGATTTATTTAGATGAAGATATGGAAGTAAGATTTTTTGAAATAAATTCTGATGGTTTCTATTGAATAAATAGGTATGGGGTGGTGAAAATTTAGAATTATCATTTCGTACATGGATGTGTCATGGTAGTCTTGAATTTGTTCCATGTTCTCGTGTTGGTCATATCTTTCGACCAGGTCATCCATATAATATGACTGGAGCAAAAGGTAAAGGTGATGTTCATGGTCGAAATTCTATGCGTTTAGCTGAAGTTTGGATGGATGATTACAAACGTTTATATTATATGCATCGACGAGAACTTATAGTAAGATCTATTCATAGAATTTAATAGAAAGATATAAAATATGTGATTTAGGGAAAAGACTATGGTGATGTTGAGGAGCGTCGAGCAATTCGTACTCGTTTAAATTGTCATTCATTTAAATGGTTTCTCGAGAATGTATTTCCGGAAAAATTTATTTTAGATGAAAATGTTCTTGCATATGGAGAAGTAAAAAAATTTATTTTCAAGAAAATTTATCATACAGATTATGTTAACTTTTTTAGACTAGAAATCCAAATTCACAATTGTGTTTAGATACGATAGGTAAAGATGAAAAAGGAACAATACCATTAGCAGTTTATTCATGTCAAAGTGGTGCATCAGCTAATCAATATCTTACATTAACGAAAGATAATCAATTACGTCGAGAAGATGGATGTTCAGTCACTTCAGACTCCACATCAATTGTTTTAACTAATTGTGATTATAGTGATCATAAGCAAACGTGGACACATACTAATGTAATAGAAAAACATTTAAATAGAATTTACATATTTTTATTTTGTTATAGAATGGAACACTTGTCCATCATCCAAGTAATCTTTGTCTTGATGTTGAAGGTCTTGCAAATAATGATCAAGTTAAATTAAAAAAATGTGAACCTAATAAATTATCGCAACAATGGTTATTCAGGCATTATCCAAAATAATTTATTTATAGAATAATTCCGTTACTCTTTTTTTTTGTTTTATTGTGAACAGTACTCATAACATTCCGTAATAATCGTTTTCTTTCTCTTCTTCTTACTGTGATATTTATTTCAAAATACTCTGAATAATATATCATCAAATTTTTTCTCTGATATGTATTTTATGTGAACATTTCGATGTATTTGAAATCAAAACGTTATGTTTCTATTTAATAAATATGAAAATTTATTTGCATTTAATTCTGTACTGACCTCTATGCCTAGAAACAGATTTGAGTAATATGTAATGTTTCAAGCAATAGAAATAATTTGTTTTTTTAAGAAGGTGAATCACCATTTATGTAATGTCACAATCAAAATGAAATACATTTTCGTGATATTTTACGTTATAAATTTACCTAGAAGTCTATCGGAATTTCTTGTTATTATAGATAAAAATGGTTAATACTCGAAAAAGAAAATTACCTACAAAAGAAGAATCTGATGTACAACAAAATACAAAGAAGAAACGAGTGACAAAAACTCAAACTCAAGAACCCTCACCTGAGATTTCTACAACTACGGAAACGACTAAATCACAACAATCTTTAAGTAGTTTAATTCATGAACCATCATGGTCGGAAAATCTACAAGATTTATTTAATGATAGTAATTTCAAGAATATTGAACAATATTTAAATAATCAATGGTCAAATGGCAAAACAACATATCCACCAAATAATCTGATATTTGAAGCATTTAATAAAACTCCATTTAACAATGTTAAAGTAGTTATTCTTGGACAAGATCCATATCATGATGATGGACAAGTTAGAATGAAATTCTTTTTTAAACAATCAAATTTTATGAATGATTATTTTTTTAGGCTCATGGATTATCTTTTTCTGTACCTAAAACAATGACAGTATTACCACCATCATTAAAAAATATTTTTAAAGAATTAGCAAATGATATTCCAACATTTCAAATTCCAAATCATGGTTGTTTAGAAAAATGGGCAAATTCAGGTGTCCTATTACTTAATGCTTCATTAACTGTCGAGTAAATCTAATAAAAACTATTTTTTAAATAAAAATATATCTTTATTTCTTTAGACCTCATTTACCAAACTCACATTCTCGTATTGGTTGGACTAAATTTACGGATAGTGTTATTAAACTTTTATCCGATAAACGTCAAGGTTAGATAAATAAATCTTCTCATTGTCTAAAATAATTTATTCTTCAATTAGATCTTGTCTTTCTTCTTTGGGGTGGTTTTGCACATGCAAAAGAAAAGTTAATTGATAAAACCAAACATACAATTATTAAAACTGCACATCCATCTCCACTTTCATTTAATAAATTTACAAATTGTAAATGTTTTTCTCTTGTTAATAAAGCACTTGAACAACATGGTCAACAACCAATCGATTGGTCACTTTAAATAAACTCTAGTTTACAGATTTATTGTTTTTTGTTTCGTCCAATAGTATATATTTTAATCATGAATATATGTATGTTTACAGAAAACAATAAAGACAAGGAAATCCATTGCACACAAGAGAGAGAGATACATAAGCAAAACGAATATGAACAGATCGAATGTTAAGAAGAAAGAAAGAAATATTGAGCATCATCACGGGCTGAGTGAGAGAAAAAGAAATGATGTCACCGGAATTTGAAGATAAAAAATGTTAAAATGAGAAATCAAGATAAAAATGGCATAGATGATGAATTTATATTTGAAGTTAATTTTATTGAACGATTTATGGATCTTTCTTCTTCACTTGAATCTTCCTTGTAACTATCGTCATCAGTAGCATTGCTTGATTGAGTTTCTTCATCGATTTTTGATACAGAATATGATTTCGATCTAAAGTTAGAATAAATAAAATTAATTTAAAAAAAATGATCAATTCATTATAACAATCAATAAAGATATAAGCAGAGAAGGACACACAAACAATATATATATGCATATACCATATCTCTCGTATTGTTCTCATAATACTTGTATACGGAGACCTATTCAGTAATTATGATAAAAACAAATTCTAAACTTATTATAATATTAACGTACTTATTAGTAATATTATTACTACGATTCGGTGAAGAATTTGAACGGCTGCGTGGTTCTACGTCGAAAGCAGCTGTATTTAATAGATTATTTTGTGTTAGACTAGATAGTTGAAAAGCGGTGTTAAATTGAAGCATTATAATAATATTAAAAAAAAGAAACAATGAAAATCCTGCCTACTTTTCGGAAGTAAAAATATTTAATGGATTAGCAGATGGAGTTGGTGGTTGAACAGATATAGTTTGAGATATTAAGCCATTACTTGAACGTGGCTGAGGAATAGGTGCCTGGTTTGTCTTCTATAAATATTTATAATATAAATTTCATGAAAAAAATAAATGAAGATAAATTACTATAGAACGTGTTCGTTTAACTTGATCTTTATTTACTTGAATAATTGTTCGACCTAATGTCATAGTTGTGTCTCCAGTTGAATTTGATTGTGGACTAACAGGTGAGACATCATGATTGATATTAATTGGAGATGCCGGCACAGATGAAATTGATCCTGATCGACTTGAAGAAAATACACCGAAAATTTTTTTTGAAAAACCTTTCTTTTTTGATACTGGTGATGTACGACCAGATGTAGCAGTATTTGTACTATCACTTGATGTAATTGTTGAAGTACCAGCAAAACTTTCACTACGAGCATTAGGACGTATATCTATCTGTTGTTGTTGATGAATATAATGACTAAGATTATGATACTGATCATGTTCAACTGCAAAATCAAGCATAGGACCAGGAATAAATATATCAATAAGTTTTTTTAATTCTTCGTATTTTAATCGTTGTCGTTGTTCAAATATACGTGAACGAAGACTTGGTGATTCAATAGCAACATTTACTGAATTAAGTAATAATGTAAGAAAATAAGAACAAAATGATTGATCATATTTATAGACTCCACCAGGTGGATCAATGAAAGATGTTATATCATTTCGACGCCAAATAGCAACCTATAAAAAGAAATAGAAATTAGTATTATTTCTTATTTATATATTACTTTATAATGAAGTTGTTCGTTAATCGTTACTGGTTGTACAGTAATATATATTTGTATTACTTTTCCAGCAATAAAATCTGGTAAAAATTTTGCACCTGCTTCTTGAAAAACAACACAAACAAATGCATTTCCAATTAAACCTTTTCTTTCAATACATTGTCCATTTGCTTTTGTTGATGGTATTAATGGTGCTATATTGAACATAATTTCATGATTTTCATATTCTGTATAATAAGAATATTCGCCATGTAAATCATCTTTTGTATCAAGATCACCACGATATTTTGAAAAGCCTTTTAATGCTACTTGACGTGATATATAATCTAGAAAATGACGCATTTCATTTGGCATAGAATCATTACTAAATATATCATATTCATTTGTTTGATTAACACCTTGATAAATAACACCAATTTTACAATGATATCTTTCATCATTTGTTTTATCAAATAAATATAATTTTTCATTCGCCTGTTAAGAATAATTTTAAATACAAAATCATTGCAATTTTATTTGACTTATCATCTCACCTACTCACTTTTGGATCACCGATAGCTCCATATGACAAAACTTCTGTCAATTTTCCTTTATGAAATAATATTTGGAGAATATGATTTTCATTTGTTCCATTAACTATTTCAGATACATCACAATTACGATATTGAGTACTAGAGATATATAAATAAAAATTAATTAAATAAATTCATTTATTCATCTATTAATTATACCGAATAAGCGCACGAGCTAAACAAGTGTCTACCATAGACTCTTTATTATGGATAAATCGTAGAGATGCTAGAAATGGACCTTCATGGAAAAGTTCGCCGTAATAATTTGCATGAAACTAATTATACAAGAATAGAAAGACTTCTTTCTCTTTTTTTATCACACTTTGATCTACTTACATGGTTGAGAAAATGATCACGATATATTTCTGAAATACAAAGCGGCGTAGCTGATTCAAATATAAATAATTCAGCTGATCGTGGTTCAGTTATAGCGTCTTCACAAATAAATGAAGATGATGGAACTGAATCATCACTTTGAGATGAAGGTAAACGTTCATGACTTTGTGAAGCAGTTATTCGTGAATTGTTTGTTGGTATCTTCTATTAATAAATACATTTTTTTAAAATAAAATATCTTTTTTTAATATTACCTGCTGTTCTTTTTCATCAGATTTATTTATCATGATTACTCTCAATTCTGAAGTGATTTTTTTATATAGATATAAAGTAACACAATCGATAAGTAGAAAAAGACTAAGTCAGCTTTTTTCTACTAAGTCCGCCTCTTTTTCTTTTTTTTTTTATTAACAATGTGCTTATAGAGAATGAAGAACGATACACGAAGAGATGCGGAAGGGAGAGAGAGAGAGAGAGAGAGAGAGAGAAAGAAAAAAATATATATAGAAACGGTAAGGAGAAGGCGTGCAAAAAAGAAAGAGAAGATGCGTCACTAATAGGTTGTCGTCTTTATTCAAGCGTAACAAAAATAGATGTGCATAGACTATTATTTCATTATTATTAAATAATCAGTTCTGTTCAAATAATAGAATTTCTCATTTATTTCTCCCCTAGTATTCTCTCAAGATTACTGCTGTGTAAAAACAGGAACAAAAGAAGCACGAAGATTGTTTCTTAGCATTAACTGAAGCGGATAATCTTGATCTTGTTTAAATTGCAAATTATTCAAATGATTACTGATGATCTTAAAATGAGATGACAGTATAACCTTGAAATATAATTGCTAACATAACTTTTAAATGAGTGTTTCATATATATATCATGTTTATATCCTTCAACTATTTCTCACCTTCGGCTTACTCATCATTTTACTCACTTATGTCATGCAGTATGTAAGAGAAAAAAATTTGCTTTCTCGATTATGAAAACACATACACACACTTAACTTACCAATGAAAATGGTGTATCTGGTTTTATTGCCATTGTATCAGCAGATTGTGCAGGAGATATAGTAGTGGAGGCGTTTGAGTTGCTAATATTAATAGTGTTCGTATTTACTTCGTCTCTAAAAACAAATTATGCTAAGCAACAAGGTAAGATATTCACGTTAGGTTAGGGTGCATAATACTCAACTGCTAGTATCTTATAGTTTACTGATAAGAAGAAGAAAAAATGAGAAAAAGAGAAAGACAGAGAGAGAGAAAAAAGAGAATTGTTAGTTCCTCCTCTTTTTTTATTATCAATAGTTATTCTTTTTTTTTTGTGTTGTCGACTTATAATAAATGACGTAGTTTAATAGTCTATTATCGTTATCATTATCATCTGTCTTTATACCCATAAACCTACTTTGTATTAGTTTTATGATGATGTTTTGCATTACGAAATGCATGTGGAATTAGAGAACTGAAATAGATTTGTGGAGTTGAATTACGTCGATCAGAAGATGTAAGATCATTATGGTCGACTGGCGGTTTTAATTCGCTAGTTCGTCTATCACGTTTAATACTATGTTTATTTGTATATGATGGTATTGATGTTAGTTCTGTAATTGTATCAGCAGATACTTCTTCTGAAGCAGACATTGTTCGTGGTCGTGAACTACTTCGTGGTCGATGATGATGAAGATGGTGGTGATGATCTTTTGGAGGACCTGCCATAGAATGTCTTGATGGAGGATAATGATCGCTCTGAGATAGTGTTGGTTGTAATGCTTTATTAGGAGGTGAATTAAGATCAACACGATTTTTAAATGTCGATAATTGCGTAGGTGATGCCGTTGAATCAACCGACATGGTTCAATAATAACAAAAGATTTTTTTTTCTTCTAGAAATAGAAATAAGTAATGAGTATTATCTTTAATTAGAACATTGTATCAATAGAGTAATTATATCAATTAGTTCTTCTTTTTTTGATTAAAACCGGAAATAAATACTAATCTTATTTTATCTAACACGTACTTTATAGATAAAAAGAAATTTTTTACAGAGTGTACCTTAATATAGATACTTTTTGTACGTACCTTCTTGTTATTATACAAATCTATTTAGTACAAGCTTTTACGTCGTTACTATTATTATATCTAAATCGAATGAGCTAAAACAAAAATAAATAATTGTATTTTCGAGTAATTCATAACACTTAATAATAAGTGAATGAATTTCGTTGAAATACATCTTCCTATCGGTTAACCGACCTTTGCATGGCATATACATAGTCATGTGCATACCTATTGCGTTCTGCTTGAGTAATCTTTTGCTTTTTTTTTCTTGCCTATTCAATATAAACATTAATATGTTGATTAAAAAGAGTTTTCTTTTCTGCACCTATTGAATCACATGTGCTCGATCATGCGTGTTTTCGATAAGAAAAAAACAGAATAATACAAAAGGTAAAAGAAAATAAATATCTATTTATTAATATATACTCATTAATAATAATATTCGCGTTGTTTTTTCTTCTCTTAAATATAATATGTAGATAAATGAAAAAACAGAAAGTTATACAAAATTTTCAATCATCATTGGATATATTGTTCTCAATGTCAAGTATACTGTTGAAAATGATATTTAGACTAAATAGAATATCTTTTTCTAAGTAGATACTTACTATTTAAGTATTTTTAATATAAAAATAAAGATATTTAACATAAAATGATGAAAAAAATACAGTGCGCAATAAAATTAATTCAATTGAAAGTTTGAAATGAAGAATAGTCATACTATGTTATTACTCTTTCTCTCGTATACTTCTTTTTTTTCACCCTATTACTCGTCTGTGGTAATAGAAAAAGAAAAAGTAAGACAAGTACAATAGAGATTCAAAGAGTGTCAGTTTATTGTAGCAAAGTTGTTTGTTTCTCATCTCTTTTTACGATTTCTATATTATTAGCTATTTGTTCTCTTTTTACCAGAGACGCACGTCCGTATATGCGAAATAAGAGAAATATTGATTTATAATAGCATACTATATAAACATATCTAGGCTACATTTTATGAGAAAAAAAACTCTTCATGTTTGCTTATTCCTTATTTTTCTTAAACATCATAACAAAGAGGAAAAAAACAGGATAGACAGGAGGAAATTATATATTTTATATTTTCTCATTGTTTTGTTTTTACAAAGAAGAATAGCGCAATATGCAATTTAAATAGATCTATCTATTTGTCTGATATATATGAACTGATCCGATCGTATCGAGTAACAAGATTTAGAAAATGAACAAAATGATGATGTAAACATTATTTTTTTTTAATTGACAGTTGTTTGATATACTAGACATTTAATACATGAATGGTATATAGTGTTCATCAATGTTTTTGAAATCGAATGAAAATAAGCGTGTAATTGAACCAAATATATTTTTTCATTAAAATACTTTGTAATTGATGTTTTTATGTAATAATAAATATTCATATTATGGAGATTTAACCAAATCTAATACTCTTTTGAATAGTATATTTTAATAGAAAATAGATTTATTTGAGTATAAAAGTGAATGTTAATAAGAATAGTCTATTTTTTATTTCTTTCTTTTATAAATGGCAAAGCATAAAAAAATAAAATGTTCAATCATTATACATTAATTGTATGTCCATTTTGTTTTAATACATCAATAGCTGTTTGTAAATTGATATCCTTGATCAATACATAGTCTGTATCAAATGTCGATATAGCTAGTATACCAACTTCAGCTTTAGCTAATGGATTAAGAACAGATGTTAAAATACCGGTCAGATCAAATGGAAATGGACCGATCAATTTGAAACACTTCCAATTTCGTTCACATTGAATCTCTTTTGGTAATTGATTATTATCAATTGTAATTATTGATAGTTCATCATTCGTTTTTGTTATTGAAACAAATGGACCATTGAATGCCCAAGACGGTAATGATGATGATGGTGATAGCCGACATATAACAAAATTTTCTTGAAGAAGTTCAAGTGTTAATGTTGCTGGTTTAGCCATTAATGAATTATTGCAGGATGTAAATAATCTAGTATCTCAATCTCAAGTGTAATGTTATGTATATAACTGTGATGAATATCTAATCATAAAAATAAAGTATTATTAAAAGAGGGCGTGCTCTGACGGTAAGTATAAATCGTTAATAATCTTTGAAGGTGAGATTGAATATAGTGGAAAAATTTTATTAGATTTGTGATAGATATGTGATTTTTGAAACGCACAAAAGAGAAGAAGACAGAATAACGTCCATTTTTTTTCGTTTATGATTCGTATTCATACCTAAACGTTACACTACTAAAAAATGGTAACTAATAGTCTATGATTGAGTATTCGACAAGGTGCTGTCCAAATGCCTGTAGAGTAATTTCATTGTAAACCTTATGACGAGAATGATTTAGATTTAATTCATCGTATATATTGAATTGAAGGTGTGGGTGAGTGTCTGTGTGCTGATCCTATTTACACCCATACCCGCTTTCATTGTTAATTCGACATGTAAAAAACATCTTCAAAGTTACATTGAAACTAATGAACTCATAGTGCTTGGGAAAACTCTTAAGGATTCAATGAATGATATAATAACGATGATAATGAACATGAGAGTTAATAGTTACGGGAAGAGAAAGAAAGCAAACAATTTTTGGCAACATAATATAATATGACATTTATGCAAGGCTACATTTTAGAATTCAAATAAAAAAAAATTTTCTAAGATTAATTTCTTAGTTCAGAAGTGTAGTTGAACGCTTTGAAAATGTATATGGAAGATCAGAACGATGATGTTGAGCAATGAATTCGAGTGCATTGATGATTCGTGAGACATCGTCATCAGACAAGCCAGCATGTAATGTTAATCTCAACATAGATCGGTTTAGAGGTGTCGCAGGTGGTATGAATATAGCACCGGATATTCCAACATTTTCGAAATAACTCTGAAGTTTTTTTGAGAACAAATTTGGTCCAGCATTCAAACACAAAATGGAACTTGGCAGTGGTGTTTGTTCGACATCAAATTCTAATGTAACTGCAGCATGACGTACGGTTGTTGCAATATGCATTAATCTTTGTCTTTCTTTATCGGCATTGTAAATTATATTGATAGCACGTTGAAGACGTTGTATATCCCAATTCATAAGTGTGCTGCTAAATGTTGAAGATGATGATTTTTCTCTCACATACAATACCTCTTGAACTCGACCAGCAATGAATCCAGCACGAACACAATACGCTTTAGCTAGACTACCCGTGATAAAGTCAATACGATCTGTTACATTTCCCAATGATGCAAGACCGCAACCATGTGGTCCATACAATCCAATTGAATGAGATTCATCGACTACCAACATGCAATTGTATTGTTCCTTGAGATTACAAAGTTCAATCAGATCAGCAATAGAACCTTTTCCTGAGTAAAGAGAGTCAACGACAATAATTCCACTTCCAAATCTGCGAAGATTTTGTTCTAGATCATCTAAAGAATTATGTTTAATTTTGTGAATAATACCACGACTAGCGCCTTGCCAAAGTGACTCATGAGCAGCAGTATCAATATAGATGTGGGTCTTCGCAGGGATAACCAATGCTTGAAGTAGACCATAATTAGCCACATATCCACTTTGAGCTAAATAAACACTTTCTTTTCCAAGTATTTTCTTAGCTAGTAAGTCAGATACTTGATATTGAAGACAGGCTTGTTGTAAAAAGACTCCTGCCATTATATTGTCTGATCCTTGCCTTGGGATTGAAAAGTGCTGTTTCTCATCCAATAAATTTTGATGCAAGACTTTTTCAGTCTTAGAAATCACGCTATTCATGCTATGTTGATATGCATCATCGTCAATTAATCGTGGATCACAGGACAAATGTAAATAGTCATTATTGTCAAGATAGATATCAATGCAATCTGGTCGTGTTAATGCAAGTAAATCTATGTCACCTTTGCCTGTAGTAGTTGATTGAAAATATTTCTGCATATTTTGAAGAAATTGTTCTCTGGTAGTATTCGTCTTTGGTGGATGGCTAAGAGGCATGGTTGATGACGCTGCGGATGATGGTATGTTGCAAACAGCTCCTCCTAAAAAATACGAGAACAATAACAATTATGAACAACATGTTGCACAGATAAGCAAGTTGTAATTATTATGGCTCCATTACCTCAAATGAAATCAAGAAAACTGACTATTCGTACAGGTTTTTCAATCTTTTTGCTTTAACAAAATTACTCGATTCACTGTAAATTATTTCATTTCTTACTAGGACAACCTGAATTGCAGTGACATAGTGAAAAAGATATAAACGAACGAATTAAGCTGTGTTTTATGACTTACTTAAATGTGATTGGTATTTGTTGTTGGTTATAATCAAATATTTGACTAAACGATTGTGTACGAGACGAAACATATTCACTTGTTTGAATGATTATTATCTGAAAGTAGAAAATAGCGATTGTTGAACTTGCTTTTCATAAATAAAGGATACCACTGAAATTCATTTTACAAGGACATCTTTGTATGGTAGCGGATTAATTGCTTGAAACAGAATCATTAAGAACATCTAGACATGTTGACTTCTTTAAAACTATTAAGGCTTCTGCAGATACACCGACCATTCCGAGTAATCAGAAAACCTTGGGGGCTTATAAAAATATCTAACTCGCTCAGATGATTACGCAGAAATCATTGGAGAAACCTGTGGTAAGTTTGAAACGGTGAGAAAGGATTTTTTTTCGATCCGTAAGGTATTATTGGATTCAACGAATGCACACTCTGATCAGAATAGCGAAAGAAGAAGACACAAGGCTAGATAATCTGGGTGTTCTAACATTCACACTTAAGGCATAGCGAGACTTACACAAAGAATTAAAAGAGTTAATGTCAATATGCGAATGGTCAAACATCAGAAATTTCATCTCGTAAGAGATGTCTGCATTGTCACTTTTATGATAATAGCAGATCTATCGCGTTTCACATTTTAATCTCACAGAGATTGCATTAATAGCTTTTATTCTAGGATTACCTTCAGTTCCCAATCTGTATCATTGAATCTCTCAATTTCAATACCTAAAAATCATTTTGCTGCATCATGTTAGACAGCTCTGTTACGCATCAAAAATTTACGTACCTTAATTAAATGTAAAAAGAGGAAGAGCAAGCACCTTTAATACCTAGTGAAAAAATGACTCAGAAAGGTAACTTCCGACGTGATATTGAAATAAAAAGGGAAAAAAACATGTTGTCATAACAAATTACGTCTGTATATTGCAAAACAGTGTCTAAAAATCTCGAATAAATCATTTGCAACTAAAGTGAAGGATATACTGTAGTAGTCTCTTTCTTTATATATACAATCTTCGGTTACTTGAATTGAGTAAAAAAACTCTGAGTTAAGTTGAAGTCCAAAATCCATATTGTACCCATATGTACGCATTTTCAAGAAAAGTATTCCTTTTTTTACAGCTGTATTCAAATTTTCTAAAAAGGAAATTTCCGATATTACTAAAATTTCTCTTACATCCTTTTGAGTCATTAAATGCTATCGACAGGAATTTGCCAAGTATTCAAAAATATTAAAACTAATTTCACCAGAAATTACTCAGGAAATTCAGCAATTATGGAAATTTCAATAATTACTACTATCTTGAGGATGTGAGTGTCGGTATCTTGTCTCGTTTTTTTTATTAAGTCTTCGTTATCATATTTTATCAACAAATCAAGAATATATTTTCAAAGATTTTCCAACTATTCGCCGATGTTTATGTTCTGTTGATGAATTACCTATCCTTAATGTTGAATATCGTTTAGTTAATGATATTGAGGTAGTTTTTATTGATAAATCAACAACATACGATGCACAAGTTCATCCAGGAGAAAAGTACGTATGAAAAATATTGGATAAATTAAAAATTTTCATAATTAACGCTGAAGTTTATTTATTTATTTATAGTTTATTTGTAACACTTGGCTTAACTAACTCATCATCAGAATGTGATATCAATAATGTAGAAATACAAGCTTTTGCATATGGTTTTGATATGACAGGTTTATATTTATATAAAACTATGTAATTAATTTTTATTTCGATTATTTTTAGAATGTACTAAAACTACAGAATTCGATTTACCAATATTAATGAATGAAATTATAAAACTAAAAATAGACCTTAGTGAAATGCATGATCGTTGTCTTTTGCGACACGATCGATCAGCAACAAAGAATGAAATCGATTCAATTAAAATATGTCATAAAAAATCTTTTATTTATATACATATCTATTTAGTGTTTAACTATTGAACTTCGTCTTGATTATTTAGCATTAAGAAAATTTGAAATTACTGACATACAAAATGATAAAGAGTAAAATAAATTTTTTTCTAATCTCATTTATCTATATTTAAATCTCATTTGTTGTAAAATTGATAATCATCTATGAGAAGAAATTATATTCCATAATAGTACAGTAAAATCAATGGAATCTTCATTAATAACAACAAAATAAAATATATTTACATCGGATTTAAATCAATTAATTGCTGATATTCGAACCCAATTACCGATGCATATTCATTATAAAACCACTACTTCAGTTAGTATTTTATTCACTTTATTTACTGTTGTTTGACCGTAATCATATTATAACAGAGTAAAATATTTCAGCGAATTATTGATAAAATGATATTCTCTCTTTTAACTTCTCAATAATCCTAGTTTTTTATATCTAATCATATGCATATAGAGTTACAAGAATCAATAAAAAACAAAATCGAATTTGTATTTTATTTATTTTTCTAAGTAGAATAAATACCTTCGTTTATCTATTGATTGGCAATATGTGTCCAATGACAAAATTCAAAATCATTTCAGTGATCTTATACAATCACCTTATACATATGATTGGCATTTTGAAATGATGGCTAATACTTTACACATACATTTATGTGTTTTATCAAAATATTACAATTAGAATTTTTATGTCCAACATTAAATGGTATTCGATTTTTAGATTCGAATAAAATCATATTTAATAATGTAAGAATGTTGAATTGCATGTTTTTGAATACAAATATTTTAATTTTTAGATTGAACAAGGAAAATATGTTATGACTGAACGTATTCTAAACTTTTCTCAAAGAAATAATTCCGATGTACTTATTGTTGATAATATAACATGGAAAAGAATCACTTTAACATTTTAAAATTAAGAATAAAAAGAAATAAGCGAAAATAATGTTTTGTTCTTTTCATTGTGTATTTTTTATAATCTATTTGTACTCAAGTTATTCACGAGAATTTTTTTTTTGCATTTCTTAACAGCAGAAATAATGGATGATTTTAGATTGATAGTTAGTTTAGAAATATTTTTGAAAATAATAGTGATATATGTTTATTCTTGTACTTTCGAATATAAATCTAGTCTTTATATAAATCGTTCATTGATAGAGTTTTTTTAATTACCAAAAATCGTTTAAATCTCTAGAAAATTCAACAGATGCAAGCCTGCTGGCTGGAAATACTGTTTTATTTTGCTGCCCACGAATGTTAGATGCTTTTGTCTAATAAGAGAACTTGTAGCAATGCTTCTTCATACAATTTGTAATAATTTGGTGATGAATAATTGTGAGGCATATGATTCTCACAAAAAAATTTGTATTAGTAACTATTTAAAATTGTATTTTGAAATATTTCCTATCAAGTACATTTGACTTCAGTATTCTTTGTTTATTCATTATTATTCACAAATAATCGATTGGAATTTCTGAGAATGATATAATCAATATTAATATTTTGTAATAGTTTGTTGTCATTATAAGTGAGTCCAATGACTTTAATGGTTATTCGCTGGCATATCGAATAAATATCGTTGATATTATTTATTTAAAACATATGTAACAGTCAAAAAGATAAATATAAATAAATGCTTTCTATTTTAAATCAATCTGAAAAAGCATTGAAGAAGATTTTCACTTGCATACTTTTGACATTTTGTACATAGTGTAAATACATTTATTTTAAAACACAAATACTGTCAACTATCATGCTGAAGATTGATCGAAACACTGACAACAAATAACTTTTACAGCAAAATGTATATTTCAATCTTGTCGATTTTGATGAAAAATATACTTTCGAAGATATGTCTTTTGGTAAATAATGTACTGAATATGAGATCAATCAATCATCAGATATATATTAGTAGCCATTGAAACACTTTTTTGTTGTTGAATAGACTTAAAATATTATATTATCATTGTCGCACTAAAAATTTGTGGTAACTGTCAGTAATAGTGTCGTGCATAAACTTGCAGAGAAGACAACAGCTTGTCTTAGATTTCATCGTCTTATAAATAAATACATAAATAACATTCTTCCATAGCATCATTAATTCACTATCAAAACTATCAACGCTCGGAATTGTTCTTAATTCGATATAAAATATATCATAACTTAGAAGCAGAACCAGATACTTTCTCGATCAGTTTCCAAAAGAGACTTTAAACAAGTTACTTAGTTTATGAATGGTTCTCTGATTTTCTCAAAAATACTATGTCATTTGAAATCCGGTAAAACCAGCATCAGCTTAGCAATTAACATGACATCTGCTAACCACCATTCTCTTGATCATATAATAATAATCATCTTTTCTGTCAGCACGTTTCGTTTCATTAAGACACAATAGCTGATAACTATGTTCTAACAATTTAAGACCGGTCCATGAAAAACAGCATATAATAGAATCACAAATAACACCATGAAATTAGGCTATCGCATCTCCTTCAGTTCAGAGCATTACTTAAACAAGAACAAATGTATCATGATTATTTTATAGTAAAAAAGTAGAACAAGATTCACACTTTAGTAAACATGCTTTCACAACAATCAAACAACTTTATTGTCATTTATAAGTCACCAATGCAATGAAATCCTAATGAGACGATAAATACATTCTTCTATTCCAACACAATGGTATCTCCTTCATTAACATTTACTGTTTTGCCAAGCGCTCATTCCTCTGAATAAGTTCATGCAACCGATCTAGAACCTTCGCCTCGATCTGATTCCCGAAGAGAATAAGTTTAGTGAGTGCCTGTGTGAAAAAATGTAAATATTTTGTATGAAATAGCTGACGAGAAAATGAGATTTACTGTATTATTTCTTAATGAATCAATAAGATCATGAACTCCCTTCTCTCCGATTTCATTATGTTGGAGATCAAGTGTGGTGAGTGTCTGTGAAAAAAAGTATAAATGTTAGTCGGAGATCGTTGAAGAAAAACTGAGATTTACTGTATTATTTTTTAATAAACCAGCAACACGTTGTGCTCCTTTGTCTCCAATTTGATTGACACTCAGATTAAGTGTAGTAAGCGTCTGTGTGACAAAGTGTAAATAATTGCATGATGAACTAGTTGAAGGAAGAATGAGATTTACTTTATTGTTTTTTAATAAATCAGCAAGATGTTGTGCTCCCCTATGTTCGATTTTATTGCCACTGAGATCAAGTGTGGTGAGTGTCTGTATGCAAATGTGTAAATGTGTGTATGACATAGCTGAGGAGAAAACGAGATTTACTGTGTTGTTTCTTAATGACTCATCAATATGTTGTGCACCCGTGTCTCCGATTTGATTATTGCCAAGTTGAAGTGTCGTGAGTGTCTGTGTGAAAAAGTGTAAATATTTCTATGAAATAGTTGAAGATAAAATGAAATTTACTGTGTTCTCTTTTAATAAATCAGCAAGATGTTGTGCACCCGTCCCTCCGATTGTATTGCCATTGAGATTAAGTGCGGTGAGTGTCTGTGTGCAAATGTCAAAATGTGTGTATAACATAGTTCAGGAGTAAATGAGATTTACTGTATTGTTTCTTAATGAATCGGCAAGACCTTGTGCTCCTTTCTTTCCAATATAATTGCTGCTGAGATCAATTGTGGTGACTGTCTGTGTGGAAAAATGTAAATGTTGATATGACTTGCTTGACGAGAGAATGATATTTACTGTATTGTTCCTTAATGAATCAGCAAGCTGTTGTGCTCCCTTCTCTGTGATTCTATTGACACCGAGATTAAGTGTGGTGAGTGTCTGTAAAAAAGTGTAAATATGTATATGAGACAGTTGAAGAGAAAAGAAGATTTACTGTGTTATTTTTTAACGAACCAGCAAGATATTCTGCTCCTTTCTCTTTGATTTTATTATAACTAAGATTAAGTGTGGTGAGTGTCTGTATGGAAAAATTTAAATGTTTATATGAGATAGTTGAAGAGAGAATGAGATTTACTATGTTCTCTTTTAATAAATCAGCAAGATGTTGTACACCCGTGTCTCCGATTTGATTATTGCCAAGTTGAAGTGTCGTGAGTGTCTGTGTGAAAAAATGTAGATATGTGTATGAGACAGTTGAAGAAAAAATTAGATTTACTGCATTATTTCTTAACGAATCAGCAAGATGCTGTGCTCCTTTGTCTCCGATTCGATTATAACTGAGATTAAGTGTGGTGAGTGTCTGTGTAAAATAGTGTAAATGCATATTTGAAATAGTTTAAAAGAAAATGGAATTTACTGTATTGTTTCTTAATGAATCAGCAAGATGTTGCGCTCCCTTTTCTCCGATTTTATTGCCATCGAGATCAAGTGTGATGAGTGTCTGTGTGAAAAATTGGGAATGCACGTATGAGGTAATTAAACATAGAACGAGATTTACTGTGTTGTTTCTCAATGAATCAGCAAGGTGCTGAGCTCCTTTGTCTCCGATTTGATTGTGGTCGAGATTAAGTGTAGTGAGTGTCTGTAAAAAGAGTGTACATATGTGTATAAGACAGTTGAAGAGAAAATGAGATTCACTGTGTTATTTCTTAACGAATCAGCAAGATACTGTGCTCCCTTCTCTCCAATTTCATCTAAACCGAGATGAAGTGTGGTGAGTGTCTATGTAAAAAATGTAAATACTTCTATGAGATAGTTTAAGACAGAATGATATTTACTGTGTTGTATTTTAATAAATCAGCAAGATGTTGTGCTCCTTTCTCTCCGATTTTATTGCCATTGAGATGAAGTATGGTGAGTGTCTGTAAAAAAGTGTAAATATGTATATGATACAGTTGAAGAGAAAATGAGATTTACCGTATTATTTTTTAAGGAACCAGCAAGATATTCTACTCCTTTCTCTTTGATTTCATTATACCTGAGAAAAAGTATGATGACGGTCTGTATGAAAACATGTAAATGTTTGTACGAGATAGTTTAAGAGAAAATGAGAGTTACTGTGTTGTTTCTTAATGAATCAGCAAGGTGTTGTGCTCCTTCGTCACCGATTTTATTGCAACCGAAATCAAGTCTGGTGAGTGTCTGTATGAAAAAGTTTAAATATGTGTATGAGACAGCTGAAGGGAAAATGATAATTACTGTATTGTTTGTTAGTAAATCAGCAAGATGCTGTGCTCCTTTGTCTCCGATTTCATTAAGACAGAGACTAAGTGTGGTGAGTGTCTGTGTGAAAAAGTGTAAATGCATATTTGAAATAGTTTAAAAGAAAATGAATATTTACTGTATTTTTTTTTAATGAATCAGCAAGATATTGTGCACCCTCGTCTCCAATTTGATTTCTTGATAGAAAAAGTGTGGTGAGTGTCTTTGTGAAAAAATGTAAATGTTAATATGACATCATTGAAGACAGAATGATATTTACTGTATTGTTTGTTAATGTATCAGCAAGATGTTGTGTTCCCTTGTCTCCCATTTGATTGCGTGACGGATCAAGTGTTGTAAGTGTCTATGTGAAAAAGTGTAAATGCATGTTTGAGATAGTTTAAGAGAGAATGAGATTTACTGTATTGTTTCTCAATGAACTGGCAAGGTGTTATGCTTCTTTGTGTCCTATCTGGTTGCTACGGAGATGAAATGAGAGGTGGAGCGGGTATGAGTGTGGATGCAATTTTGTTTTCATCGAGATTTATATTTTTTAGAATATTACTTAGTTTTATGATTGACTAGCTCTCCCCAAATGCTTTTAACTTGATAAATTGTGTTGTCTCTTAATGAATTCATCGAATGATAATTACATATTGAAACTATATATAAGACTTACTTGATATCGCCAATAAGTGTTAAGGATTTGATTGAACCGTTGGCAGACATTTTGCATTGAGCACAATAAAGTAAAATCGGTTTCATAGTCCAGAATTCGATAAACAAGCTCTACTGGTAATGTAAGAAATGTACACATAGTTTTGTTAGATTTTGATGGAGACTGTTAAAATATATTATGTGGCGTTGCTTTTATAGCACGTGTTGTCGAAAGTAATTTGATATGCTTTGATAGCAGTGTTTCGAGAGAGAATGATACAATTATTTCGTCATAGAAAGAATTGACTAATGGTGATTCCAATAATGAATTATTAGTTTTATTCAAAAAGAGGGCGTTAATGTATATGTTTGGTGGAGTTTGGTGAGAAGATAATATATCATGTGGATGAGTATTTTTTAATCTTTTTTTATGATGAAGAGTGTCTGAACAAGAACAGATAGTTAACTTTCCCAACAATACTTTTTTGAATTTAATGTGATGATCCATTTGAATAAAGAATGTTGAGGGTGTGAGTAAATGTGTGTTCTTCTTATCACAACCACATCCTATAGATCATGAACAATCCAGATTGGTTTTATGTATTGGCTCAATAAAGTGTATGACTAAAATCTAATTTTTTAACCAGTTCTCAAGCTCAATAAATGCTAAGATGGCTCTGTAAGAGTCCACCAGAGTCTATTATCGTTTGCCGATGCTACACAAAATTTAATTAAATCTTTCTGAGCCCAATACAGTTTATCAGAATGTTTCTAAGCCTGCTATGATCTGCTAAAATTCACAAAGATCTGTTATGATTCAATACAAATTCTTCTGGTTCACGTAGGATTCGTCAGAATTCATCAAATCAACTCCATTATCCATAATTTCATTCTCAGCAAAATATATGTCTGATATTATCTGTCAATGGTACTGTCTTCAGATTCGTACCCATATTCTGTATCTTCTGTTCTAAAACTTGATATTTTATTCAAACTTCAGAAAAAACATTATCCCCTGATTCAAAAAAGTAAGACGTGTCCTTGTGTCTATTATACAGTCAAAGTATTTAATGCCTTATTGGAATCTTTCGCACTAATTTTTGAACACAAGTCTGACAATGATCATCGAAGCAAAATCCTTTTTATGTGCTGCATTGTAACACAAAAGTTTATCTGAATGGCTACGATGAACATTTCGACCATATTATTACTTATTAGTATGATCTAAGCAACTTCTAATTACGAGGGTGAGTGTGGTTGAACTTCTTATTACGTATTCCGACATGGACACCTACACTACACAGCCTCAAGATTAATAATTGAGAAAAAGACAAAGATGAGAATATTGTATGTATCATTCTGTATTTTTAGTCTCGTTTATTAAACGAAAATTTAGCGAAAAAACAAGTAAACTAACATAGAATATAAGTCTGAAAATATTTAGGAAGAATTAAATGTTCTTGATACGTAATTAAATATTTCATATTCATTACTTGATTGAACTACAAAATAAATAAAAATAAATTGATTTACATGAAGTAATTTATTATCATATTCTTGTTGCTGTGATGAAGATTTTTCTTCAATTTGTTCTAAAAATAATTTCCAAGCACGACCATAAGATTTTTTCATTAAATTATATTTATAATGAAAATTAGATAATTTTCTATCATTAATTTTTGATATATCACATAATAACTTTCTTAATGAAATATAAATATCAATAAACCAATTTCGATGTTTTTCTTTATCAGTTGATGATGAATTTTTTTGACCAAAAAATTTTAAAATCAGATCTTCATCAAATAAAGTTAAAATTTTATCTTGAATAAATTTAATAATTCCATTTAATTTTTCATCTTTTCTATCATTTGTACTCGAAGTACGTCGTTTCCTCTTGAATGTTAGTAATTTTCAGTGTTATTGGAAGAAAATTTTCGAAATTGCTGAGAATGACTCTTACCATGTGTATATAACTTTCGAAACTTCTTTTTTTAGGAAATCTGAACATACCTCCATAATAATAAAGAAAACTAATGCTCAACATGATTACTCATATTCATACATTGCTTATCCGACATTGTTAGTTTTAAAATATGAAATATATAAATTGTAGAACAATATCAGTTTATTTATGAAGTATAAAGAAAACATAAAGATTGATCCGTTAATTTGATTCTATTACTTCTACATACGTTTTGCAATCATCGGTATGTTAAGAACATGTGATTAATTATTAGGTTAAGCTGACTCAAAGACATAAAGATAACAAAAACTGAAATTTTAGATAATATATATCATTTCATCAATATAGAATTAGTCAAATTGATATTTCTAACGGATTATTAATTTATTAAAGAAAATCAAGAATGACAATAAAGAGCAAGACTATCTAGTTCACAAATTTTTCATTGATTTTCTTTTGCATATTATACCACTATTGTTCCATTGTAACTTCTTTAACAGCGTTATGAATACCAGTTGGAAATAAAAGTGCTAAACGTCTTTGACGTAAACTTTGTTCTTTTTCAAAGATTTCTTGAACCTGTTTAATTTTTTCTTCATCAATTATCATTTTTTTAGCTGCTGCATAGATTGCTGTTATTTTCTCCGGTGTTAATTCATTACCAGCTGCTGCAGCACAGAATCCATCATAAAAAAGCCATAATTGACCATATTTAGCATGTTCAAGACCACTTTTTGAGTGATATGGAACTGTACCATCTTCCATATTCGGTTTAAATTTATCAGCTAAATCTAATACTTCATCTGGTACACCTTTCAATAGAGAAAAACAAAACGTTTTTTTTATTAAATATAATTTCGAATAATATTTTATAAACCTGTAGCAGATAAATATCCTGTAACCCAATTTCGTGTTTCGTCAGTTACTTTTCCATCAGCTGCTGCTACTTTTATAACACCTTTTGCATGAGCAAGATCAGCATAAAATTTTCGTTTTGTTTCTCCTTTATGACCATATTTTTCTTGATGCATCCATTCGGTGACTAATTGACGAGTACCTTCAGTCATTCTATTTAATAATAAAAAAATAAGCGTTCAATCGTAACTTTTAAATAATACGGGAGTACATACTTAATATTAATCGAATTATTTGGGTATAGCTTGTATTTTATACACAAAGAAACGAAACAAAATGAAGATACACTCGAATAGGTTAACGACAAAGTAAAAAAATGATCGGTGAAATCAATCATGCAGAACGGCTTATTTTTTTCTTAGTAGCGGTGATGTGTATAATACTAAACCACGCGTTGTAAAGAACAGTAATCGGTTAATATATGAAAAACATATTATTCTTGTCTTAAAAAATAACGATTATTTTTATTGAAAAAAGAAGTTATATTTTGTAGAATTTTTATTCACATATTAGAATGTTCAAAGAAAAAAAAAATTCATGTAATCCATTCAATGAATTACATTTTAATTCATAGGACCACGTACTGAATTTTGATATGGTCCTGGTTGTCTAAAACTTTGTTGTGGAGGACCTCTCATACCAGGTCTCATCATTGGACCACGTGGTCCCATCATTCCTCTTGGTGCTTGACCTGGATATCGTGGCATAAAGCCAGGTCGTGGTGTTTCACTCATCATATTCGGTGGTGGTCGTGGTCGATACATTGGCATTCGTGGCGGCATGCTATTTGGTCCCAAAGAACTAAAACTAGACTGTTGATAACCTCTTTGAACTTTGTCATAATCTGATTTAGCACCAACACCATATTTCACGAATAAAACAAGATAAACAATAACTATAAAGAAAAATAAATATTATTAAATGAATAGCAAAGATAACTAACCCGTTGCAATAAAAAGAAGATCAAGAACAAGTTCACCAATATAGAATGAGGTACCTTGTGTATATGTATAGTTTAAATAATTACAACCACTAGCAATAATACAACTATATGGATTTGATGCAAACATTATATTAAAAATTAAACTAATAGCTGCAGCTATTGCACCTAATACATTTAGCGCTGCAGTGATTTCAAGTTTTACCCAAGTTAATTTTCGTGCTTTGAAAAAAAAACAGAAGAAAAGATTCAAAAATATAAATCTTATTATTTATTATTTACCTGAATGCATTGTACTTGCAGCAGCAATGAAACCACATATAAATGTCCAAACTCCACAAAGAACTTGCCAACGTGGTGCAAACATAAGAATAATTGGTAGATCAACACCAAGTATACATAAACTGATTGCTAACTGAATCATACCAAGTAAAAAGACGAGTTTTTTAGGCCATGCTTTATGAAAGTATTTACGCAGAAAACTTTCTCGGTTTTGTAATAGCTCTTCTTTTTGTCGATGATGATCATCTACATCAAGAGCATCTGAGTTACTTCTATCATTTCTCGGTTGCATATTGTCACTTGTTTTCTTCTAACAAAAATCTTTTAAATCGTTTGATTTAATGTATTTTTCAATCGAATGCTTATGGTAGGCGTTACCCGATCACAAAACAAATACTTCATAAAATGTTGCAATTCAGTTTGTACAGTTAGAATTGATAAAAGCTTAAACAACAACGAATGGATTTTTTTTTCTCGAATGTGACATTATTTCTAACAAAAAAAGTGCGAAGAACGAATGAGAAAAATCAAACAAAAACATTTTATTTAACGCCATGATGTCAGGCTTTTAATGGCATGCAATAAGATCGAAATTTAAGTTAAACTTATAGATTTACTGTGAAATTAAAACAGTAGAAAAATTTTACTAATTGATGTATACATATATGTTAATCAAATAATTACTTTAGTCGCGAAAAAATCAATGGCTCGATATCAGGTTTTAGGAAATAAAAATATTTGTCTTAAATCTGTTCCACTATATAATACGCTATAGTTAATATCATTACTATAAAAGATAAATCTATTTGTTAACATTATGCTCGTATATTTAAAAAAATCGAATAAATTTTAATTAAGTTATTTGTCAAAATACATCAAAAGAATAAAAGTAATTTTTATCCATTCATTTCTATATTTGATTAATGAATACAAAAGATTATTTTATTTCTTATGTTTGATAAATGTTTTTCTCTTTATTAATATCTCTCAAGAAAACTACTATAAATTGACATTTGCTTCTTAACTTGTTACAAGAAAAGATTAATGTCTGTCAAATAATATATTATATAGAAGACTAATGACATATATATGAAGAAATCAATATAGTTATTTTCTTCACATTTGGGATATACAAAGATAAGGAATGAGACAAGATCTTGTCAATATTTATTTTTAAAACCATCGTTTTATGTCTATTAAAATCAAAAAAAGAAAATAAATTGAGAGATATATGGTCACGGAAGAAAAAGAAATATCTATAATACTATGTTAAATGAACCAAACATATGTTTATCATGAACAAAGAACGAGATAAATAAACTTTTTTTTCAATTTCATACATATCAAAATAATTATTTTATAGACAAAAATAGATATTCTATTCTTTGTATGAGATTGATCAAAATACGAATAACATAACATTTAAATGATTAATTTATAGATATATTATATATGACGTGAGAGCTAATATAGTAACATAATCCGATATGATTAAATTTTGTAAGATCATAATATAGTTATGAGGTGTATGTTCTTTTCAACTTGATTGTTATGAATTAGTTAATAATTTTAAATTGATTTTTTTTATTACAAAATGTTCTTGCATCATGAAATGATAAAAAAAAAAGAAAACTTTTATGACAATCATAAAAATCTGTATTCAATTCTATAGATTAAAATCGAAACAACATTATCCGCTTTTTCTTTATTCTGTTATATATATAATTACATATTAGATCTTTCAATACAGACAGGATGAAGATCAACTTATATATCTTAACACGTGTATAGACATATTTTTTGATTAATCGATTTGATTTTCAGTAATGTAAGATGTATATCTACAATTCTGGACTTGTACTCGTATTTGTCCATATATCGAGTTAATTGTCGTCAAGTAAAACAAGACAGAATACAAACATATTTACAATGTCATATTTTTTTCTTCTTTTGTAGCCTGGCTCAATGCCAGGGCATAGTCATTTTCTCATTATATGTGAAGCATAAGTTTTATATTGTTCTTTTCATTAGTTATGTTTGTTGGCAACAAATGAATTTGGCACAACGCCAAATTATTTTATTTTATTGTAATCTTAATCAAGTCAGCTATAGTTACTTATACGTCTTTCATATGTTTAAGTACACAGAATATATTCGAATAACAAAACATCATGACTATCAGCTAGTTGTTGCTATCATCATCGTAGCTGCTTTTCATTCTTTTTCTTTCTCATATGTGTGTGTGTGTGTCTGTCGATTCATAGGGACACAGCGATATAAGAAAAGTCTGTACTTTTATTTCGTTGTCGTCGTCGACAAGAACAGAATGTATATGTATGCGTATGTATATATAAAGCGCGTTCGCGAACAGCAGCTAACCCAACAACTGTTATTGGCACAGCGCCAACTGCGTGCGAACCAGCGTGATGTAGACGACGAGCATCATGTGATTTGAATATAGAAAGAGAATAAAAAAAGAAAAAACTATTGTTCGTTTGTTGTTCTCTTCCGTTCTCTTCCTTCCAACGGATGATTTTTTTCTATTGGTTGGCTCACATACTACTTCACGATCTAACATACATACAAATACGATGGATGGATAGAGAGAGCAGCTGTTTCTTCGTTCCTCTAGTATGTTGTGTCGTGCAGCTGATTCGCCGTTAATGAAAAAATAAAACATTCTTTTCTTTTTTTTTTTTTTCTTCTTCTTCTTGGTCGTCGTCGTCGACATCGTCGTCCGTACACACTGTTCTCTCCCTCTATTCTTTTCTCGCGCGCTCTCTTTTTCTGGTTTCTATTATTACCCTACACACATACACTCGTCGTCATCATCGGGTTTGTTCGCGTCGCTATCGTTGATTGTATACGTATTTTTTACTACGATTAGTACTTCCGACAGATATTTCTCAATACACCATTAAAAACGATACAATACAATATTTCATTTTTTTTAAAAATCGTATGTATTCAATGAATTTTCTTTCTTTTTTCCTCGTTCTTCTCTCCCCTCCCCCTACTATTACTACTATTACTATTACTATTATTTATTTTCTTTTTTTCTTCTTCTTCTGTTGTTGTTCCTTTTTTCTTTCCCATCACGTAAATGTGACATATTTTCTTTTCTTTTCTACTATATAGAAATAAAACTTATTATAAACGTACACATTTCTTGAATGTCATATTGTTATTCGGATGATGATACATCTGATCCAGAATCATTACAGCAACAACATTATCATCACTTAATGCCTGAATCACCATTACAACATAAGTTGTCAACAAATAATACAACTCCAAATAGTCACGTGAAGTAAATCTAGATTAAAAACAAAAAGCTTTTTTTTTTTTTTTTGCTTTCATTATATAAGAACTCATATGTTCGAGTATGTATTGAATGATGTTTGGCAAATAGCCAAAAGAAAAAAGAATGTTTTCTTATTCGCTATGAACTGAATTGGAATACGATACGTGAAGACGCACGCTCATACAAAAGGTGTTTGTTCTGTTCTTTCTTCTATGCATATGCTCGTTCACATATATACACATGAATGTATGTATTGGCTACAGTTCAGTTCAGTAGCGAATATATATATATAGAGAGAAGAAAAAAAGAAGATCTTTTTGCATGTCATCAGTTCTTTAATTTATGTTATGCGATGACAGATAGCCGCCTCGACATGCTGTCAATATAAATGACGTGTGATAGAGAAAAAGATCACATTCCATTCTTCCTAATTATTTTATTTAAATATTTTTTTCTTTCTTTAAGTCGTGTTGGTTCCAATATGTCACCAAATTCACAATTGGAACATGAAAAACGTGTGCGACGTGAAATTGCTAATTCCAATGAACGTCGTCGTATGCAATCAATTAATACTGGTTTTCAAAGTTTAAAAATACTCATTCCTCATTCATGCGGTGAAAAACTTAGTAAAGTATGTTATGTCTATATATATATATGTAATGACAAAGTTTTCTTAAAAAAGCCTAGAAATGGGAGAAAAAAAGAAAAGAAAAGAACGAGTCAAGGACAAGTGAGAGAAGGTTCGAAAACATGTCGCGTAAATAATAAAAGAAAATGATGATAATGAAAAAAAAAGAAAAAGAAATATCTTCTAAATAAAATTGTAAAAGACAAAATTTTATTTTTAGGCATGTATTCTACAACGTGCTGCTGATCATATAAAAGGTCTTGAAACAGAAAAACTAAAATTACAATCTCAAAATGAACAATTTCGTATATTAATAAAAAGTTTTCAAATTGATTCAACAAGTGTTCTACAAGCACAACGACGTTTATCAACAAATGATCCAGATGAATCTGTTCTATTGCTTAATAATGAAACGAAACCAATTACAAATTCTGATGAAGCAAATGATGATCAACTAAGACTATATCATGATGTTAAAAATCGTCATACATTCATTCAAAATTGGCATGATGTCTCACAATATGTTCAAACACAAAAAGATGAACAACAACATTATTATCCTCCTTCATCAACATCATCATCATCATTATATCGTACTAATCCAAAACAATCATCAACATCAGATACAGCATATATGATTGTTAAACAGAATCAACAACCTAGTCAACGTTGTTATAAAACTAATTCACTTGATCAAAATAATGATAATAATGGTATTGTTATTGTCGAACGATGTCAACTCAGGGCGCAAAGTGTTGATACAAATAATAATAATAATAATAATAATATTAATAATAATAATAATAATAATTCATCATCACATCCAACTGATCAGACTGTATCTCGTCGAAATTTACAAACAATTGTTGAAGCTATTCGACATTTAGAAGGTGATGATGCATTAGCGAATATGAATCCTCAACAATCATCATCATCATGTCAACAAGAAGATTTACCAGCACAAATAAAAGCAATGATTAATGAAAAATTTCATCAACAACAACAAACAAATAAAAGTCCATCATCAAATACAATTTATCAACAAACAATAAATATTTATGATCAACAACATACAACATCAACATCACATGATGTTGATTTACATCAAAAACCACCTAAAAAACGTAAAATAACTTATAATGAAAATGATGATACGATTGAACAACAAACAATTATACAAAAACATGGTAAAATTTTATTTTTTTAAAAAGAAAGAATTTTTCCTAACTATTCGTTTTTCCGAATAAAAAGATATACCTCCAATATCAAGTCCAGATGTTCATCATCATGAACAAATTTCAAGTGAATCACCTCCTCCTCCTTCTTCTTCTTCACAAACAATTATCTCAAATTTAGTTGTACGTTCACCACCAACAGTAGCTCAATTATTACAGGAACATTTAATACAACGTACAGTACGTTATCCTCCTCGTCCATTATTAACAACGAATATACATCGACATCAACAACCCTAACATAAATAATAAAAAAAAATACAGGTGAAACATTATTTCTCTCGTTCTCGTTTCATATCCCGGTTTGTACTTTTCTTCTTTCTTCTTTTCTTTTTTTTTTGTAAATATATATATGTATACATATTTTCTTTGTGTGTGTGTGTGTTGTGTATTCTTTCTACTAAAGAAAAAACAAAAATAAGACCAAAAAATGTTCATGGTGTTGCTTTTTTCTTTTGTTGTTGTTGTTATTGTTGTTGTTCTATGTGTGTATGTGTATTCTTGGCTCAAGTATTTGAAAAGGACAGTGATACGCATTCTTATTGTGCTGCTGTCTCTATTCTTTCTTTCTATGTGTATGTGTGTTTTATGCGAACAAGCTGTCCTTTTCTATAACAAAAAAATAGTACGATTAAACGCATCACACGTTCATTTTGTTGTTTTTTTAGCGTTTTGTTTCATTGTTCACACCGGTCTTTTTTTTTCTCTCTGTCGCATTTTATTCGCGAAAAACTATGCATCTCCTCTTTCTTTTTTTTCTGTCCTATATCCTTGTGTTGCTTCTGTTTTGGTTTGATGATGATGATGATGATGACGATGATTATGTATATGGTATGCATTCTTTAATCTGTTTCTCACTCATATGCGATCGATGAGTGTATGTTTTTGTGTGTATTTGCCCGTTCGTTTTGATGAAGCTTGTACATTTGTACAGACAAAGAAAAACAAACAAACATTAAAAAAAAAAGAATTTGTTTTTTTTTATTGCATTCAATGAAATGCAAATGACAGCTGTTCACACATGCTATCAATCAGCCATCGAGGAATATCTATAGGCAATGAAACCATCTGATTCATACATTTCTCTTTTGATACGAATTCAGAACAGAAAGAGAAACAGTTGACGGTCTACTACGTTCTGTTTTCTCACTCGTTCATTCAATTGAATACGAAAAACAATTTTCGCTATTACAAACTTTTTCTAGGAAACACTCAATTTAATTGTTTAGTACAAATCAAATCATCATATTCTCTTATCTATATAGCTGTGCAAAACTAATTGATAAATCGATTATATTATATAATCCTATGAGTTCATCTAACCATGAACTGTCGATTTATATAGACATCCTTCCATATTACTTTCTCCAAACAGAAAATGACTAGTGAAATTTTAATTAATACTCAATTGTTCAATTTGACTTTCATTGAAACTTATTTCGGATTGTTGTATAGTCTTTTTTAATTTCTTATTCATTAGATAAATTGATGGAATACAAGTTTTTGTTTGGAGTGTTCTATTTAAATGACGATTTACATTTGAACCAGGAAAAGATGAAAGAATTTGTTTTATTTGATAATATGAATATGTTAACCATCGTTGTGTATCATTTAATATTGGATATAAAAACGATGTTTTCATTGCTGTTAAACCTCCCGAACGAATCGTTACATATAATGTTAATAGATCATATTTAACTGTTGTTAATGCTGTTGATATCGCATGATAACGAATTATTTCTCCATTTAAATCTGTTTTAGAAATATGATTTTCAATTTCACTAATTTTTTTAATTAAATTACGAAGATTACATGCAAATATACGTAATATTCGTTTAAAATCTAATTTAGATAATTTATTTTATCATAGTCCTATTTTTTGATTATTCCTACTTGGAGAAAACCGTACAATCCATGTTGGATGTCTTAATCGAGTTGTTTTTATATCATACATTGTTGATTTTGACATCGCACTAGAAGAAAAATTATTCTTGCATAAAATTTAAAGTCATACATATCTTACCAAATTCGACGCATTCTTTCTCCATACGATATAAAATCAGTATCTAAATTAATATTATATAATGATATACAAGCTGAATTTGTTGATGGTATTTTTGGTATTAAATTTTTATAATTTTTTATTGATACTCGTACAACATAATCAAGTACAATAGAATTTAAAACAAATTCACATAAACTATTCGCATATTCAGCATATTCACTAAGAATTGCTAAATCAAGATAACCATATAGATTATAACGATTCGAATGACATCCAGTCATGTTCGATTTTGTAACAAAAAAAAAACGATGTCGTCGATTATAAAAGAACAAAAAAAGAATATTCGAAATATTGACACTATGGTTACATTCGAAATATTAAAAATAAATTCTTATTTATCTATTAATATTTCAAAAGGGTAAAAGAACATCTAGTTACATAATATTTGCTTCATTGATTCGATATATTTTATCATACTTCAATGTATACTCAATTTTCTATGCAAAAAAAAGATTGCTTTCGAACTATAATTTGCTCATAGAGAAAAAATGCGTCACAAATTTATTTTTAATTATCTGATGTTATCAATATTGATATATCAGTATGTGTTATATAGGACAAAGAAAGGACCAGTGTACCTGGTGACCTAATTTTATATATACATCATTTCACCTAGAATAAAATTAACTATTGATTTTAAATATGATCTTGATTGGTCTTCTAGGATTATTGAAGCAGAAAAACAAACGATCAATATTGAATAGACACTATGTATAATCAATGTAATTATTACTTCATTACATCATCTAATCTTCCGAATGATTTGTCTTTTGTTGTGACAAAAAAAAAGAGAATTACTGATTATTCAATAAAAATATTATTTAACGTTAATCAACCGATATATTAACATTATTTCATATCCAATAAAAAATTTTTATTTTATTTACAAAGCATTTATATTAATATCTGATTCTTATTATATAAACTAAAAATAAGCCCTGAGAAAAGAAACTACAATATTATTAAAAAGAAAAGAAGAAGAAGAAAACAAATTATATTGTTATTCTGATGCAACAATAGAAAGTGATTTAATAGTAGTAAGTTTCGCATTGATTTCATCTAATGTAGTTGTACTATCAGAAATCACATCCATTTGACCAATAAGATTTCGATATGCAATTTCAAGTTGATCACAATAATGAGCCTAGAACGAAAATTGAATTACATTTTATTGTTAAAAAAGTATTTTACCTGTGCTTCTATAAATGCTTCTAAACATGGATAAACAAAAGCTGCACGTTGTTCATGTAAAATAGGTAATTCATTATTTAAAATTTGATTTTTTAATTCATATTGTTGTTTAGCATCATTTAATTGTCTTTGTATTTGCTCTAATTTATTATTAGTTGCTAGATTTGTTGTTGTTGAACCTAATGATGTTGTTGTTGTTGATGATGATGTACCTAATTTTTCATTGATTTTATCTAATTTATTTTGAATTTTGATATAATCATTTAAACTTTGTTCACGTTTTTTTATTGCATTTGTTACATTAGCTAATGCTAATGTTAAACGTTTTGATGAATCAATTATAGTTTTTGTTGTTATTTCATTTAATAAACTTGTTTGTTCGGATATATGTTGTGCTGTTATTTTCCAATTATTTATTAATTGTGATATATTTGTTGATAATGTTGTTGATGTTTGTTGTTGATCGTAATGATTTATAAATGAACTACCTGATAGATCATGTAAAAGTTTCAGTTGACCACGTGAAAAATCATCAAAAGATTTATCTTGTTTAATAAGATCACGTGTTAAAGATTTTGCATTTTCTTCAAGAGATTCTAAACGACGGGTTTCACGATCGAAATCTCGAGTTGTCTAAACGAAAAAAAAAATAATGATAGAAATCAAAAGAGATATTGCCTTACAATTAAACCGATGCTTTTCCGTGATGTTGTATTACGAGTAAATGGATTCCTAAATATAAAATAATTCAGAAGCTATGATTTGAGATAACACAGAACGCTTCTTTTTTCAAGCGAGAAAAAAATCGTCAGTTCAATGATTCAGAAAACGCGCTAGAAATGGAACGTCTAATTATATAAGTGTTAGTATATATAGCTCAGTGCATCTTGACATTTAATCTTTTAAGTGGAAACAACTTCGAATATGTCAGATAAGTCTACACACTGAAAAACGTAAAGTACGAAAACATTGTCTTACCAACTACTCATTTATTTTAATTAATAAATTTTGCGAATATATAGAAAAATCTACAATAAATTAATAAAATAAAAGCAATATATTGGTATAATTTTTTTAAAATTCTTCATTCGTTCGTTCGTTTGTTTGTTTGTTTTTTTTCTTCTTTATGTATCAAAATAAATATAAGAAACATCCACAGAAACATACACACACACAAACATATACATATATAAATAAGGAGAAAGGAAATGACAGATATTAGCAGTTTTCTTTCGAAAATTAAACCGCCGCACAAATAAATAATTTAGATAGAAACATATACTAAACGGAAATTAAACATACAACAATAATAATATCTGTGTCGACAATATATATATATAAGAAAAGAAAAGAAATAATGCATATTTTAAAAATTTAGTCTGGAATGATAAATAAGGAAATAGAAATGTTTCTATATATTGCTCAATTATTAAATACTAAAATCAAACATGAAAAAAAGAAAAACAGATATTAGTTTGTCTACTGTTTCTGATCAAATTGTGATATATCTCGAACACTTATTGTACCATCAGCACCTGATGAAAATAAGTGACGACTAGTTGTTAAATGCAAATGATTAACACCACTTATTTGTGAATGTAAAAATCCTCGTCGAAAATGTTCACCATAATAACAATGAACTAATTCGCAACCAAGTAAACGCCATATCTAAAAAACAAAAAAAAACAGAAAATTTTCTTTCTTGTAAAACTTTATTTCTTTACTTTAATATTTCCTTTTGCTGATCCGGTAACATAATATTTTTCTAATGGATCTAAACAAAATGTTTTCAAATGTGAATCATGTGCTTGACTTGTTGCTAAACGTTTTCTTTGTCTTAAATCAAATATACATATATCTCCTTGTTTACCACCTGATATTAATAATTGATTTGATTGAGAATATGCTAAACATTGTGCACCATGCGTTTCATGACATGCGAATGCTGAAAAAGAAAAACGAAAATATTGTTAACGTCAAAAATAAGTAGGATTCTTACAAGTTATATTTGCACGTGATGTTGGCATTAATGTATCCCAAATAGCAACATTTTGTTGATCATTTGATAATCCACATGTTGCTAATAATGTTGAAGAATCAAGAAAAACAAAATCATTTGCACTTTTTGTATGAGTTAATAAACGCTAATTAGAAAAAAATGAATTTTTAGTTTTTACAAAATAATATATTTACTGTATAAACTGTTGATCGATTACTTGATAAAACATGTAAAGATAAATTTCCTTCGATATCTGTTACACCAAACTAGATGTTTTACAATGGAAAAATGAATTATTGAAATATAAAAATGAAAATTACCTTATTTCCTTCATTGCTTAATTCAATTTTAGTTACGCGTTTATTAGCTTCACGAACTTGTCGAGGTTGAGAATCATGAGACCAATTGAGAAGATAAACACTGCCATCAGAACATCCCGTAAGATCTTTTTATAAAAAAATAGAAATTATTTAGCGAAGAAAAATAAAACTAAAGATTTACAATGAGGTAAAACTGGATGGTTTGCAAATTTTTTACTTTCTTTAATAGGATGTCGATTTGTCTAAAAGAAATTTGAGAAAACGTTTTATTATTTATCGAATTCTTTTAGAAATATTTTACAAGAACATGTTGACTTTCAGTATTTCCATTTGTAGTTGCTAGCGTATTTGTTTGAGTTAAATACATATTTGGTACATAAGCACCCATTGTTGGCATTCGAAGTGATGGAGGTCGATTAGTTGTTGTATCTCGATTAAGCATTCTAGAAAAATTTGACTTATTTTATAATAAAACAAAATTAAAATCATAATTTACGCTGATGTTTGCGGAAGTAATGATGGTGATACTTCATTTTCATCATCTGATAATTCATATGTTTCATTTGTTAATGTTATACTTGATACATCTAATTCAATTATTTCACGAGATAAACCAGCGGCCAATAAAGTTGGATTCATCTATTTAATAAAGATGCAACAATTTAGGACATATTGTTTTTCAAATTAACTTACACTATTAAGACAAAATGATGGAATTGATTCTGGATCTCGGTAAATAATCTTTGAATTTGATGGTGTTGCTGTTGCATTTTCTAATAGATTTTCCATTGTTGTTCGAGTGTCTGACTAAAAATCAGAGAAAAGATTAATAAAAATTCGAATAATTCTCTATTTTCAACTGAGCAGCAATTTAACAATCGATTAAACTCACAGTAACCGGTTGTAAAGACATCGAACGTTTTAAACGTTGATTTTTAATATGTTTAGGAAGTGCAGACTTAACAAAACAGAATTGGGTTTACGTCAAATAATGTGTATATATCTCTTATAAAACTTCAAAATTAAAGATAAAATATTTACTTTATCACCAAATTTATTTATTGGTGGATTTATTGGTGTTGTTACTCGTCGTTTAAATATATATTTAATAAATACTCCTTGTGATTGTTCATCGTTAACTAAATATGTCCAAAGACGTTTAGCTGGTAATGCTGCTGGTGATTTTCTTTTAAAAAAAAATAAGATAATTTTTGAAATACAAAAAAAAGAGAACATTTCTTACGAAAATGGAGTATTATTTGGATCAAGTATTGTTCGATATCGATGTATAGGTAAAGTAGTTGTTTGCTCATCATTATTATTAATACCACCTAATGGTAAATAATTATCCGGTGGAACATTAAAACTGTCAAGTGTACGTCGAAGTGAATCTTGCCAGATATTAAGATTTTGTAAAAATTGTTGAATTAATGGTGAAACACTTGGAATCTCTTTACAAACAAAAACAGAATGAACGGAAATGTAATGAATATGATAGTTTTACCTTGTTTTTCAATACCAATATGAGGAAAAAATGACCAAAGACGTTTGTAGACAAGTCGAACAATTGTATAACGCATAAGAACCCAAGAATAAGACATTGAATCAGTATGTTCACGTTCTTGAATTTTACTAAAATATAAAAATCATTATGAATATTCTATGCGGTTAAAAAAATTTCCCTTACCGTTGTTTTTGTTTTGTTGTTAATTCATCATCATTTGTTGTTGAATCATAAGCATCTTCATTCTCATTCTCATCATTCTCATCCGCATCACTTATTTCTCCATCATTATCCTCGGTATTATATCCCTGATTTGACGAAACCTAAATAAAATTTTGTTTTTCAAATATTTTCTTAATTAAATCAATTACTTTTGCCATAAAATAGTTAACAATACTAGCACGTGGTGGAATAAAAACTTCGACATACGATGGTTGTTGTGGATTATTATTGGGTATTACCACTTTTTGTACATAGGAACTAACTCCTGCACGTCGATCTATTGTTGATGGTGATACAGACATTTCATTATTTTGATCAGCTAAAGAAGAAGAAAAACAAAAAAAAACATGAAATTTTCATTTCTCATTCAATTTTACGTGATGTTGATAAAACTGCAGTTGCTGGATTTGGTTTAGGTTTTTTTGCTCCTCCACCAAAAACTCCATACCATAATTTAACAGCTAATTCAGGTGTTGACCATTTTCGTACAAGTAATCGATATAATGTATTACAATCATCCGTTGATAGCGCATAAATTAATAATGACATATAAACAGCAATAAGAATTTCAATTAAAAGAATTCTTAATTTCGTTAAATTATTTTCTTGATCTTTAATTAAATTTGTAAAGATTTTTATACCTGGCCAGTCTTTTGGTGCAGTTGTTGGTGCTTCTCGTTCAATTAATGCTGTTACACTCTTACGTCTATGTAATCGAACTGATTCTCGACGATAAAGATATGATTTTAAAAATGATTCAACAGCAATACGTTCACTTGTTTGATTTTCATTCGTATGACAAAGTGATTGATAAACACAACTAGCTAATGCAATTGATAGATCTCTTATAGCAACAATTTGTATACTTTGTTCAGTTAATTTTGGTAATGTTAACCATGTATTCATTGTACGTAATAAATCTTGACTTATATCACGCATATAACTAATTGCATTATTACTAACACTTAATGTACCAGATAGATTAGCAATTAATAATGGTACTTGAGTTGGAAATGGTATTGGATATTTCAATTGTGTACGACGATCACGATATAATTCATGCATTAATAATAATAATTCCATTCGAACGGACGCTAAACCTCCGCCATGCATTCCATGAAGACTTGTAAAAGAAACTAATGTACGAAGAAGATGTTCATTAGATTTAAGCCAACGACGACGACGTGATAAACGTTTCATTTTATTTTCTAATGTACTTGTACGAACATAGGATGTTGATGGTGATTCAACACCGGAAAATGTATTTGATGGTTGAATTGGTTCATCAGCAATATCCGATAAGATTGGTTCATCGAAATTTTCACTAGGCTCATCTGGTTCAAGATTAGTAGATGTATTTAAATTGCATAGTTGACGAATTACACCAATTTCTTGTTCAAGCCAACAGGCTAAATGATGTCTAAGTTGTCCACCAGCAACTTCAAAACCTGTTGCTAATGTTGCCATTTCTTCGACAATAATTTTTAAACAACAAATTAATTTCATATATTGTCCAATTGTATCAAATTGTTGTTTAACTGGTTTATCATCTATTTGAGTTGTTGATTTCGGAGTTGGTTCTTCGATTTTTTCTTCTTCTTCTTTTTCTTCGTCACTCCAATCAAGTTTTAATTCATCATCTTCAGTTTTATTTGATACGGGTTGACCCCAATCAACAATTTCAGTTTCTTTTGGTTTGATTTCAGTTTTTGTTTCTGTTGGAGTTTTAGCTTCATTTGATAAAATAATATTTGCTGGTAATTTAGCAAGAATTTCTAACGCTAATAAAGGACAACCAATTTTTAAATAATAATAAGCTGTTTGAAAATGAACACGACGTTCAATAGAAAAATTATTTGAATTTTCATTTGATAATTGTTTAGCACGTAAGACAAGTGGATGTTGTTTTAAATAATCATAAAAAATAAATATCGAATGGTGTTGTTCAAAATTATCATCATGAAGTAATGTATTTAATGAACGATCATAATCTTTTAATAACCAATAAGCCATACTACGATAGAATGGATCGGAATGTGGTTTAGTTAAAATTTCTCGATTAAGTAAATTGTTAACTAAATCTTGTTCATCACCATCATAAAGACGTGCAATTAGAAAAGCTAATTGTATATCATGTAAATTATTTATAACAACTTCAATTGCATCACGAATTTTTCCAGCAAGAAGAAAAAATGCTGTTGCATGTTCAAAACGTTGTTTACCTAATAATGCAAATGCATTCTTTTGTGCAGCTTTTATCCAACGATCTTGAGTAAAATCATTTTTAAAAAAATCTTGCATTTTACTATCTTGAACATGTCTTAAAAAAAATAATTTAAATGTTAAAAAGAAAAATTTTTCATATTATATTTACTTGTATAAATTGTAGAGTAAACTTTTCTTTTTAAGTGCAAGAAAATATACAGCACTATCAAGTGGATCATTGTTGATTTCAAATGCAGCTTTACCAAGCTAGAATAAAAGAATTAAGAGCTAGAACTTCTTTTTTTCAATAAAAAATAAGTTGATGGACTCATATCGAAAGGAAAAAATGTATAAAGATGAAAATAGTGAAAAATTCGAGAAGTGCAGGTTAGGGTCCAACAGGACTGGGTTTTCCCACCCCGATCCAGACTGTCTCTCACTCAATAATGTATTTACTCGGAATTTCGTAGTCCCTATACTGTTTTTATCAAAAATACCCGTCCCGATCCCGTCAGATCGAGACAGTCTCGCTGGACTCTAGTACAGATTAGAGTTGAGGGTGTGAGTGTTTGTGCCTATAATCGCTCAACTCACACTCACACATTTTTCTTTCGGTTAGGGATATGCAGTATCAGTATACTGAACACCAATAATATTACACTGACGGTCAGTGCATTAGTGATGACACCGACACTGCCTGCACTGAGAGTACAGTGTACACCGACATGGTGTTCCCTGCCCTCAGTGGTCACACCGACACTGTCTGAACTGGGACTACAGTGTGCACTGATACTGTGCTCACTGAACTACAGATTTATATGGCATTCAACCTAGCACGTAATTTAAACATATCGATAAACACATTGTCAGTGTACACCGTGCTCTGAGTTCCAGCAGTGTCGGTATACACCGCACCCTCAGTTCAGACAGTATCGGTACAATACTGACAGTTTTTCAGTATTCTCACTGAAACTGCACATTCCTACTTTCGGGCAAGGTAAGACTAACGTCATTATCATCTGTATTTAATTAGAAAAGATTTGACTTACTTTTTCAAAAAGTCTTGTGATAACACTTTTATTTCGAATCCACCATCCAACGCCAAATAATTTTAATTCACTCCATATTGGTTTATTTTTTACCATACATGGAAGCATGCCAAGTAGATCTTCTTGTAAATCAGAATGAAATGCCCATGCATATGATGCACTTGTTATAATATGATTTAATGCCGAATCTTTTTGTGCATGTGGTGTTGAAACTATTCGTGTTAGATAAATATAACGTTGAACATCAATTAAAAATCTTAAACCACAATCATCCATTGTATCTAAAAGAGAAAACGAATTACGATAAAAATTAAAAACTTGATTTTTTTCTTGATTACTTGATGGTTTATCACTTGAATAAGTTTGATTTGAAAATGATTCATTACTTGCATTCGCTAATGTATCAGCTAAAGCAAGTAAATACATTTGTTCAAGACTTGTTAAATTTGATAAACGAACACGTTGAAAATAATCAACAAGTAAATCAACCATTCGAGAATCGAATGCTGGTGACCAATTTCGATTTAATAATAACTCTTTTCGAAATTTATTTAATTCAACTTGTTTTTTTCTTTCAGCATCTTGAATATGATCTTCATCAAATTTAAAATCGACTTCTCGATTTAAATCTGGTGATGCTGATGTTGTAAATAAATCATCATATTTATCTCCACCATTCATATCTTCATCTTTATTATTCATATTATTATTATCTGTTGTTTTCATATGATCATTATTTGTTATTATTTCATGATCAGCATCAAATAAAGCAAATAATGGTAATAATGGTATTGTATCGATTTCAACATATTTCATATGTTCAACTTCTTCAATTGATGGTTCATTATCATCATTATTTGCTATTGAAAATGTTCGACTACGCATTAATTTCATTTCAACTTTTCCTTCAACACTATGTACTGTACTAACAATACAACGTGTTAAATGTGCAAGTATAGCTTTAACACGACGATATTTACCAAAACGAACTAATTCTAATAATAATGTTGGATGATATTGTGGTAAAACAGGTGCAGCATTTCTAGCTGCATGAAATAAACTAAGTACATTAATTGAATCTAATGTTAACCATGATGAATGTTCTTCCGGGATAGTTTTATTTATTGAATTTAAATCATTATTTGTTAAAACTTTTTTTAAATTAGTCATTGTATTTGTACGACGTTTTGGTTTTATTAATGGTTCGGGTAAAACTGAATGACATTGTCGTTTTAATGATGACCATTGTGAATAAACTTGTAATTCACTATTAAGACCAATTAATAAAAGTCCACCTCGTACCCATTTTAAACTTAAATTTGGACCTAAAAATAAATTTGTATTCATTGATGATAATTCAATTGTACGTATTTTAGTCCATTGTGATGTTTGAGTATATGAATAAATAAAAACATATCGTGTACCAATGGATGTTGCTAATAAATGTGCACCATTTTCAATTGATGCCCAATCAAAATGTACAGATAAATGATTTGTTTGATTTTGTATTTCTGTTATTGGAATAATTGATTCACATTTAAATGCTGTACCACCTGTTGATTCACATTCATATATACCAATTTGAATTTGTTTATCATAAAAAGCAACGGCTAAACGACCACAATAAGCATTACTTATTGCTAATGGTTGACCAGTAAATTGTAAACGAGAATTTAATTCACATTCAGTTGATATTCCACACCATTCGGACCATTCATATGTATTTGATGATTGATGTGTACATGTCCAAAAACGAACTATACCATCGGAATGTGCTGTTGATAGAAGATATGGTGATGAAGATGATGCATCAGAATAACACAATGTACTGGAACTTAAATGACCAAATGCAACATCGACAGATTGAAGTTCAGCATTGGAAATTAATGGAAGAATATATGTGCTAACTTTCGAACTTTGAACTTGTACTAACCATTCACTATCATTACCCAAACTATTCATACTTATTGATTGATTATCATCATCAGGATAAGTAATTGTTATTTTCCACATATGAATACAACTTTGACTATTATTATTATTATCATTGGATTTTTTTTCAACAAGAACAAGATAATATATTTTACATAGAGATGTTTGATCAGTTTGATCATCGATTGCATTTGCTGGAAATATATGTATTAATTCTGCATGTGCCCAAGTACATTCTGAATCAGAAATTTCCGCAAGACTAATAACACAACTTGGTCGAGCTGTTGATTGATTACTAACAACATTTATACGTGATGCACTTAAATCAGATGAAGGTGATGTTCGCATAGCATTCGAATCTGGATCATTAATAACTTGACAAGACTTTGTAGTTGACAATTGAGTTGTTAATAAAACTTTTGCATTGCATACAACTTGATAAATGCGTAGATGTTTTCCGTCCGATGCACAAAATAGAACACTTGGTGATTCACGTAATAAATTAATATTCATACAAGGCATAACCATTGGAAACCATGCTAATAATTGAAATGCTCCATTATGAACTGATTCCATCCTTGCTAATTCCGTTATTCCACCTGTCATTGTCAATGGTCCAATAGGTTCTGTACTCCAAAGTATTAATGAATTATCATAACGTTGTTTTTTACCATAATTTAATTCATTTTTATCATCATAATATGAACTTGTTAAAACTAATGGAACAATTGGATGACATATAATATGTCTTATAGGAAAATGATGACCACACATACGTGCTGTATGTGTAACACATATTAATGATTGAAATTTTTGTTGTTGATGAAATGTTAATGACCATAAATTTAATGTTCCATTTGTATGTTTTGTTATCATATTAATAATAGGTAAATGTTGTTTTTGTTTGGTTTGATTTAATGATAAATATTGATCAAATAGAAAATGATTACAATAGATTATTAAATGTGGTTGTAAAGATAATGCATCACCTAATGGAAATATATCTGGTATACGTGCTGAAAAACTAACTTGAACTTGTCGATATAACATTTGATAATTAATTAATGATGATGGGGATGATGAGGAAAATTTTGTTGTATTTAATAATGGTTGATCAAGCCAATCAATGACCCATAAAAGAAGACTACCATCAATTGGATGAACACTAAATACAACATCTGGACTATTTTTCCATTCATCAATAATTTTTTTTAAATAATTTCGTATTTGTACAAAATGTTTCGCATCATCTGATTGTAAATCTCCGCCTTGAATAGTTGGACGTTTATTATATATATTCACAGGATCTAATTGTGTATCATTACTATTTGTATCATCGGTATCATTGGTTGTTGAAAGAATTGTTTGTCCTTTAGCTTTTCGTTGAATATCAAGAATGAATTGTTCAATAGAAAATAAATTATATAAATCTTTATTATTTAACCATTGTACAATAAACATATATTCTTTATGAGTTGGAATTGTTGGTGCAAGAAGTGAATCTGTACTTGGATTTATTGTTGTTGCTAAATGAAATTGAAGAGATTTATTTGTTGATGATAATGAAGAAGAAGATGATGATGCTAGAACATTAAGTTGAGCTAATGATGGTGTAGATGATGAATTTGATGATATTGCAGTGACTGTTTGATCAGTTGGATCTTCATCATTTGTAAAGATTGCATGAGAGGATATAAGCGATGCAGGAGTATGAGGAACTTGATTATCAATATTGATTGTCGGTGAAGATAGATCGCGACGATTGTTGTTTATTGGCATGAAATAATTGTATCTATATAAGAAATTATTTTATTATACGAAATTATGAATATAAATTGTGTTTAAAGTCCGAAAGGTACATTATCACTGATGTCGAATGAACTTACTTATGTAATACTTTCTACTGGAAATTTTCTGGATACATAAAGAAAGAGATTGAAGTCAGATAAATTATGAATTCTTTAGTAATATGATTATTTTATAAAACTATCTATTCTTTATATTAATACGTAATTTCATCTAATCGGAGGTTAATGTTATTCATAAACATGATAATTAATTAAAGAAATAATAGTTATTGTTATATATATCAATAAAATGAACACTTAGCAATGACATTGAAATAAATGATTATATCTATTAATAGTTTTCACCTTTTTAAGATATGATCATGTAGCAGCTCGAGGGTCTCTTTATATAATTATAGTTAGTATATTTATAGACATGAAATTTTGACCTCATCTTTATAAGTCTTCTTTTCAATTACCTCATTTTATATAATTTTTGTACACTTCTATCTACACAATCACTTTGTCTTTTTCGTTGTGTTGTTATCATAGTTGGATCATTGGTATATATGGATGATTCATCTTGTTGCATAGTTTCACACCATATACGACAAATATTATCTTTACAACATGTTAATATACAATTAACAACTGTACCCCTTTAAATGAACAAAAAAAAATAACAATGATTTAATAATAGATTTATTTTTAGTTTAATTTACTCGGCAAAGAATTGACTTGTTTGTCTCCATGATATATAAGTAACCGCTCTTGGATGAGGTAAATAAGTTGACATAAATGAAATAATTGCACTATTATCTATTGTTCGATACCATATTTTAACTAAACGATCATTCTAAAAATAAATCAAATATAGATTTAAAGAAAAACAAAAACAAATCTTCTTTACTTGTGATGCAGTGGCAAATAATGTACCGTCATTCGAATATGTTACATGTTTTATTGGAGATGCTGGTCTTTAAAAATAAATAAAATGCGAATAGAAAGAAAAACATTTAAATATATATTTTACTTGTAACTCCAAACATTGCGCCATGTTTTTGGTGGAACATTAGCAGATAATTTTCCTGACATGTCACTTCCACCCAATTCAAAATTAATTTTATTCGATCGCGGTTCAATTTCATCATATTGGTTAAACCAAACTTGTAAATTCGATTCACATACAACAATCAATTGTTCCCCTAAAATATATAGATATTGATTATAGATAAAAAAAATAAAATCTCGTATTATTACACACCCTTCGGATGCCAAGCAACTGCTGTAATCTTTTCATTCGAACATGTCAATGTATGTGTTAATACCCAACGATAGTTAACTTGCTAAAAATAGACAAAAAAATAAAACTAACAATTTATATAGAATAAGAAAGATTTTACATGATGTAATGATCTTTCTGAAGTAGGTGTTGGTTCATAGACGCAAATTTGATTTCCAAAACCGGCAACAATCTAATATTATATTCAATAGATGAAAAAAAATCCGATGAAAATAATTCTCAACTAACTTTGCCAGATTCATATGTACAACTAATACATGTTAATAAACATTGATTATTCTCATTTCCTGATAGAAGAACTTGAACACGTTGAAAATCACCAGATAGAATCACAATATTATATCCAGCTGCATATGCCTTGAAAACAAAAATTCATTGTATTTATTTCTAAATTATTCTTCGCAAAAATAACTTACCACAAAATGAACACTATCGATACTACCTGCGGCAAAGCTATAATCACTTGTATTGGCCGCTCCTGTCAAAATCTGATGTAGATGCATTTCATCTAAAGTTAAACAAATCTTTTTTTTTCGTGTTTTTTCATAAAATCGGTGTTTATCCGGTTTTTCTTATTCTATTTTATTATCCTGCCATAAAATATTTTATTCTTCTTATGTCTGTTCGTTTTTGCAAAACAAGTAAGTTAGAAACAAAGCAGGAGAAATAACAACAACAAAAAAAAACAAAAACAACGAAACTATGCTGATTGAGCTTGTGATGTTGTTGTTGCTGTTGTTGTTTGTGTTTGTTGTTGTTCTTCTTGAAGACGATGTTTCTTGAGTGGACCCATAAATACACGTTTTTCTTCATGAGTTTGAAATCGACCATGACCAAATTTGGATGATGTATCGATGAAACGTAAATCAATTTGTTCACGATGTGAACGTTTTGGATTAAGAATAAGTGATTTACGTAATGTAATTGGTCGTTTCTTTGGACCGATACAACAACCTTTAATCATGATAAAGTCTTGTCGTACTTCACCATAATGTGGAAAACCACCCTAAATGAAAGACACAAAAAAAATTATTACTTTGCTCGAAGAAAAAAAATAAACCTTGATAAGTATAAAAGTAATATCAATAACCATAAAAGAAATATTTCGTTCTTTTTTTTACAGTTATTCATTTGTACTTAAAAGGAGAACATTTCAAAAAAATATTTACCATTGGATTAATTGTTTTTTCTGTGGGATCATGATCAGTTGAACCTGTATTCTTAACTGTTTTACCATCTTTAACTTGGATAGCATCACCCATACGATAGATTTTCTTGTTAATTTCGGTACGATGATGATAACCTTTTTGACCAGCACGTGCAACAGCTCGTGAAACATGAGCTGGATGCCATGCACCAATACAAGCTACTTTACGTAAACCTTTGTGTGTTTTACGTGGTAATTTTCTTGTGTGCCAACGTGATGTAACACCCTTGAAACCACGACCTTTGGTTACGGAAATGCAATCAATCATTTCATCTTTTGAAAATACTTGACTGATGGGTACTTGTTTTTCCAAATGTTCACGAGCAAACGCAACTTTTTGTTCAATAGTACCACCATTCAATTGAATTTCCATAAGATGTGCTTTCTTTTGTCGTTTACGTAATAGTTTGACTTGTGTATGAGCTAATACACGGATAACCTTACAGTATTTAGCCATTTGTTTGAAGTCATTTTCAAGAGCTTTTTTGCCACTTTCATCTTCCCATTTTTTGGAATATTTGGTAAATGCTTTATGTTTTGATGAATACCAATTTTTATAGAAACGACGACGACATTCTTCATTCAAATGTTGAGCATAGATTGTTTTATATGCACGAAGACCACGTGGTGTTACAATATAACCAACAACACCAACAATTACCATTGGTGGAGTTTCAATAATGGTAACAGCTTCAACTGTTTCCTTTTTATTTAATTCTATTGAATAATAATAAATATTTAAATACGATACAAGTTTTGTAAAAAAGACTTACTTGATGCTGGTCGATCGACTTCACGGACGATATGGGTCATACCTAATTTAGAAGAAAAAAACAACAATTTAAGATATGATTTTTTGATAAAATAATACAAACCAGCTTTGTAACCAAGAAAAGCAGTAAGATGAACAGGTTTTTTTGGATCATCTGTTGGAAATGATTTCACTTTACCACGATGACGAGCTGCTCGCTTTTTTGGTAGAAAGCCAAGATTACCATGACGTGGATGCTCGAATTTTCGGTGGCTCATAATGAGGCTTGAAAATTGTTTATTATATGATGATCGATCTAGAGAAGAATTCAAAATTAGATAGATTTTTTTCTTTAATATTTTGTTTTTAGATCAATGATAAGAAGAAAAAAAGAAATGAACTCCTTCCTCCAAAATGAATCCAAACAAACAAATTCGATGAATGGGTTTTTAATGGATTTTGGTGGAAAAGAGTTTTCTATAATGAATCCACTTTGTTGACGTTGATTGTTTAGAAACGTTTATCTTAAATTTATTAAAAAGATTTTTAAGAAAATTATTTATGATTCTAAATTTATTCGAATTAAAGATTAATAAATTTTATCTATAGATGGCGCTAGATGAAGATTTATTATATAAAACAATTCGGCGTATGATTTAATCTATAAGTACACTATTAACCAAAGATCCAAACTTAATTTTATTAAATTAGTATTAAAATTTAAACATATAATTTATATTCTTTCATTTTTATTATCTACTTAATAAAAAAAAACCGATATACTCGAGTTATTTTGTTTTATTTTATGGGATAACTCTTAATTTTAAAACTAATTGATATTTATTTTGTATGGTTGAAAAGATTTTTAGTTTATTTATTATAAAAATATTCCTAATGAACGAAAATAACAATTGATGAATCCGGACGCGAACGTACTCTGTCTCTAATAGTCATGAATAGTAAAATGTAAATAGAATTTTGTTTTCAACATTATAATTAAACCTAATATGAACTTTAAAATAAATCTATTAAACATGTTAAAAGAGTCCTCTGTCGAATGATTATGAATGGGGGTAGTAGGCGTTGTCGTCTTTTATAATTTGTGGACGGCAAACAAGTATGCATATACGCTTATTCGCACAGACACATCATTTGTCCTGTTGTTGTTTTGATAGGTTTAATCGAAAATGAATGCAATTGGAAACAATTTTTCATTTATTGTTGAAATATAAAACTAAACAAATCGAATACTTTCTATTATCTTCTTTTGTGAAATAAAACACTAAGGTTGGTTTTTATTCGAATCTTTTTCGTTTATTTCCCGAAAAGAAAAGAAATCTTGTTGAGTATAGATTTATTCATGTATTTTTCGAAATTATTAAATAGTTTTATAAATGCAAATTTAATACAATATAATAATAAGATTTTAGTATTAATCTTATGTGTGAAAATATTTTAAAAAATCTTTTTTTAGACAAGGACGACATAGACCCTTCTTTTTACGTCTTCCTTTTTTTCATCAATCCCAACTTTTTCTCTCTCTCCCTCTCTCTGTCTCTGTTATTCGCCCCTTCGGTTGCGCCCCATACCGCGTGTATGCTATGTGTGCGTCGTCGACGACAACCACAGCAGATCGAATCATATGGAAGATCATATGTGGATAGGAGAGAGAGAAAAAAAAAGAAAAAGAACGACAAAACAGCTGATTACCCTTTACAAAGCGCTGATGAAAAAGGGGCATTCATAATGGGTAACTGGCGTACATACATATATGCCCGCATACTCCGTCCGCTCGACATGCTCAATCAAGTCAGCTCATCAGAAAGAAGCAGTCGATAGTATTTCTCTCTCTCTCTCTGTCTCCCTTTCCGTTGGGGCTTTTATGAGAGACTAAATGCTGTATTACCGGTGTACACTCATCGTTACCTTTTTCTTTTTACAATATAGTGTCTCGTTTAGGTACAATTCGTTTATAAAAGAATAGTCTTAGTACGAAAGATTAAACTAAAGTGTTTTTCAAAATCGAATACTATATATTTATTTATTACAAAATAAAATTACAATTTGATTCTATTTCTATTGTAGATTTTACAATGACATTTTCCTAGTCTTTTAGTTTTTAAATTGGCGCAAATTTTCTTCATCGAAATTGGTTTTGTTTTGTGTTAATCGTTTCATTGTTTTTTTCTTCTAATTTTTGTTACAAACATATAAATAAAGAAAATAAATATGGCAACAACAAATGAACAATCATCATTTTTTGATATACAAATTGAATCTCCATCAAGTTCATGTTCATCATCACCACCAACATCATTAAAACCAGTTCATAATCAACATGAAATTGATTCAGGTTGTGGTAGTGATGAAGATCCAGCATTAGCTTTAAAAATTAATAAAGGTCTTTCAATGGGTTATGATTATGAATTAATTAAAAGTGTTATACAACAACAAAATGATGGTGATGATATGTCGAAATTTATAGAAACAATTGTACGTACAGCTGAAGTTAATGGTAATTCAAACATAACATCAACTAGTAATCATAGTCCATCAAGTAAAAGTTCGTCACCAACAACATTCAATCAAAAAATTGATATGGATTCATCATCAACACATTCAAATTCTTCTGAAACACCAATTGTACCACATGATGTTTATATTATTGATGGTGCTGATCTTGCGTATAGGTATAGACAAAATTCAAAATCAAACTTTTTTCATATTATATATATATTTATTTTTAGTTATGGGAATAATACATTTTCATGGCGTGGGATTGAAATTTGTATAAAATATTTACATTCACATGGTCATAAGAAAGTTTATGTTGCATTACCATATTCATTAAAACATCATAGACATGATCAAAATTTTTCGGAATCGAAATCTTTACGTGATCTTGAACGTAAAAATTTACTTGTTTATACAAATCGTATGTCTAAACAAACAAATAAACCAGGTTCATATACACATATAAGTGAAATGTTAAAATTTTCACAAAAATCTAAAGGACATTTAATAACAAATGTTTCATTAAAAGATGTTATACTTGATTTTACTATTTATAAGCATATACTTGAAGAAAGAGTTATACGATATCGTTTTCAAAATGATAAGTAAGAATTTGTTTTTTTTCTATATAAAAATACAATGGTTGATTCTTTTTATGTTTAGTTTTCAACCATTATTAGTAACAATTGTTAGCGGTGATGATGGAAATGATTGTGAAACACATTATCCATTATGTCCTTACGGTAAAAAATGTACATATGGTTCAAAATGCAAATATTTTCATATTGAACGTCGTTATCAAAATCCATTATCAATAACTGAAAGTCTTCAAATGAAAGCACGATTAGAAAAATCGAAATTACAACATCAATTATCAAATCCATCAATGATGCCAGTTCTAGTTAATAATAGTAAAAAAAACCTATTTCTATTTATTAGATATTTACAAAAAAAATTAAATTTTTCCTTTAGCATTTAATCATACAAAATCAGGTCCAGATCATTTACGTATGTATAATGAACGACAATCACCAGTATCATTTTATCCTGTTATGGAACAAAGTCTTGTTGATGATGCACGTACTGCATATGAATATGGTTTACCGTCGACACCAACCACACCAAATGATTTTTCATTTGTTGATCAACGTGTTCCAATTCAACAACAAACAAGACAAACACATCGTAGCTGGTTTGGTACACCAAATCAACAACATTCATTTCTTAATAGAACATTCTCAATGCCACAACAACAACAATCAAATGTATTTTCGAATAATGATTCTCAACGTATGATGGAAGAACAACAACAAATGGCAGCTGCAATGCTTATGCATCAGCAGCAGCAAAATTGGGCTAGACAGCAACAACAACAGATGTTTCCTATGCAACAACAACAACAACCACAACAATTCGAACAGGTAGTAAGTCAATATCAGGATTTTATGTACTTCTTAACCTTGGTAGTTTTTCAAAGATAAACGAAATAAATTCAGTTATAAGACTTTATCGAAAATAAGAGCTATTATTTAGAATTGGATCAATTTCATGATTAAACTCATATTCGACATATGTTTAATCTTACTATTGTAATAACTAAAGCATAAAAACATCTGTTGATGAAATTCTATGATTAAAGTAGTGCATTATTTCATTTTGTCTAAAAGTTTTATTTTTTTAAAGAATGTTCTTCGTCTTTTGTCAATGCTTACATTACAACAACAGAATAATATGATGAATAATCCTAATAATCAACATATATCATCTGTTAATAATGCAATGATGCCACCTATGACAAATCAATCAGCACAACAGCAACAACAACAACAGCAACAAGAAAATCAATTTGATTGTTGTTCAGTAAATAGTCAACAAGGTTTAGCTGATAAAATTCAGGCTGTACGTCATCTTTGGGAATCAGAAAATCAACATGCAAATTCATCTGCATATGTTCATCAAATGCCAAATTATAATCAACAACAAACATCATCTGGTATTGATCCAACTTTATATAATCATATGAATACAACATTTCAACAAACAGCAACACAAGGTTTCGTTCAATTTCAATAATAGATAAACAGGAAGGGGAAGGCTTGGATCTCTTCATCTGTCTTTCAGTATATTTCTGTCTTTATGTTTCCTATTTATTTATTTGTACAACCACATACATTCTTAGTATGTATCCGTGTGTGTGTGCGTGCGTGTGTGTTTTTCATTTCTATTTCTTTCTTTCTTTGACACTTAGTGAACATTTTTCATGTATCTATGTAAGTTTGTGCATTGTTGTTGTAAATAGAGAAGAAAAAGAAGAAGAAACTATTTGAAAATTTGTCGCGTTGTGACACATATATAGCATAAAATATGTATTTCGTCTTTTACTCTTTATTGTGTATGTACGGTTTTCTTGTATGTAGTTAGGTCAAATGTATATTCTGCTCGCACTGCGAACAACATTACTCTGGTTTTTTTGTTATATTGTTTTGATTTCTTTTTTTTTTGTTTTGCTTTTTGTTTTTTTTTGCCCATATTTTCTAACTTATTCAAATATACATCGATTCATTCACATTGTATATCAATTGTTTTCGCGTCTTGTCATTAAGATAACGTATATATATGTTACTATTAATTTTTGTAATTTGGATTACGAAAATTAATATGAAATCGTGTGAACATTTGTAGGATTTCTTTTTTTCATCATTAAATGTCATTTTTGGAAATTTTCTTATTTTCTTCGGACTTTCATCTTAGACGGTAATGATGAAAAATATGCCGTAATGTTGCTTAACTTTTTTCTTTGAATTCAGTCATGAAGAAATTATCGCCAGAAGCAATGAATGAAAATAGTTTTTCATAATTTCAAACAAAGAATAATAAGTATGAACTAATCATTCGCACTGATATCTTATTCGACGAGATTAAATTTCTATTGATTATATTTTCAGCATGATTAATAGTCAAGTCTATCGTCTTTAATCTTTATTAATTGTTTAAGACAATACATTGAAGAATAAACAGTAAATACAATTAATAAGTTCATTGTGGTAATGTTTCTCGATTGAAAATGACATTTTTTATGTTATCTGACACTTGCGAAATTATTATGAAATTATTCATTGCTTATTTTTATTATTCAAAAATAAGATAAACATGAATTCCAACAGACGAGTTATTACATAATTCAGTAAGTTTATTATGAAATTATTTAAAATGAATGAATCGATAGGAAAAGAGATGATTTCCTAATGCCTCCTGTTTAGTTTATTTCCATGATCGATTGGTTTCTTTTTTCTGTATTTACAAAAAACAAAGTTTGTTAAGAACTATCATCATCGTCGTCGTCGTCGTCGTCGTCGTACGATGCAAGAAGCGAAGTAAGACCAGCTGATGGTTTTGAAACAGGGTCACTTGTTGTTGTTGGTTTCTTCTTGATTATCATAGCTAAAGAACTTTTTGGTGCTGGTCGTTTAGCATTATTGGGTTGACCAAATGAAACAGTTGTCTAATAGATTACAAAATAAAGATTATGAAAATAAAAATTGTAATTTAACTTACTTTTGGTTTTGTTGATAATGGTAATATTTCTTCCGTATTTTCTTCGATTTCTTCAGTTTCAACATCATTATCATTGATTGGCATCGTTGATTTTCCGAATGCTCGTCTAGAAATATTCAAACAGTTGGCTATGGATTGTTTAGAAATAGAATAAATATACCGAATTTCAGCTTCATCTTCGTCTTCTTCAAGTTGTTTTTTTAATAATGCAAATTGCTTATCTTCTACACGCTTTTGATTTAACATTTGTTCAATTTCAATAGCCGCATGTCGAGCATTTAATTCTTTAATATCTTCAAGTGCTTCAATAGCAGCCATTTCTTGTCGAGAATCACGTGTTCGATTTTCCAATAACTACAAATTTTATGGTTATTAAATATAATAATTATCAAATTATCTCTTCTTACCTTCATTGGATTGAGAGCTTCTTCTTCAGCTACTTTTGCTGCTTCTTCTTTGGCTTGTTTTTCAGCAAGACGAATGGATTCAAAATTTCGTATTGCTCCATGTTCTAGTTCATAATCACCATTTGCTGGATCAGTCTATTAAAATTAACTTTAGAAATAAAATATTTCGAATTTTTTAGTATAATCTTACCTTAAATGTTATTTCACGTAAACATTTGGTACATTTTATATAAAAACGATAGATTTGCATACCCAAATATGTTTCACCCATGACATCTTCTTTTCGAGCATTGAATTTTTTACCTTTATAAATATATTCACCACATGTTTTGCATCTATTTAAGAAAATAAAAATTAAAGATTAGAAAATAATAGAATTCATTTATAGATTTCTTACCTCATATTACATGGAGCCATTAAACGAATGCTAAATTGACTGTTTTTTGCACGTTTAGCACGAGGGATTTTTGATGGATCAAAATCCGGTGGATAATATTTCTAAATATAATTAATAGGATTAGTTTATGAATTAAAAAGAATTTTATTTACTTACATTTAAGACTTTACGTTCAGACATTGTTTGAAATCAAGTAATTCTTCACTGACAGTGATGAAGGTGAACTTTCGAAATATGTATTAGGAAATAATCAACCAAACGGAGAAAATTTTCTATTGGATGCTAGATCGCCAATCAATATCAAAGGAATGAGCGACATCATCTACATTTACGTCGTTATACTAGAAAAGTTAATACTATATTTTTGAAAAATGTATTATATATTCAAAACAATTTTACGAGTATAATAAAGTAAATGTATATATCAAAGTTTAATTTGATTGGTGTAAATCTCAAATGAATTAAGTACAGCAACATTTCAATCTAGGTTTTGATTGATAGTTTTATAGATTTTCAATAATGTGAAGTATTGATATACATTTAATTATTTCTATTTCACCGGAAAATACGATATTATTTATAGGATATCCTATTAAAGTTCCGAGAAATGTTGATACAAATAAGTAATATTATATTCTGTATATATTCAATAAATGACAAAGGCTATTACGTTTTCGAAAAAAAAATATTGAACACAGTAATTAACATTATTGTACTTTTTCAAACTTTTGTTAATATTTGTGGTCAAATACACCCATCAGATAACAAATAAAAATTCCCGCCGGGTAGGCTATTGAGATCGTCAAAGACAGTTGAAAAACGACAGTAAGAATTTTACTTCTGATGTTGAAAGCTGCAAGAAAAAAACATTGAACAACGACATATTAAATGTTGTTACATACGATTATAAAAAAAACAATATTCAAAGAATAGGCTCATTGATTCTTGGTTAAGATATTCAATATTGTCATCGTCGAATATTTCTTCTAAATACTTGTCCTAGAACAAAGAAGAGTTGTTGTTGTTCTTATATATACATACATATATTAAAATATAAATTAAAGAATAATTTACATTTAACAAATCAAACAAAATTATTCATATCAAATTTGCAAAATCCTTCTTCATCATCGAATTCTATTCTTGATTTTTCTTAGAAACCATCATGTGATATAATTTCTGTTGATGAATGGTTACAAATAGCTATTGAAGTATAATTAAATAAAGAAAATTCTTCAACTATATATATATATATCTTCTTTTTTTTCTTATTGTTCACTTTGATTTAAATTTCGATAAAATAGTTTATGCATCAAAGAATATTCAGAAGATGAACTTAATAATCATTTATTATTTGAATTTATTCTTCCATCAAATCATGATCGATTACTTGTATATCTTTTGAATAATCATTACGGTTTTTATTCTTTTATTTATTTCAAAATTCAGTATTATTTTTTATTTATATTACACCCTATTATCATGGAATTTCTGGTTGACGTCAATCAAGTCATTGATTAAATACTTTTTTCTTATAATCAAAGAACTAGAAAAGTTCACTATTGATAAAATGAGACATACCATTCAATAATTAAATATACAGCAAACGAACAAACACATTTGTTTGTGTTTTTTTCTTTCTTAAACCATCTAATAAATATATATTTTCGTCCGGGTTTATTAAAGCGCGCAGGCAGACAATGAAAAAAGAAAAAAAAGGAAGATGAACTTATAATATATGCTTGTTTCTCTGTACAAACAAAAAGGAAAGAAAAAAAGAAGAAAAAAAAAGAAATAGTTTAAGATAATAGAAATGCATATTGACCATCCCGTATTGCTGTTGTTAATTTTGTTTTCATAATTTCTTTTGATGAATAATCAGGTAACTTGAGATAGTTAACACAGGTCATTACACTTGGTAGAAATGAATCCGAAGTTGTATTATCATTATTATTCTCAGCAGTTTTTCGAACAACTGTTAATGGAGGATGTAGCATACGAAAACCTATTTAAAAAAAAATAATCAAATATATTTTCTAACTATTACTAGAAACAAATCGAAATGTAGCCTATGTTAATCCCATGTCTAGTTAACAGCAAATAATATGCTTAGTACTATTAAAGAGTGGGTTGGGTGAGCGGCGCCCACCCAACATTACGATTCGCATACTCGAAAGAAGCAAATTTCTAAGATTATTTACCTCCAACGGGCAATCGAGGACTACCAGTAACAAATTGTAAAAATGCTCTTTGTTCATCAATATCAAAATTAATCATTATATCAAAAAGCCATTTTACAGCTCGACTGTTCAAATTATATCCATGATCACAACGTGTCGATTCAAGTAAAACTTTAAGATCCCATAATTCTGTTGAACCACTACCACAAAATACTTGATGAAGCTAAAGTAGAAGATTGAATTAGAAAAAAAATGATTATATTTATCGATTAAACATACTTCATCTGGATAAAAGCATTTCAAATGATGTATAGGAAATATCGAATTAAATCCATCTCGAAATGATTCGAATTGTCGTCGAACACCTTCAACTAATGTCCAATATACAACTAACTAAAAACGAAAATTTATTAGATTTCTTTCTTAATTGTTTAACTTACATTAACATATTGATCAAGATTTTGAATTGTAACTAAACAATCTCTTCCACCTTTTTTCAATTCAATATTAGGATAGCCAGGTAATGTAAATACAAGTGCTAAATCATCGATTTTACAACCATCTAGGAATAATTTGTCATCATTTTCATCAAAAATATTTGAACTTGGTGAACTGTCTAAAAGTGTATCATCTTTAGATTTCAAACGTTTCTTATTATTTAATTTATTTGTTGTTATTTGTTGATTTAAAATTTGATTTTGTGATATTAATTTATCACGAATATGAACAACTGCTTGTAATTTCTTAAATTGTTCATAAATATTTATATCAATATGAATAAGATCTTCAAGATTTAAACTATCTTCTTCACCTAACATCCATTTATAAAATACAATACTAAATGGCATATCGATCTAGAAATATATTTCATTAAATTTCGATATTTCAAATAAATAAAAATTCTATTTTTACCATTCTCGAATCTAACAATGCTTTAGCCATAAATTTTCCAAGAAATTTAAATTTTTGTCGAACTTTTGTTATAATATTTGCTTTAGCATTACGACCAAGTGGTGCTGGATAAAGACCATGACGAGTATCAACATATTCAGGCATAGGTGTATCTTTATCTAAATCAAAATTTTTAAGTTTTAAATCCAATAGACAAGTAATATTGATACAATCATCTATCGAAAGAAAAGGTATCTTCAGGGGCGTAACCCTAGTTTTTCTATTTCAATGGTCAGAAAAAGTGAACTTTCTGGAAGCAGGGGGGCGGGGGCGCAAACCCCTTTTTTCCTATTAGTTTTTGGAAGCGGAGGGGGGGGGGGGTATGCGCCCCACGCGCCCCCTACTTACGCTACTGGGCTAATCAACTTCTATAATCACTAAGGAAGAAAATATCAAACCTTTGTTTGAATCGAAAATTTTGTCAGTTCTCCATAATTCACAACCATTTTTTTGTAATTCTTTCGATAATAATGCATAGGCTTCTAATGTTGGTCCAAGACCAAAACCAACCTATAATAAGAAACAAAAAATAAAACTAAATAAGTTTAGTTATGAAAATTTTACTTCATCTTCATATTGAACTTCTAAGAAATGTTTTGAATTCCAATTATCAAGTATTTTTTCCATTTCCGCAAGAATATTTCCTCGTGATAATTGTACTTTTTTTCTTTCAATTCTTGGTATAACAGATTGTCTATCTGTTTGATCATTATTATGTTGTTGTGTTAACATATCGGAACTATCTAAAAGTCTTTGCATAGCACGTTCACGATCAAATGCACATGGATAGAAAATCATTTGTCGTGTTTCAAATGGAAATAAAAATGAACATGTATAACCCATTTCTGTTATCCATGACGGTATATGTCCCATCATAATAACAACGGGATCTTGTAATTGTCTATTGACTTTTGATGTTAATTTTGATGATAAATATTCACTTTTTGATATTAATGTTAATGATGTATTATGATGATTTAACATTGTATTTGTATGAAAATAAAGATCATACCAATAAAGATTTAAACTATTTAATATATGAAGTAATGATATAGCATTTAAAGATAGATCATTTATTGTTAATATCGATGATATTGATTCATTTAAAGCAGATGTTAATAGAGATTTTGTTTTTGAACATTGTCCATTTATCCATAATTCATCAATGGTTGGAGAAGCTGATGAACGTTTAGGAGTTTTTATTGTTTTCTTTGAAGATTTCGATGATGTACTTTGTGTATTATCAGTAGCATGTCGAAAACGATTCGATAATGTTGTACTACTAGCTGCACCTATTTCTGTACTAATAGCAGGTACAGTTGATGACGAGTTTGTTAATTGACGATAATGAATTGTATGTACACGTGTCCAAATTGTAGATGATGAAAGTACGGATTCATCAACATCGGTTTCAGATTCACCATCACTTAAATGAAATAATAAAATTTATTCAAAACAAAAAAACAAAATAACATTTTACATACGTTGTTTTTTGTGTTGAAGTACTATACGTTCGAATAGCTTGATATAGCGTCATATTATGTGGAATAAGATGATCATTAATTAAAAATTCAAGTCGCATTGATGATGAATGAGCAAGAACATTAATAACATCTTCAGCATCGGATTCATTTGATACTTCACTTTCATCATCATCATCAAGTGTATCCGATTGATCATTCGATTCACTACTAGCAACACCACGTAAAAGTAAATATTTTTCAAGTGCTGATACAAGTGCAAATGGATCAATTTTCACCGGTCCACTATTCCATTGTTTCAATGTTTTGCATTGTGGATGTCGAACAAGATTGCACTTTAATTGATGAGTTGATATTAAACGGAGAGCTGAATTATGAGTTGGTCGACCAGCAATATCATTTACTCGAATAGGAAACTGTTCAAGTTGATTAATACATCCATGTAATTTACTAATTAAAGAATTTAATATATTCTGATTAATTTTTCCATTATTATTATTATTTATTTGTGTATGATATAAATCAATAATAAATTGTTTTAAATCTTTTTCATCTTGATTTTCATCAGGTATACTCATAAATATATTTAAAAATAATATTAATCGTTCTAATCGATCATTTGGTAATGATATATCATCAGTTAAATATTGAAATAATTTCGTTATTAAACCACTATGTACCATTTCAAAAGGTGTTACATCACCTTTAGCAATAATATTTGCTATATCACGTAATGCTTTACCATTTTCAATTGAATCTTTTCCAACATGTAAGATATCAACAGCTGAAGCTAAACGATTTATTATTTGTAGAGCAATATTTGAATTTGATGAATTATTTGAGAAATATGTTGTACGAAACGTTTTTGCTTGATTTTGTATCCATTCTTTTAATTTCAGTTTTTCTTGTGATGATAATGTTATTGAACTTTGTTGTTGATGATGAAAAATTGATCGAGATAAACTACTTGATATCATTAATGAAGCAGCTGCTGGTGCACTTGATGCATATGGATAGGATGGTTGTTGTACATATGCTGTTGGAACATAGATTGGTGTACTTGGACGTGGTCGGCTACCAGTTGGTAAAGTATAATAAGTAGATGTATCAGTAACACTTGTTGGTCGAAAGAAACCTGAACCAATACCAGCACCACCACCACCACCACGTGTAGGACGAATACGTACTGAAGTTGATTCTGGAGGAGTTGATGATGCCATTTCTTCTAACATTGAACGTGTTGATGATTTAATACGTGAAGATGATGTTGTTGTTGAAGTACGACCACCTCCACGTTGTGAACGTGTTTCAACTTTAGTTGGATTTGATTCGCTTTGATAACGACGTGATGATGTTGTACCACGATATGGAAATGATTGAGTTTTAGGATGAAGTTGTGTTGCAGCACCACGATGTGTTGGTGGAGGATCATTACTATATGTATGCATTTGTTGTTCATCGAAAGATTCACTAAGTGCAGGAATAGTTGATGTTGAAGAATTTTCTTGAATATGAGGAAGATCAAGTTGACTTTGAGTTGTTGTTGGATTTTGAACAGGTTGTGAACTTGATAAATTTGATGATGATGCTATACCAAGACCAATAAGAATTTCAATTTGATGAACAACACCTTCACGATAGAAATAAACAGAAAATATATCCGGTAATTTTCTCATAAGTATTTGTGAAATTTGTAATGCACTAATAACAATTTTATAATCAGATGATGCAAGCATTGAAGCAATATGTGACGATATAGATTGTTGTTTTAAAATTGTTTCAAGTAACTCCGATGATGAATAATATATCATACGAAGTAATGATTGTAAACAACGATGTTTTACAGCTGGACCAGCTGATGTATTATAAACTTCATAAAGTGTCGTAAATAATGATTGAATAAATGCATTATATAATTCACTATTATCTTTTAAAACTTCTGTACGAGGATCGATTGGATTAGTTGTTGTTGTTGTTGTTGTTGCTGTTGTTGAAGGAGAATTTTCTGCTGATTCTTCTATTGAGAGTGATGGTGATGGTGATGATGGTTGAATAGGATCAGGTGAATTTGGATTAGCAATTCGTCTTATAAAACGAGCTTGATTAGTTTCTTCATTGATTTGTTGTAATTGTTGTAAATCAAGAAGATAATGTCGACCAGATATAACTAATTGAACTTCTTCTTCATGTTGTTGCCAAGCTTGTTCAATTGCTTGAGAATCTTGAAATGAATATGGACATAATTGTCCTAAATAAAAGAATTTTTTTCTAAAGGTTCAAAAAATCAATTAAAAACAAACCTTGATCATCTTGCCAATGCCATAAAATATAACTATTTGAATTAACATCATATCCTTTACCACCTTGAAATAATTGATCAATTTGAAATAATGGTTCATCCGATGGTAATCTTGGCATCATTTCACCAATTAAAGAAACAATTTCATACAATTCTTGTGGTGTATGTAAAATTAGTTCAATATTATTTGTTTGTTGTATTGATGTCATACTTGTTAGCGTTTCATTTGTTGGTAATGTAGCTGATTTATATGTTATAGATTTTTTTGTTGTTGATGTTTTACCTTCAGCTGAACCAGTTAAAAGACACATTAATGTTTCGGCTATATTCATTTTAAGTAATGTCATAGCAAGTGTTGGACAATAAGCAGCAAATATATGTAACATATGAATAATACTAACAAATGTTGTACTATTTAATAATGATGGTTGAACAATAATCATTGTTTGCATTGTTTTAAGTAATTCTTGTGATGCTATTTCACATAATATTGTTGAATCATTATGAAAATTTTCAACTAAACGTGTAAATATTGAACAAATATGTTCAATAGTTTTTTTATCATCCGAACGTAAACGATTTGATAAATTTTCTAAATGTTCACGAATATATTTAAAATCATTACGTGTTAATATATGTATACAACAATTTGCAACTATAGCAAGTGCTTTATGTTGAGATGTCATCGAAAAAAAATCAATATATTCAAGACAAGCACTAATACCATCCTATTTAGGGAAAAAAATTATAAGAATTATTTTAATATTTTCTTGTATATACTTACAGCAATAAGAATTTGTTTTGCATTTCTTTTTGATATCATTTCTAAAGCTGTTAAAGATTGTTCTGCTGTATCAATTGATGTTATACTTCGTAACTAGAATAAATAAAGAATAACAGATATGTTAAATTTTGTTTTGTAAGAAATTTTACTTTGCTTAAAAATATAGGAGTAGCTTCGACAACTTGAATTGCTGAACGAGGTAATGCTTCCATAAGATAAGTTAAAGCTCGACATGCTGTTAATGCTATTTCAGCATTGGCTTCATTTTCATCTGCTAAACAATCACGTAATGGTGGATAAAGTGCACGAAACTGAAATCCAGGTAATGTATCTTCATTACTCATAACAAGAAGCTAAAATTAGAAAGAAAAAAACATATTTTCTATTGTTTTATTATTGATGAAATACATACGGAACATAATTCATTAAGTGTTGTTAATTTAACATCAGGATCAGGTGACTAAAATAAAAATATTTATATAAGAATTAATATATTGATTTGTTATTTACTTGTATTCCTTGAATATATTGTTGTAAACGTCCATTTATTGAGCTTCCACCTCCAACTCTACTCATTAAATGTTGTACACGACCTGTTAATGTATGAAAAAGTGCTGCACTAGCTGAACTGCCACTTGTGGCAGCACGAACAAAATTTGGATCAGATAGTATATCACGTGCTGTAGGACTATTATCGGGATCAGTATCACTTTCAGTTGACATTTGTAATGGTTGTTTTGTATTACGATGAGCACTAGCAACAAGTGGTGAAGTATATGATGTGGTTGGAACAAAACCAGAGTAAGATTGAGCTGATGATGGCGGAGGAGACGAAGAATTGTGTTGATAATATGCAGGAGAATTAAATAAATGTAACGGATTATTGGAGGAGGTTACACCGGTATTATTTGTATCGCACGACCGGCTTTCAGTACCGGCAGTGTTGGTGACGGGCACCGATGAACGACTTAAAAAAAAATAACAAAAAAAATAATAATATTATCAATGCCTTGTCCTATTTACTGAAGAGGTTATTACGATAATCATATGGCAAGAAAATATTTTATGTATATACATATACAATAAATAAAAGAAAAGAAAATGTCGACGTCCTTAATCGAAAGAGAACGAGAGAAAAAAAAATGTTTGATGTTATTGCTTTGTACAAGGTCATTCACTTGCAAAATAATCATGAAATTTTAACTGGACTTTTATTTGTTATTCATGGTTAACATCAAACTAACTTTAGTTACTGATAAATAGCATAAATAGCAGTCACCAATAGACCTTTATGTCGATTATTGTGTCATGTTTTTTTCTTCTTTTTCTTCTCTTTCTTCTATACGAAACCAGAATGCGATGAATAAGGGTTTTTTTTCTCTTTTCTTCTGTGTACTAGTGCAAATAAGCGCGTGCAAACGGACGTCTTTAGTCGCACATCTGTACACCGTAGCAACAATGCATTAGTTTGCGTCATAATTTGAAGTATACAAAAGAAGAAAAAAAGAAACAGATCTTTTTACCTAGAAGAAGATTGACCCGTTGTCAAATAATCAATATATGATTTTGTTGTATAACGACGTGATCGTCGATTACTATTAGTTGAAGGTTCGCTTGCAACTGTATTAAGTTCTCGTCCGCCTGTTTTTAATATTTAAACAAAGATAAATTATTAGAATTTAATAATATTATTACCGGCTCTTCGTTTAACACAAAAATTCCCCGTGTCTGTATCTTCACTTTGTTGTTCAGAATCACTTTTTTTTCTTCGATTATGATGAAATAAAATCGGTGCAGAATTTCTTTTTGATTTTCTTCGAATAGATAAATGTTCGTCTTCGTCAGATGATGATTCTCGTTGACGTTTTGTTGTTTTTAAATTTGTTAATTGTTCACTTCGTTTACGATGTCTTATAACATTCGATATATGATGAGATAATGATGATGTTGTTCGTTCTCTATTATCTTCTTGTTCTTCGTTTAAATCCGATTCCGAATCTATTCGACGTTTATTATTGCTAATGGAAAGTGCTTCAAGTGCTTTCGATTTTGCTTGACGAGTTGTAGTTGATGATGAAGATGATGATTGTTGTTCTTCGTCTTCTAAAATACAAGATCCAAATCTTTTTTTTCTATTATATTAAAATACCTTTAATAGTTGATTTATTTGTCGTTGATTTACGGTCAGCACTAATTTCAAAAAAAACGAATTTTATTTTTAATAGAACAAATTAATTTCAACATACGTTAATAATCTTAATGATCGTCTAGTTGAGGAGCTCGAATTGTTTTGCATGTGGGCCATTCGAGACGATGTTGGACATTCGAAAGAATAAACTATTATTAGATTTATTTCGCGACATTGAACATACTAGAGATCGATCGAGATAGGAAAAGAAACTGAAGTCGAATGATAACGATATATATAAGAAGTTTTTTAAGAAAACAGATTTTTTATATTAAGTAAATTGTATGAAGAAAGGAAAAAAAATGTCGAAACAATATGTGTTTATTATGTATTCTAAAAAAGAGAAAAAATAATAATAAATTTTATTACTCAAGAAAAAAAAAGCAAGAATGAACAATATGATCGATGGATGATGAGAGACAAGACTCAACTGAAATATCCTATTGGATGATGGTTGTTTGTGCATTGATTTAAGTTGAATATGCATTTAAATCAGCTGATTCCTATGCTCGTAAATATTTACGTGAATACGGATATTACGATTTTATATTTCGTTATTAATAAATCTTGTCATCTGATATTGTTTTTAGAAAATATATTTTATTAAAATGAGTCATACATTTACTCAAAATATTTCCTATACTATCGATCAATTCTATCCGAAAAAAATATTTACTTCCTATAGAAATTACATACTTGTATAGTCTCTAATAATTATTATAAAATAAAATATGCAATTATTGATGCATAAAGTTGTTTTGAAAATAAACGTGAATAGAATGGGTTTTATATTCTTACATACAATTGTGCAATACGATTGTTTTGAGGTAGTAGAGAAATTACCAAATAGATATAATAATATTTATTCGGGAATAAATGGGAGGTTAAAAATAACTTTTATCAACGAATCGTATAGTTATATCTATATTAAATAGGTGAAAATTAATCATAAATATGAAAGCGACAGGAGATTTTTAGAGCTGATTAAAAATATTTATTTATTAATGATGAAAAAATTATTTTATATAGTATTCTTTAGATTCAAAAGAATTATAAATAGGCATAGTTTCAAACATCCGGCAATCTTATTTTCTAGTTTAAAATATTTGTTCGCAGTTTTTCAAAAAAAAATATTGTATTACATGGTGTTGTTTTAAAACTTCAAGGATACATAAACAGATATTTGTAGGGTAACTCATCCTATTTCATTATAGAATTTCTCTTAATTCATTTTAAAAATAAAGCAAAGAAAAATACTTCTTTTGTCATTTCCTATAGAAAATATTTCACAAGCACAGATCTTAAAAGATTAAATGTACATATAAGCTTTGTCGTAGAATCTATATATATGTTAAAACGTATTGAAGAACTTTTCCAGTATAGTTATTTGGGGCACAAATTTTTTCTTTCAAAGATATATTATGACAAAAATGATATACATAGATTATTTATTTTATCTAGAAACAAAAAGAATATGACGACTTCTGTTCCTATCATTTCATTTGGAAATTAATACTTCTCGCTCTATCGATATGTAATATGTCTTCTACGTATAACTATATGTGGATAGAATGGAAAAGAAATAGTTTATACTGAAGACGAAAGATACTATAGTGATGAATCAAACATACGTATCTTCAACATGTTGTTTCTCGATTATATTTAGCTATGATTGATTTACTGAAGTTATTTGACAAAAAAGAAAGAAAGTTTTTTTATTTTTATAAGAAAAACGAATAAGATTATATACAGAAACTTTCATATTTCAATTCAGTTGTGATAAATCGTTTGTCAAATGAACAAGTATTGCGAGATTAATGGAATTAATTCATTTTTTCACATGACATCTATCGTCCGCTTATTTTATAGCTTAGACAAATTACGAAAAAATATTCTTTCATAGATAATACATGTTGATAAATAAAAAACATTTCAAATATTTAAACAGCTATACAATGACCTCAGTCATTATGCAACCGATCAAAATTCAGGTATAATAATCTGCCTAAGTTACATATTACATGAATTCTATTTTTATACAAGAGAAGAAATTAACATTACATGCGTATTGGCATCTACTGTTTAATATTCTCCTTCTCGTAGAGAAGAGTCCAGTAAACAAATTGTCTGATTGCTTGCTTGCTTGTGTGTCCGCAGGATCAAAAAAACATCGAAGATCGATTTTTCGATGCAGGGACTTCGAATCTGACGTTAGTTTTTCAAAACTCTGTAAAAAAATTTTTTTTTTCGATAAATGACCATTTTTTTTATAGAAAATTTGACGAAATGGTTTTTGAGGTCGGGGACTTCGAATCTGATGTTAGTGTTTGCAAGTTATATAAGTAAAGGGTCCCGTAGCATTGTAGAACACCATTTCTATGAGAAAGAGCTAAGCGAATCCTTAGATGAGCGTTACTTGTTTATTAATTAAATATATATAACACTTGAATTATTCGAAAAAAAAGACCCATCCCAAAAGAAGACAAAAAAGAAAATAATTATATTAAAAATCAGTCTTTTATTAATCTTCAACTTGAAATGATGTAAATTGCCAATTCTCTTTAATTTTATCGTTTTCCGGTGGCCAATTAGCTGCTTTTGAAACCCAAGTTCCTAAATAAGGCATACACATATCAAGAATTTCATCAACATCAATATCATCTGGTAAACATATTCCTTCATTTGGATGTTTCATACAATATTGAAGAGCAGCAACAACACTAATAGCAACTTGCAATGTTGTTGCACTTTGTCCAGATATTATTTCTCTCGTTTGATGAATATCAAGTACACTACCTGTCCACCATGCATTTATATAAGGACTACCAAGTAAAAGAACACCAACTTCATCAGCACCTTCAATAATATCATCATTTAATATGCGTAATGTTGGCTGTAATTGATAATTATGCATACGAAATTCAACTAAAGAACTTAATGCAGGATCACATGGTAAATATGCATAATGAACAGTTGGTCGATATAAAACTCCATTATTATTTTCATCATCAGTATAAACTGATAAATATTTTGAAAGTCCATATGCTTCACCATGTCTTATAACCATGCCAATGATTTCACCACTTGGTACCCATGAACGAACCTAAAATAAAGAATATTGATTGAATTAGAATAATTAAACAAAGATTTACCCATGTATTCATTCCTTTTGTAGAGAGACAGACTTGATTGCGTGGACCATTACTATCATTATGAAAAAATGTTCCATTTGGAATATCTCTTTCATGTGTTCCCCAACCCATTTCAGCTGGTGCTGCACCTTCTTCAATAAAACCTTCAATTGACCATGTATTAACAAATTCATTAACTTTTTTTGGATCATTTGTTAATTGTGTATCACGTTCAGATATATGAATTGTTTTTATATTCAATAAATATGCTAATTGTGGATAATCTTTTCTTTGTAATGCATTTTCTAATTGAATTTTATTATTATTTGAAATAATTGTTTCATTTTGATTGAGTACATATTCAGCCATATCAATGAGACCACGTTTAACAAAATGTGAAACAAGTCCTGGGTTACAACCATGATCAAGTATTGCTGTTGGACCTTTTTTATTCCATTTAATATCATTTTGCATTTCAATTAATTGCATTTGTCGATGATATAATGTTAATAAACGTGGATCATTCTTATATTTTTCACCAAATGGTTCCCATAATTCAACTGATGTATTAACAAAACAAACTTTATGATCATGACACCATTTTAATAAACATCTTGTTTCAATATTATAAGCAAGATCAAGAAGTATATCATCTTCTGATAAATATTCATTTAAAATTCTTTCATAATTACTTTCTGTAATTAACAGTTGTTGATATTTTATTTGATTGTATTTAATAAGATAAGGTTCAAGTTTAGTTGATAAATCAATTGCATCAATAATAGTTATTGAATGAATCTTATTCTTTAATAGAAAATAGTCGATTAAGAGTGGTAATGTGCACTGTGATACACCACCATAACCAATAACCAATAAACGACGGGAAGAAGAGTCCACTTTTGATAGAAACAGTTGAAATATACTGTTTTTACAAGAAAAACGAAAAAAAATATATATATTGAAATCGAAATGATATGAATCTATCAAAAATGACGTTCCGTTTTATTTCGAATTTCGTATTGAAATGGGAGTAATTATCAGCTGCAATGTCTTCTGACAAGGCACGACCTTGTACTATTAAAATTACTGTAAGTACGTATATATATTCTATTCAACTATGTGAATACAATACAACTGTATGATAGCTACGTGGGTTGATTTTATATGCAATAAGAGATTAACAGATTTTATAGAAATACATCATAAGTATGCGCAGATTAGAATCTCGAAAAATTGAAGAAGCGTTTTTGCAATAATTTTAAAAATATATAACAATATTTCAAAATCCTCATAAATAACTTAAGTTATCGCATATTACGTGTTAGTGACTGTAAACAAGAACATAAAATATATCTTACCTTGTTGAATTATCTACTCTGGCTGTAATTTATTTGTATGAATAGGTTGCATATGTACATATACGTGCTCATATGCATACGCTATACAATAAATTTTTATTTTACGATTTTCAAAAAATTAGTGGTAGACTGGATAAACTATACTTTTATGCGATGTACGAATCATTCATGGCTATTAAATAATAAGCACCTGCCAAACTCGATGAGTTAATATCTGAATAAATAAAAACAAGTTTTTATGAATGTAAACATCGGAATTATGTTTCTTTGATCAAAAGGTAGATACAGTGAATAGTGTGGGTGTGCATAGAGGATGAGAATATTCACCCATATTCATATTTTCACCCACACATCAATGCAAAATCATCTTACGACTTTACATGAACGATACGATAATGGCTCGATGAATGTTTCCGATTGCCTGATAGGTTTATCACTTCTTATTGAAGCGAAATATAATAATTGATAGTTGATTCATCAAATTTTTTCGATTAAAATAGGATTTATCATCAATAACAAATGTACAATTTTTATTATTACTATAACACATAATAAAGGATAAATATTTCTTTGTAGTCTTATTGCATTATTATCAGCAGCTCTGTCTGAATATTGTTTTTGACAGTAAATGAACGATTAAAAATCATCAAACGGAACATAATTATATTAAAAACGCATTATCCTCTTGTTTTTTTTTCATTATTTTATGCAAAACACAAACTGCAGATCATGTAAATACTTCTAAGTCATCTATTACCTAAAATAGTTGATTAAGTTCTGAAAACTTAGAAATAAACTCGGCTCGTTTTAACTAAAAAATAATTCTTTCATATTTACTCGCCATTAGCTAATATTATTCAACCAAACGTGATTTGCAAAGACATCCTAGTAATGTTATTTGTTCGACTGAAAATAAAAACTTATCGCCTATATCAAATACAATCAAAAAAAATGATAGTTTTTCAAATGTTTTGTACGTTTCGTTTACATTATTTACTTACCGATACAAATCATTTGAATTACTCTGCATCATTTTAGTTTACTCTTATTAATTGTAAAATGACAACCAAAGATTTTAATAACGAATACGAAAATTATCAAATATCCGAAGGTACAAATACAGAGAATGATATTTATGATCAAGGATCATTATCAAATTATATTGATACGAAAAGTAACAAGATTGTAATTAATATCCCACCAAAAAGAATTAAATCAAATTCAAAACAAATAAATAAAATGCAAATTTCACGATTACAATCAGGTCAAGCATCTCCTAATAAGAATTCAATAAATTCACCATCTTCAGCGATAATTAAAAATGAAAAAAATACGAATAGTATTAAATATTCCATAACAGTCGATACAAGTAAAGCACGAACAAATCTTGACGTTGTACGTTTATGTTTACGAGAACTTCGATGGAAAGAAGTAAATTTCTTTCCGATGAAAATAATTCTTCAGATTTATTCTTTCAGTCTTCATCTGATACTGCTCTTCATTCTGATATATATTGGCATGCATCATCCTATCATGAAGGAAATACAGATTTTGCATTAAGTACAGGTCGAGTGAATAAATTTCCTGGTATGTTAAGAAATTTTCTAGATTTATTTTCACTATATTTTACGAAATATAGGCATGAATGATCTCTTACGTAAAGTTCATTTGAGTCGTTTATTGAATAATATGCGATTATTATTTCCAAATGAATATGACTTTTATCCTAGAACATGGTTTCTTCCAGAACAAAATCAACAGTTTAAAGATGATATACGTTATATACATCAATTAGATAAAAAATGTAATCGTCAACTAACGACATTTATTGTTAAACCATCAGGTCTATAAAAACAAAATAATGCTTTTAGTTAAATGTATTTTATTAATTTTTAGGCGGTTCACAAGGTGAAGGGATATATTTACTCCGAGATCCATCTCAAAAATTGAGTACAAAACGTTCATATGTTGCTCAAGGTTAATAATTTAAATATTTAGATTTTTATTAAATTATTTCGTATTTTTGTTTTAGAATATATCGATCGACCATTATTAATCGATGGTCTTAAATTTGATTTAAGAATTTATGTTCTTATATTGAATTTATATCCATTAGAAATTTTTCTTTATGATGAAGGTCTTGTTCGTTTTGCTACAATTGATTATAATCGTCCAACAACTGCAAATATTCATGAAATATATATGCATTTAACAAATTATTCTTTAAATAGACATAATATTAATTATAAACATACAATTAATAATAAACAAACAGATGGTAGTAAACGTAAATTAAGTCTTATTTGGAAACAATTAAGTAAAATATATGGAAATAAAAAAATCGAATACACAAAGTTTTTAATTACTGAAATGATTAACAAAACAATATTAGCTATAGCACCTGAATTATGTGTTGAATATGAACATGAATTTTTATTAAGAAAAAAACAAGGATTGTCTTGTTTTCAGGTATAAATATAATTATATTTTAATATTGAAAGTATATATATTTATGAGTAGATTATTGGTTTTGATATAATACTTGATAATCAACTGAAACCAATATTGCTAGAAGTCAATGCAAATCCTTCGCTTAGCATTGGTTTTGATAAAGAAAATGAACAAGGTAAAATACGACAAAATGTACAAAGTTTATTAATTATTTGAATTATTTCTAGGAAAATTAATTTGCCAATCAAGTCCAATTGATGAAGAAATAAAAAGACCTTTAGTTCTTGAAACACTTAAATTAGCATTACCAAAAAAACAATTAAATACAATGTAAGAAAATGATGATTGTTTTCATTCAAAATTTAACTAGAAATTGTTTAGTGCTCGTCATGTTAAATATCAGGTGAATGATAAAATTATAACTGAACGAATTGAAAGAGTGGCTCAACGTCGTCTTGAAGAACGAAATAGGAAAATAAAAGATGAACGGCAACGTCGTTTTGATGTAAAATTAAATCCATTTTTTTCACGACCATTAAAAAGCGCACCGCAAGAATCTTTACGTCAACAACAAGTGTATATTTCTTCTCCAAGACATTCGGATCATATAATCCTACGACAAGAAGATTTGTTAATATATCCATCAATAGATTCTGGAGAAAAACTTCGTGGTTCTATTGATAATGATGAAATTTGTTCATCTATAACAGCTACAACATTTTCTTCACTAGATACAAGACAACCTTCGATTAATTCTGAACCATTTGTTTCTATAAAAACAAAAACAGATACAGCAGGACCTTTAAAACTTATTTTTTCATCAAATAATCAAACAAAATATGAACATTTACTTGTAGTGAATAAAATAGCCGATATTTATATTCAACTCGTCGTTAAGTTAGGATCTAAAACAATGACTAGTGAACAATTTCGCAGTTTTGCTAAGTAAATTTGACATTTTTTCATATTTTAAATATATGATTTCATTTAAATGATTGATTAGTACATGTCGAATTATTGACAAAACAATCACATCATCATCAATCGACATTCTTTATTATCAAATACTTAAAAAATGGCAACAGTTTGTATCAAAAACAACTTTAACAGGTAACCTATATTGATATTATATGTTGCTATAGAAGGTAAATATATATCCCTATTTAGGTCTACCATTTGCAGCATTTATTGAAGCATTTTTTTCCTTATCACAACGAAAATATCCTAATGATCACAGTTTATTTGATAGTGCTAATCATCTAGTGAATGTTTATATTGATCATGTAAATTCTAGTTTACCAGTTTCTTCAAGTATTCCTCAATCTGATCAATATTTTCTTCATCGAACTACTAAAAATAATAAAACAATGAATTCTTCATCATTAAATATTCGCTCATCAACAGCAAAAACATTAATACGTAGTTCAACTGCTACACAATCAAAGACTTCTACACTTGTAGTTTCTAAACAACAAAATCTTCCAACAACGAATAATACTAATGAAAATACCCGAAAAAGTATACTAAAACAATCAACTAAAAGTGTTTTTCCTTTATTTTTTGATGTTTTATAAAAAGTTTTATTTTTTTAATAAGAACAAAAGAAGTGTTTATTTAACTTAAGTTAACATATCATATTATCAGTATTGGTGTTATAGAAAACAAAATTGTTTTCATATTTATATTATGATGTGATACTCAGTAGTTATCTCAGCTGTAAAAATAATAAATTTTATACAGTCTGTCCAACTATTTATTTCTTTAGAAAGATAAACTACCAATTCCCAACATGACCACTTTTTCACAAGCTATCCTTCTTTAATTACTAGAATATGCAGCTCAGATGGTTTGCAGATAAATTGAAGAATAAAGGGACATCATTTATCAATCGGACTTTTACAGTTAGTCAAAAAATATATCGCAATGTTCTTTCAGAACAATAAAAATAGCATACCCATTCATCTATTTAAAACCTTATATTTAACATGATACCGATAAAAGTACATTTGTTTTATCTTTTCAATATGATGTTATCTATAAGTACTACAAGATTTGCTAATTTAAATAACTTTTTCGAGATTATAACTTGTCTTGAATGTTTAGATTACGCTATCCGTGTTAATTTCGATATGATTTATGATATAACACGTGCTATTTACGAGTTAGTGTGTATGTATTTATTTCGAATATCAAGAAGCTCGCTTAGATTGTACTTTCCACTTTTCTTACATATTATGACAGACGGCAGTAAACACAATAACAGAAAAATATGGAATCTAAGGACAAATTCGAAAGCTAACAAAGGTTAGATTACGTTATATATGAGAGATATATACTTATCAAGGACATGCGCGAAACACGCTTATGAATGTGTGAAAGAAGAACGAACTAATAATGTGGTCTCAAAGTATATATAAGAAGAAATGAATCAAAAGTACATTAAAATATAGATGAATAATCGAGGTTATTGCAGTCACTTTATTCAAGTATAATTAACGACTTATATGAAGATGGATTCTTACAATATTAATCATTGAAAACGAAGAAAACTTGTTAAAGTGGCATCGAGATTTAATTGAAAGATTGTAAATAAATATTTGATTATATCACAGTAAAAAAACGATCTGAAACTTTATATAGAGTGAATGGAGCCGAAGAAACCGATTTCTAAGCCATTATGCTTTTGAAGAGAATACATAAATTCATACTAACTCGAGATCTTATTGTCGAAATTAAAATTCAACGCTTAATTAGTTCATATGGTTAAATAAAGTCATATTTATCACGAACAATCATTTCAAGTCTTTAAAACATTATAGGGTAAGAGCGATATACAAGTCAAACGATTATTTTACGTATTTAGCTAAATGAGAATTGACGTATTCTAATTGATGATGAATACAATTGAACATCTAAAGAAAATAATTCCAGAAACAAACTAATAGAAATATTTTAGAATGATACTATTAGGAAGGATGACTTTGAATAAATCTCAGATCTATTTTTTGCATTTTAATAGTAAAAATTGGACTTTTTTACTTGAAAATAACAATAAGTTAGTGAATTTTATATCGTATTAAACAAATAAATAGGCATATATTGATTTTATATTTCATTTATCATCCATTAGATGTCGTATAGGTTCCAAGATTTGTATCCAAAGTAATAACTAGATTTTGTTGTACAGCATTTGCTTGATCGTACGAATACAAAATGAATGGACCAGTAGCCGTACCTAAAATAAATGATATACGAGAAGGAACGATGTGGTATTCTCTTACCCTGTACACCCACAGTACAAGTCATACCCCCATCTGTTGCATCCAGATATTTAAACTGAACAACACCTGGAGCATTTTCAAAGAACGTAACTTGAAAATGATAGTATTGTGTTGCTTGAAGATAATGACTCATATAATATTCAAATATAAGTTGCCGATTTGGAGCAGTTCCTTCTGATTGATAATAAATTCCTTGAGATGTACTTGCATAAATGAATAAATCATCCCAAAATGGAAAAGCAGTTGCACTAGAAAATGCATCTGAAGGTAAAGTAGTTTCAGCATATGTTGTTGAACAAGTACCAAGACAAAGAACCTATAGTCAGTACAAAATTTAGTATTAATTTGGAACAGAATCTAAATGATTATTATAATACTGTAAAAATCCTTCGAATAAATTAATACTTCTGTATTATATTTAACATAGATTAAAGTATTTGTATAAGAACTTACACCATCTGTAGTAACAACAACATGATCTGTTGTTGTACCATAAAGAGTTACACTCCATGGAAGAGCTACATCATACATTTGATCATCAGCTGTTCCATTTGTTGATGCTGACCAAATAGGTATAGGATTCTTTAATTGAATACCAGGTACATTAGTGCATACACCAGCTGAACAACTTGTATTACTTGGACAAATATTTCCAACTTCTCCACAATTATCTGAATCGATCTGTACATTAACACATGTATTCAGTGGAGTAATTACATTTGGATAAATACAAGTAACTACAAGAAAATCATATATTTTAAATGAAAATATTTGTTTAGTTCAAATAAAAACGTAGGAATATCTCGTCGTGCACGTATAGTTATGTGTATGACTAAACCAAAACATTATACACTCATCGATTCATTATTTATGCTCATCACATATAAAAGACTCAAATGTAACTGTGCCAAAAAAGATAACTATTTACTTAATGTTGTTATCATTGTTGTCACTGTTGTTGTTATTATTGTCGTTGTTACTGTTGTTGTAATTGTTGTTGTTACTCTCGTTGTTATTACTGGTGTTGTTATTACTGATGTTGTTATTGAATATGGTGTTGTAGAATCTATACAAAAATAAATTAGATGCTATTTACTTATAATATTTAGTAGCAGAAATATTTTCAACTAACTTGTTGTTCCTTTCTTCTTACTAAGCAAAATAGGGAGAAGAATTGATGCAAGAAGTAAACCAAGTAAAAATAACGCGAGAAGAGCCCACAAGATCCACTTTTTATATCTAATTAATTCATTAATTATGTTTTTATTAAAATAATAGATAAAACTCACTTAAATTTACGTTTAGGTTTATCTTGAAGATTTCCGGAAGTTATATCGATTATTCGTGGCATATGTTCTTCAACGCCTGATGGAGATCTAACTTTAACAAAAACTGAATCATTATAATATGTTAATGAATCAGTTCTCATCTGTATAATCAGATTGATCTAAACAAATATATATATACAAATTAAATATAAAAATATATTCGAATGTGAATTCTATATTAATTTCCCAGTATAATTCTATTTTTGTGGATCTATATATCAACAAAAGAAAGTTGGTTCAATGATTGTTAGCTTTTGAATAACAATACCGATAGAATTTAAAAAATATCCCTTAGGGATCTATAAAAATGTTTCTAAAAAGACGTAATTTGTTAGAAAAATATCTATCTTAACAGTTTGTGATACAAACCTAGAATTTCTTTAATCATCTTATGACTGTCGAAAAAAAGAACCATTTTTACGATATGATGTAGATATTGAACTAATTTTAATCTATTTTTTGCACTTTACTGGTTGTCACCTTTTTTTTAACTATATAAATTGCCCAATAATTTAATTAATAGATAAAGAAAAAGATAATTGTCTTGTCAATATATAGTTTATTTCCTTCTGAATGTTAAGAAAATGAGCCTCTCCCTCTCTTCTGAAATGTTTCAAATAAAAAAAGTGACTTACTAAATAAAAGATATTATTGTTTACAATAAAAAATGAAACTCAAATATACTTTTCATTATTGAATGAGGCAGATTTTGTTTTCGCATTATGTTGCCAATTTAAAATTTCCATAAATCATTTATACATTCAATACTAGAAGTAAAATCGAATAAATTATCCAGTGAATCTTATAAGTCACGATCACGTAAGAATTTCATTTTTCTTTATTTCTAAAACTATTACATCATGGAGATAATTCAACTCAATAAAATACATCAGATGATCGCATAATCTTGCTTGTATTTTACAAAAAATTTATACGCCATGCTTTTTGTTATATTCAAAAGGTATACATACCTTGCATATATATTTTCTGAGAAGTATCATATCTACGCTATTATTTGACTCGATATCGATCAATGAATTTGGTTAATAAAATTAAAATAGTGTCACAAGAAAATCAACTGATTCTCAATCATCAAAAACCATTCATTTATCTTTTTATAGAAACTATTGTCTATTTAATAATTATATTTTAGCATTACATTCTGCAGTTACGTTTACTTCTCGAAAATTTACAACGTACACATTCAATACAATCATGATGTTACTTGACACATCAATATTACAATGCGAAGATTTATCAATTAGATTATCGAATCTATTCACGCGAGTTTTCTTTGACATAATCGAAATCTATTCATATATATACAACATTGTCCGATGACTCTATTTCTGAATTCCCAAGACGATGAAAATGCTGTTAATAGTACAATATGTCAGCGAATTACTTGCACAAAAAGAAATCATATATACATGTTTAGTCTGGTATAGATATCTATTCTGTCAAATATGATTTAAATCCATAAAGACAATAATTCTCTTTATTCATCTTTTTGTTTCAATATAGCTATGAACAATCACACATTGAATAGATATAAGAAAAGGAGAAAAAAACGTAAACGGTTGCGCGCGATGCTTTGCAAGTAAAACAAGGACGAAAGCAGCATTGCTAGTTATGATAATAATGATAGCGATAACAACAACAAAACAAAACAAATGAAATGAGATTACTCCACTTGTCCACAGCACACAAAGCAAAAAGTTTACAAGAAAGGATCAAGAAGTGAAGAAAGAAAAAGTTTTGTTGATTTTTTTTGTTTTGGTTTGTATTCAACTCTAACAATACGAATAGAAAATAATGAGATTAGGTAAATTGCACAGCAAAAGAAAAACGATAAAGAAAAAAAATAATATGTTGACTTGTTTATGATACCGATGAAGCAGCCATCATCTTTTGTAATTGATGACATTTATTTCGTTCATCAGCCAATTTTTCTATGATTAAAAAAACTTGTTTTATATATCGGAAAAACAACAATGAAATTACCTTTAACTTTATCAACTTTGTTTTGTAATTTTCCAACATCTGTTTCGGCTTCATCGGTTCGATGTTGAGCCTAAATATAAAAAGTATAATTAAAGAATACATTTTATTATTCAAAACTTTACTGATTTAAGTCGAGCTTGTAATTCTTCAATATTTTTTCGATATTTCTCTTCTGTTGTATGTGCCTAAAATAACAATAATAATAAAACAAGGATTTTTCATTCGTTCAATACTCTACTTTTTCTTCAGCTTGAAGCAATGTTTTCATTTCTACATAAGCATGTCGAATATCTTGTTCAAGTGAACCCATTCGTCTAAAATTCTTCATTAACAAAATTGTCCTTTTTTTTTAAATTAAACTTACTGTTCTGAAACAGTCGATCGACGTTCAGCAACTTCAAATCGTTCTTGTAATTCATTTAATTTATTAGCATTCTATTTATAAAAAAACGTTATTTTTATCGATAGATAAAATAATCATATTTACCTCTTGAAAACGTTTATCTGTTTCAATACTACATTCTTTTGCTTTTCTTAATTCATCATCAAGATCAATTTCCTTATCTTTAACAGATGTTAATTTATTTTCTAAATTTGTACAAACACTAGAAAATTCGAAGAATATATTTTCTTTGTTTTTACAATAAAAAAAAATTTCTTACTGTCTTGCAGCTTCTGAAACTTTAATAACTTCGATTAATTGCGTTGTTACATGATTAACACGAGCTGTTGCATTATCAAGATTAACTTCAACTAATTGTACTTGACGTCGTAAATGTGCTGCTTCAGCTTCAGCTTCAATTCGGCCTTGAATTTCTTTTTCAAGTTCTGTATTAACTCGTCGTTGATCATCTCGTGTTGTTTCTAATTCTTGAAATAAATTCACAATTTTTTCTCGAACAGTTAATGGTTGTTGTTTTGATACATCATTTGATAATATATCAGAAATTATTGGTTTTACATCAATTTTACTTGACATTGTCAATAATCAAGAATAGAAAAATTGAGATGTACTGATGAGAGGTCAGATCAGATATTTGTTTATTTTGGTATCGATCGATCGTCGTGTGTTCTTCTTTCCCAAATTAAGAACAGCCAATGAAATAGTTTACTCACGACATCTATTACGAACATCGTCGCTTGGTGATTTATTACTTAGTAACGTTTTTAACTAACCACGAAAATGGTATAGAACATTTCATGAATTTTTTACATTGAAACATGTCGAAAGAAGGATCACCAAGAGAAAAAACAACTGATGGACATACGCCAAGTATTAATAGATATAAGATTTATTTATTTTTTCTTTATTTTGTTCTATATATTTAGTGGAACAACCAATGTCTGGTATGGACGCAGGATCTGTTGATACTCATGGTAAATAAACAATCTATTTTTTAATTTTGATTGACTAAAAATATTCTTTTCTAGACACACCCGATGCACACAAAAGTGAAGTATTAAACTCTGAAACTGAATCCACTCATGTTCCAGTACCAGAAGCAACTCAGGAAGATAATGATGAAGAGAATAAAGATACAGAACAAGATGAAGGTCAAGAAGACTTAAATAATAATGATAGTCAAGATATTATTCAAAAACCAGAAGCTGATAGTCCACCAAGACTTCCTGATACATTTTATTATGAAGCTGAAGAAATTCATGCTAAACCAGTATCAACCGATGAAAAAGTTCTTCCACAAAATACATTATCGATGTAGTAAGTTGAAATAAATTTAATTAAACAAAAATATTCTACTGATTTCTTAGTCGATCATTTGGTTATGATTGTAATAAACGAGGAAATTTATATATATTGGATAATAAAACAATTATGTTTGTTGCTGGTTGTGTTGTTGAAATTATTGATTTATCAACTGGAGAACATAAATATATTCGAACAGCTGGTGGTTATAGTATTGGTGCATTAGTCGTAAGAATGAAATAAAAATAGAATTTGTCTTAAATCATTTATCTTAAAGGTACATCCAAGTAAACAATTTTTTGCTGTTGGTGAAAAAGGAGATATTCCAAATATAGTTATATATGAATATCCATCATTAAGACCTTATCGAATATTAAAAGGAGGAACACAACGTTCCTATGCTTATCTTGATTTCAAGTAAATTATTATATTTCAAAAAAAAAATATACATATTTTTTGATTATTTAGTGCTGAAGGTGATTTACTTGCATCACTTGGTTCAAGTCCAGATTACATGTTAACTATATGGGATTGGCGTGATGAAAAGATTCTATTACGTAGCAAAGCATCTTCACAAGAAGTTTTTAAAGTATCATTTTCAAAAGATCTCAAAGGACATTTAACAACATGTGGTATTGGTCATATTAAGTAAGACCCTTATTTTCTATTGTTACAATTGCAATCTATAATATCATGTTGAGTGTATGACATCGATATAGAATAGGATGAGATTAATATGATGTAGTAGATACCCGATATAGAAATTATATATTTTAAATAATAGATTCTGGAAAATGGCTCGAACATTTACTGGTTTGAAATTACAAGGTGAATTAGGTCGATTTGGACGAACAGAAATTTCTGATATTGAAGGGTATCGTGAATTACCTGATGGAAAAGTAAGAAAAAAGGAAATTGGTCAATAGGCTGAAATAAATATTTAAATTTTCTAGGTTATTTCGGGTTCAGAGTGGGGTAATATGTTATTATGGGATGGTGGTTTAATTCAAATCGAAGTTTGTCGAACAAAAGTTAAACCTTGTCATGCAGGTCCAATTCAACAAGTACTTTTACATGAAAGTGATGTGTATACTGTTGGTGAAGATGGTTATATACGTGTTTGGGATTTTGAAACAATTGATACAGCTGAAGGAAATGATGAAGGATCAAAAATGGAAATCGATCCATTAAATGAACTTCGAGTAGGAACTGATAGTAAACTAATGGGTATTACACATGGTGTTGTTGATGATATGAGTCTTTGGTTTGCTCAGGTAGAAATTTTGATTTTATTTCAATCGAGTTTTAATTTGAATAAAAATAGGATGCAAAAGGAAATATTTGGAAATTAGATTTAACATTTTCAAAAAATAGTGTCGATCCTGAAATAATTCTTTCATTTATGTCAGGAGCTGTAACTGGTCTTGATGTTTCATCTGTTTATAATATCTTTGCTTCTTCAGCTGGCAATTGTAAGTTAAATTCTATTTTTAATAAAAATTCTATATTATTTTCTTAGCTATTCGAGTTAATAATATTATTTCACAAGATTTATTATCTCAACGAATATTTCCAACAGAAGTAACAAGTTTAAAATGGTTTCCAAGTGTTGTATGTTAAATTTCCTACATCGTTTTTTTTCTATTTATTTTTCTTTATAAAGTTTAATGAAAAATCCGATGGAATATTAGTTGGTTTTTCTGATGGTGTTATACGATATTTAAAACTTCGTTCAGGTGCTAAACCAACAGCAATAGAAAAAAAACTTGAATATGATTTAAAAATGATACAAGTTCTTAAACCACATACAAAACCTGTAACATTTATTACTGTAGAAGTTAAAAATCAATGGATAGCAACTGGAGTTAGTTGATTATTTTCAATTTTTTAAAACTAATTTTTTTTAATTTTTTTAAGAGTACGGATGGAACAGTATTTTTCTTTCATTTTACACCTAAAGGTTTAAATCCAATTGGTTTTGTAAATGTAAAAGAAGAAATTACATATATGACATGGACACCAGCTCAATATGTAAGTTTAATAAAAATAAGAGAAATTTGTTTTTGATTTCAATATTTAGGATAAAGCTCGTCTTCTTGTCTGTTTAAAAAATGGTGTTGTATATGAATTTGAAGGACCGGGTGGTATTAAATTTGATACATCAGTATCATATTCAATTGAAAGTCAATTACCTGTACGAATATTTCGTTTTCGAAGTATTAAATCTCGATTACGAGTAAGTTAATTGATTATTATGTTTACGAGAAAATAATGTTTGGTTTTAGCATGAAGAAGAACTTGAACGAAAACGAAAAGAAGAAGAAGAGCGACAGAAAAAATTAGAAGAAGAAAGACGTTTACGTGGTATTGAAAAGAAAGAAAAAGGTAAATATTCATGAGTAAAACAAAAATATGTAGAACACTTTTGCTAAGAGACTGAATTTGAAAACTCTTATATTATTCAGTAGAAGAAGAAGAAGAAGTTGTACCGGACATTGTCCCGGAAATTAAGGATATAAATACAGGTAAAATATATTAACGAAATCCACATCCGTACTCCCACAAATATACCCATTCGTATCTCAACACTCACACCCACCTATATCCAAGATATATCGATTTGAAACGAAAAAACATAATATTCTTTTTATTGTTTTTTGCAGAAGGTGATAAAGCTGACAAAACAATTGAACCTGAAGAAGAAGATGAAGAAGGAAAAAAAGAAGAAGATGATTGGAAACCATATATACCTGAAACACCTAGTGCTGCTTTATTCGCTGTTTATACCTCACCGGATACATTCTGGCTATCTATGGTTAGTATATTTATATCTATTATTTTTATATTAAATTTTTACAATTAAGGATGATTACGATGCGGGATATTTATATCATTGTCAACTTGGAAATAAAGATGATCGTTTTCAATATAATCCTGAACGATCCGATAATGTAGTAAATACATTACCAGTACCAAATACTGATCTAGCACATGGTGATGATATACCATTGACAAGTATTCTTATTAAGTAATTCTTAATTTCTCTTTATTTTTTTATTCAAAAAAATTATTTTTTGTTCATAGAGAAAAATTAAATTTAATATTTGTTGGTTTAAAAAATGGTTTTATACGTATTTATCCATATGGTGGTAAACAAGTTTTTCAATCACTTGAACAATATTGGACAAGAAGTGCGCATGATAGTGAATATGGTGTAGTAACACATTTAGTTACATCATTTGATGATCGTTTTGCTTTATCTGGTGGTGCTGATGGTAATATATTTGGTTATGTTATTAAAGGTGATCCACATATTACAAAAGAACATTCGGATTCACCTAAAATGCCAGCATTTACTGTAAATAGAAAAACAGGAAATAAAATAGGAGAGTAATTTATTTTTTTTATAGGGTGAAGTTGAAGCACAAGATATAACTGAAGCAAGTCATTATTCAATTGAAGAAGAAAAACAAAAAGCTGAAGAAGATAAAATGAAAAAATCAGCTGAAGCATTAAAAAATGAAATGAGACAACAAATTGAAGGTTTAAAAGGAAAATTTCGAAAATTATTAGGAGTAAATGATCAATTACCTGGAGATTTAAGAATTCCTCGTGAAGTAAATATTTTAAAATAAAACTAAAAAACAAAAAATATTAAATAATTCTATTTGTAGAACTTTATTCTCGATGAAAATATTCGAAAAAATTTCCAGAATGAACTTAAAGAAAAAGCTGATCAATCTATTAAAGAATTAGCATGGGAATCTGAACGTTGTGCTATTGCATTAAAAAAATTAGAACAATGGTAATAATAATATTTTTTTAAAACATATTCTCTTTCTCGTAGAGAAGAGTCCAGCAGAAATAAATTGATTGTGTGTCCGCAGGGCTAAAAAAACATCGAAAACCGATTTTTCACGGTTTTCGATTGTTTTTCCAATAAATGTGAAGAGAATATATTTCTACGAGAAAGAGCTAAGCGAGTCCTCGGACGAGCGTTACTTGTTTCATTTGTCTCTGTTATTATTAGGTTTACTGAACCTATTGGACAAGATGTTGTTTCATGTAAAAGTTTTGATGGACAATGGGAAGTTAGTACATTTCGTACAATCGGTAAGAAGATTTTTATTTTTTATTGATTTCGAATTTTATTTTTATGTAGAATTGCCAAGTGATTTTTATGCAATGCAAGAAGAAATTGAACGACAAAAAGCTGCATATCTTGAAAGAACAAAGAGAAGAGAAACTGCTGAAAATAGTGGTAAAGTTGTTTTTGTTCTAAAGAGAAATAGAAATATTTATATGATGTGTCTATAGAGGATAAAAGTGATAGTGTTCGTGGAACGCAAACAGCTGATTCGAAAATGTCACAAACAAAATTAAAAGGTGCGAAAGCAATGCGTGTTGAACGTTTATTACGAAAAATGGAAGAACGTGCCCGACGAAGACAAAAACGAAAAGAAGAAGTTTGAATTCAATTATTTTCTATAAAAAATTATTTAAATATTTTATTTTTCTAGTGGACAGAACTTTATAGTAAAAAGAAACCAGATGGTTATGATGATCCAGCTGAAGTTGATAATATTCGTTATGCTAAAGAACATATGGGAAATTATTTCTTAAAAACAGCATCTAATTACGTAGTACCGATAGATCAACGACTCACTGTCCTTCGAGCACTTGATCGAATTATGAAAATAAGATATGCGGTAAATTTTTAAATACATTATCTTTCAATTATATAAAACATAGATATTATTAACTGTCATCGGACTTGTATTTACACTATATTTCCCTAAGGCTGTTCGATTAGTTTAACAAAAAGAGATCGAAGACTTAGTGATAAACCTTTATACTCTTCTACAAACTTCTTTTTTTAAACAAATTACATCTCATCATCTATCCCTCCTGATAGATCGATATAACCACATACTCCTTAATTATATTCCCTGAAAAAAAACTAAAAATATATATATTTAGACATATACCTATAAAAAAGAATTTAATAAACGTGTTTTGGATCTTATTGAACGTAAACGTGCCTTAACCGAACAAATCAATGGTGAATATCAACGATTACAAAATCTTGGTCAAAATCAAACAATCAATCGAGAATTATTCAATATTCCTCTATTACCACTTACTGATAATGGACAGACAAAGTAAAACATCTCCCTTTTTGTTTCGTTTAAAATCTTTTTTTGTTCTAGTCGTTTTGAATTCACTCGTGAGGAAATTCAAGCATTTCGTGAAGAGCATGAACAACGTAATGGTGATTTGACTAAACCTGATGAAGAAGCATCAGCTACAAACACACGTGTATCATCATTAAAACGTCCACTTGATCTTCGTTGGTCTGTTAATTTAAAAGAACCATTACCAATAAATCAATCAAATGGAATACATAATAATTATACACCAAATGAAATTTTACAACAAACGAAAGATTCCGATCCATTTACACATCGGTTAGACAAAAACAACTAACAATAATCATTCGAATAATATCTGAATCTATTTAGATTATTTTTTGAACGTGACCAAATTCTTCAAAATGTTCAAGAAACTATGCGTATATTTGATAAAGATGTTTGTCTTTTATATTATCTTAAAATAATTAAATCATTACGTGCTAAAGAAACTGATCTTCGGTAAGTCATGATTATCTTATATATTTTGTTTAAGTTTTTATGTTTATTAATAGATGTATTACATTCTATGAAGAATTAATGTTAACGAAAGAATTTGAACGAACAGAAACTGATTTAGAAAATAAAGTTATTGAAGCAACAAAACGATTTGATAATGAACAAGCAAAAGTGAATAAAATGTCTTTTTTCTTTTTACGATAAATTTATTTTATATATTTTAGTTATTTGAATTTCAAGGCAAAGTTGATTCAAAAAAGAGAGATATAGATATTTTAGATGATAAAATGAAACAACTTTATGCTGGTTTTGATGAAATGATACCAAAAGAACATAGATTCTATAATTATCTTTTACGAGTATTAAATAAAAAAATTAAACGAAAGAAACGTGCTGAAGGAGAAGAAGCAGATGGTAAGTAATAGAGACAATAGTTAATCATCCTGTCTCCACTTTAGAAAAAATTTGTAAGATTGATGTTTTCTTCTTCTAAGATTCGGATGATGGGTCACAAGATCTTGATGATGATGATGATTGGGAACTTGAAGATGATGAAGATGAAGATCTTGCTAATGAAGATCCAACTCGGCAACTTGATGTTGATATCTGTCCACCAAATCTTGATCAAAAAATGTATGATGAAGTTGTTGCTCTACGTGAAAAACGTCTTGATCTTGGTAAAATTCACACATTTTGTTTTTATCTAATTTAAGAAAAAAACTATCTGTTATTCTGTTTGTAGATGAAGCAATAGCCGATGAAAAAACCGTTTTACAATCATTACAACAAACATATGGACAAACACAGATCTATTCAAATAAAGTTGAAGCTGAATTAAAAGCAAAACAAACTGATTTAATTGAATTTCAAGTATAATAATATTAATCCAAAGAAATTATTTTAATCGATAATTCTTTTCTTTATTTCTAGAGAAAGAAACAACAAAAAATCAATGATATTAATGTTGCAGTTAGTATTCGTTCTCATCAAATTCGTTATGATCGTTCAACTCATTTACCAGATGATCTATCTGATTCATTAATCTTTAATAAAAATAATAAATCAGCATTAACTCATCGTATTGTTGATGTTAAAACTGAAATTAAACGAGAAAAAGAACGATATGTGTAAATATATATATATTTCAATTTAACTTTCTTTATTGATAAAATATTTTTAGGAATAAAAAACAAGAGAAAAAAAATTTAGCACATGAATTAAGACATGCAGTTCAAATTATACAACGTTTAACTGATGAATGTAATAAATTAATGACGGAAAAATTTGGAAAACTAGTTGAATTAGAAAAAATTGAAGGCGCTATTGTTAATTTACAAATTGAAGAACTTAAACAAAGACTTGATGATGCCGGAGACGAATATTATAATACAATCGCACAATACGAGGTAATATTTTTGTTTTTACTTCTTATACTGACAGTCGAGATTAATTCGTTAAAAGTCATCGGTTAAGTTAGTTCTTATAATAAATTAGACACTAATCAGTATCAATCGTAACAAATTTATATACGTCCCATGTTTAATTAGTCAGTGGCGGATTTAGGGGGGTGATGGAGGGGATCACCCGCCCCCTTCAGAGATCTTTTTCGATTTTTTGCAGCAAAAATAAGTTCACACTACTTCGATTGGACTCAAAAAATAGTTCTTAACCAAAATCGCCCCCTCTCTCCCCAGGTATCGCCCCTCCCCCTCTTTCCAAAATCGTAGATCCGCCACTGTAATTAGTAATACTATATAGAAAATCTATTCTTTAAATACTAAGTCCTAAGAAATGGCAGATGCGTAGTGAATGATTCATCAATTTGTTCGTATCGTAGGAATGATATGTCATGAGATGATTGGACAAGAAATATCAGATATTGTTGTTCGTATGGTTCGATTACTTTAAAAAAAATAGAAAGTGTGGAAACGTTTGTAGAGAATACAATGATTCATTCTATTATGATAACCTTCAATGACAAATGACAGTCGGGGTTATCATAGCAATGTATATTACAGACTTACCTTCACAGTGAGTGTTGGTTCTCCAGTTAGTTGTTGACATGTTCCATATATCAATATCAACTATATCATATACCACACAATGCCAATTGCCTTTCGGTTATCAAATGTTCTTGTTTTAATAAACGACTATAGTAATTATAAACATTAGAACTATAATGAGAATAAATAGATATCTGTTAGGAAAAGTTTTCGAAATAATATTCTTGATATTGCAAAATCTTTGTATCCTCTGTCAACGATTATTACAAAGAAACCGACATTTCTATTAATGATATAATTTGTATTACCTACAGCTATATAAAGATAAATGTAAATCTAATTTACCGAATGCCTATAGTAATGTCTTGTGTCAAGGATGCAATCTTATACTTCAAGCTAAACTTATCCTCGATAACCTCATCAAAGATATACAATCATTTTGTCATCAAAATCTATTTTTAACTTTTATAATATTTAGAACCAGAAAATCGAAGAAAATGAGGATACAATTGATTTATTAAAAACAAATACAAAACGTCTTGATGAATTAACACAACTTGTTGATGATAAACGTCATCTTGATGAACAACTTATTGGACGCAAAGGAAAAGCTGTAAGTTTATTAAACGACTCTTTTTCATTTTATTCTATAATTTTTTAGGTCGATGAACTTTCCGGTCAATCAAAACAAAATGTTGAAGAATTTGATCGTTTATGTACTCTTGTTCAATTACAAGCACAAGAAATCGAAGCATTAAAAGCTGAAATTAGTATTCTATCACGTAAAGGTGGACATATTCTACCACCAAATCCAGCTATACTTCCTCAGAATGCATGATAAATTTACTTGATAATAAAAATGACATTGAATGATTTGTTTTCTTTTTTTATTATTATTATTCATCAATAAAAAAAACACATGAATATTCGAAAATAAATTATTTACGTCGATTATTTTTCTTTTTTTTAACAATTTTTTTCTTTTTTTTTGCATTTTCATTTAAATCATTATTATTTACATTTAATGTTTCATATGGTATTGATTGATTTTCTTGTTGGGAAATAAGTTCTTCAGCAGCATTCAGTAATGCTTGTCGAACAACATGTAAAATTTTTGATGATGATGATGATGTCGATTGATTAATTGGTTGTGTAGAGGAGTTTTTCTTTGTATGATTTCGACGATTAACCATATTGAGAAATAGAAATGAAAACTTTCTTTTTTTTTTTGTGTTTTTTTTTCAAATGAAAATGCGCGTAAAAAAACCCAAAGCTACATATAGAGATAAAATACTAATATATAAATTGATACACACATATATTTTTTTTTTTGTGAAAAGGCGGGAAATTTATTTAAACACGATATGGTGCAACAGATGTCTCAATAGGTATTATACGTTCACCATTATTTGAATCATTTATTAATGAACGTTGATTGTTAGGTGAAACTGTATAACCAGGTCGATCGGATGTATATGTTGGTAAACGTGATGCATTATTGTTTAACATAGGTCGTGTACATGCTTCAACTATAAAAAGTATACCAGCGATAAGAGCAAATGTCTAAAAAAAGAACATTGAAGTTTAGTAATGCAACAAGAATAGATTTTAATTAACTTACAGCTGCAGCAGCAGCTGCTCCTGGACTTGGGTGTGTTCGTTCTTTAAAAACATATTGATATTCATATCTTAAATATCCCCGTCGAAGTATTCCGGGTGTTCGTCTTAATTTATCTTCCCATAATGCAGCACATATACCAATTGATATCATCATAAGTCCCATAATAATATTAATAACTAAACACTATATGAACAAATGATTTGATAATCAATAAAATTTTCGTTTTTACTTACTACTTGATTTAAATAAACGAAATTTCTTCCTAGAAAACGTAAACCATAAAGATGTGCGAGAAAAATAACAATTGTTGTAGTTAAACATAGAATAGAAAATGCTTGAAATACAGATCGAACAGCTACAGTACTTAGATCAGGATATACTGATTGTAAATTATCAGCTAATTCACAATATAATCGAGATGTAAATGCAACACTAATAAGACCTGCAATTAGTGAAACCTACAAAAAAGAAAAAAATCATTACTTATTTATTGACTCTCAACATCAAAGTAAATCCTATGTATATAAAGAATTATAAATGACTCCTGAATGTTGATAATTAATTATTTGTTAACGCTTGGTTTCAATTCATTATAATGTTTCTTGAAGGTATTCGTCATGTTCAATCTCCATTATGAGTACATATACATTATTATTCTCTTACTAATTGATTGAATAATCTATCTCATCTATGGTTTATTGATTGTTTGTTTACATAATCGTTGCACATATCAATATAATATCAGATTAACAAAAAAAAAAAAGGTATTTCGTTTGACATACCATCGGATTATAGCGAGAGAGAGAGAAAATATTTTTTGTTGTCAAAAGGTCAAAATCAATGAAGCGAATCGAATACATTCTTTCATTTTAAATAAAGTCAAACTTACAATTTCAGCTATGTTAAGTATTCCAGTTGGCGTTGATAAATATCCAATATCCAATGTTCCAACCATTTCTTTTTCTATACGAACACAAAAAAATCTTTTTTTATTTTTAATATGTTCATCTTTGTATAGAACGACATTGACTTACTTTGTCCCCTGTTAAAAATGAATAAGAGAAAATCAATGAGGACGAGTGGATATGTATGAATAAAGAAAAAAAATAATAATCACGATTAGCAAGACGTACGCCTTTTTATGTCCTTCTTTTGTACACACATATAAATGTACAACCGATATCTTTCTCTTTTGCTCTCTTACTTCTCGTAACTGTACTATTCTTATTCTTTTTTTCTATGATTGTGATTGGATAAGATTGTTCTGTTTCCTCATCATTATTTTGCCAAGAGACTCGTTTTTAGTATGCGCTACTATCGATAATGTTCTTCTATGTATATATATATATATATACGCTGCATTGTGTATATGATGTCAGTTTTCTGACATAAAAACGACGCCGAGACAAACGGGTGCATTCCTTAGAGCATCCAATAGTTGTTTTTGTTGTTGTCGAACACATGCCTATGATAATCCAATACTTAGAAATATCAAGATGAAACCATTATAAAACTCCCATTGATACGTCATATGAAAGATTATATAGATGAGATATTGATTTAACTTTGTTATTTATATGTGCATCATTTGATTTAAAGTATTTCCATATGTTTAGAAAAATAAGAAAATATTTGATATATGAAAAGCGCCTGGAACATTTATTATTGTTATTATTATTTTATCTGTCGAGTATTGTTTTTTTCTTTATACATCGAATAATGAATCCGTGTATTTAATAATGTCAGTTATTAAACTTTATGAAATATGTTTGATAGATTTATTAAAAAATTCTTTTTTAAATCTAAATAATTTCAATCAATTACCTAATTCATGTTTACGTGATGTACTTCCCTATTTATCACCATATAAACTTGAATATCTAGATTATATTTATTATAAACGAGGTATACCAATAAATGACTTTTGGCGTCACCATTTTGAATTAATATGGTCTTTATCACGAGATGATAAAGATTCTTATGAATCATTAATCAATATTCCATATAAACGTCTCTATTTTGAATATCTTTTTCATGATACACAAATTTTACAATTAGGTATTTATACACATATATCACAAATAAATCAATCAAAATCAATTTTAAATCTTACATATTTCGAACAAATGAAATATAATCTAACAAGAGATTCAATTATTTATTGCTCGAAAAAACGATTATTAGATGAAAATCAAAATCTTATTATTATTTGGAATCATCAATGGAATAAATATATCCAACGGTAGAAAAATCGGTTAATTTAACTGTGCTCCAAATTTGGAGTTTACAGCTATCTAAGTTTTCGCGAAAAACTCTACCTGAAAACCGTAATCATTGATTTTTGGTTGCTCTGGACTGTGCTGAGTTGACTGGTGATGCTTAAGAAAGAAAAAGACATAGTTACAATCGAAAAACTTGAAACTCCCAAACTTCAAATTTGGAACTCGCTTATCCAGTGATTTATCTAGAGGGGGGGGTCTAAGATGGCGGCGCTCTCCCGAAAACTGCAATTTTTGTGCTTATATTATGTATTTCCCCTCCAAAAATTAGGTTTTTGCTCTCCCGGAAATCGCTATCGCGCTCTCGGAAGGAAAAACCTAGATAAAACACTGCGCTTATCTTGATCAGAAAAATCCTAGATTATCTATTTTTGTTTTCTATTAGTTTTATTCTTGTACCAAATGTATGGAATTTAGCAAATATTGATTCATTACTAATAGAATGTTTTACAGATAATGTTACAGATATTGTTTTAAGTGGTTATCCAACAGAAAATGATATAAATGGAATGAAATTTATCTTAGATATTCTTACTCGTGGACATATTACAAATATTGTTATTAAATTTCCATCTTATTGTTTAATGAATATTCTTTTACCTTTATTTATTTATCCACGTTCATATTCTCTATCCTATTTCTCAACTATGAAAGAAAATGATGGACAACAATCGAATATTTTCACACAAAATTTTATTTTACCACATCGTAAAAGAAAATTATGTTTACAAGTACAAATTCATTCGATGGAAAATATTTTATCAACTAATCATGAATTTATTGAAGATAATGATCAGAATTCAACAGATACTATTCTATCAAATTCTATTCATAGTTTACATAATTCAAATTCATTAAGTACAAATATTCCGATACATTCATCTATATTAGGAATAAGAAATGAATTAATTCATATACCATCGGACAGTTTTTTTCAAACAAATACTGAATCAAGTCATTTGGTTTCATTAACTGACAATAATAGGTAATGAGTCAAATTCAATCAGGGCTGTAATGAACCGAGGACGGTGATACACCCAAATCCTAAAGTATTCGTGGCAGCGCTGGATTCCTAATCTACTTTTTAGATCAATAATCGAACAACCACATGAACGTCTTTTGTCTTATTTAAATCGATCTCGAACATTCCAACAATATTCAATCTTTCCTCCAGCTCGACATTTATCAATATCAGAACAATCTGTTCCAATAACAAATATTACAACAGAATCTCATTCTTCTAGTGATAGCAATTTATTTCAACGTCATAAAATCCCAACTGTTATTCCTGAAAAGAAATTTTCTGAAAGAAAAAAACAAGATGAAGAGAAATTTTTAATATTTCATTTAACTGAACAATATCAAATAAATTCATTAACAAATCTTTCTATCTATTATATTTCATCTATTGAAATAATCGATATGCTAGCTATTGCTTTATTAGGTATGAATCAAATTCATCATTTAACTTTCGTTAATTTTGCTGTATATTCATCTCAACTTGAAACAAGTTTAATTACTTTATGTACTCGATCACAACTTCAATCAATATATTTAACTAGTATTTCATTACAACATGGTGCAATTGGTTTTCTTCTAAATTTATATGAAAAAAATAAAAATATAAAACTTAAACGTATACGATTAGATGCAATTAAAACTTATAATAATATTCATTTATCAGATATTGAACAAACTGAATTCATTCAAAATTCTGTATTAGAACAATTTATTTGGCGAGAGTAAATCTTACATTTTTTTTATCCAATGATTAAGTTCTCTGTCTCGTTTTTTTATTTTAAATAGACGTCATATGCAATATATTCATATGCGTTTATTATATAAATTATTACCTAATATTATATCGAACCTTCATCGTCTCGAACTTTCTTCTATCCTTGAATGTGTTATATTTGATCAATTTCTATGGTGTCAAACATTTCTTCATCATATACCTGATGTTCGACTACGAAATTTTCGTATTCGTTCAAATGATCTTTCACGATTTTTTCTTGCATTAAATACACCGAATATTTTAACTGTATTTCATTTTGAACGAATTGGTCTTACTTGGAATAACAACCAACAATCATCGATTATTTATAATGCATTTACTTCGTTGATTTTAAATGCGAAATATCTAAAAGAACTTAGTTTAGCTTATAATAATCTTAATGATAATTTTATTCAATGGCTTTGCCAGATATTATTATTAGAAAATAATAAAAAAATATCATGGTGGTCAATTACAATACTTAATTTAACTTTTAATTTATTATCAAGTGAATCAATACGAAAACTTTGTAATACATTAAAGGAATATAGAGATCAATGGAGAATAGGATGTTCACCTATTCGACGAATAGACATATTAGGGAATGCGCTAGAAATGAGAGAAATTTCTAATTTAAAAAAACAATTTAACGCACTTGGTTGCGAGCTTATCTCGTATATCTTGACTTGATTACTTTCTATCAATCACTCAATAACTAATGAATTACATAAAATAGGATATACAAATATGAACCTTGTTTTATAAAAGGAATTTGTTATTAAAACTAATCAAATCGTGATGACTAATATTCAGTATAAACAATAGTAATACATTTGCTAATTATGCTTTTATCGTTCATAGTACAGGTAAATAAGGAGAAACATAATTAAGGTTCTTATTATCTAATTATTAAGATATCTTAGATACTAATATCACATTTAAAATTTTTTTATTAATATTTGGAAAAATTCAATCAGTATGATGATTGTATAATACTTATCCAAAAATAAATATACAGATCAGATTAAAATATTCATTTACTAATATTGACTAGAGATTATCGACATGATCAAATATTCTTCGTGTTCATTAATTCAAATTTCTTTATTATTTCATATTCGTTAGAATATTGATATGTCTGACTATTGTTTATAAAGATGACAGCGTCAAGGTAATGTTTTATATACCATAAGAAAAAGAGAGAGACATGATATTTTATTCTAAATGCATACGATGCATTAAGAAAACTTATTAGAGAATATAACGGAAATGAATTAAGCTATAAAACATCCTAACTTTTCAGTTCACTTAACCGGAAAACCATATGAGAAAAAGATATCAGCATATTAAATTAAAAAAAAAGTTTTTTTTCGTTAAGAATTTAAACCTTGAAAGAAAATAAAATATTTGTTGATCATCATCTGATACGATTCAAACAAATAATTCGACACGTTGATTGAGATTTAAAAACAAGATTGACAATCGTATAGTAAACATGTTCATTGTAAATTGATAGTAAGATAGACTTACTTTTTTCGATGATAGTTGATTAATGTAACAATTGAATTTGTTTCGTTAACATTTCGTATCATCTATGACAAAAAAATAAATTCAAAATGAAGTTCTAAAAAATGATATCATCGTACGTTAAAAGCTTTATTAAAGTTATTAAGATTTGAATCAATCATATATTATACGAAGAAATAAAGTGAGAATTGATCTATTCAAAATCAAATTACTTAGATTTTCATCTATGACTCAATAACAACAGAAAGATGATTCTCACGTATAGTTTATTATATGTAATGTTACGATAAACGAAAAAAAAAACCTCGTACAAATATTAAACGAAAAAGAAAAAAAAGTACATTATGATATGATAAATGTCTTTTAGAGAAATAGTCAATAAATCCATTCCTATATCGTAGAAATGTCTAGTTTCATTGTACTATTGTATGATTATTAAAACGAAATAGTTTCAATTATATGTCTTGATTAAACTATATATATTTTCAATAACAAGTCATGAAATGAAGGACTTAAAGCATTTTTGTTGCAGACATACATGTCTCAAGGAAACAAGAACGTACGACTGAAGCAAGATTGATTTTTATTTCTAATTAGAAATCAGATTGTATACGACAGTATCAAAATCTTGGTAACAAAACTCGATTTACATACATTTAGATAAGGAGTGTAGAGAGAGTTTTTTTCTTCTCGTGTACAGAACGATATATTAGAATATGATTATTGTAAGTTGAATAACTAGTAGATTTTGTTCAAGTTAGTATAATATTGTCCTTGCAAATGACCTGTAAAATGATCCTGATCTGCAAGTATATGTATGCGTGGATTTTGTCATTTTATTTTACTTAGTTGTTCATTTTCTTTGTTTCTGTCTCCCTCACTCTCTCTCTTTCCCTCTTCTTTTCTCCGCCTTTTTGATTAAACTAGTAGTCTTTCTGACGATGAACTCTCGAATTTCTTCTGACCACAAGTGAAATTGTTGACATATGCTCACCAATACTATACTTTTCTTTTTTTTTCTCCTTTTTAATTTCTGTCAAGTATCGAACTTTGTTAAGAGAAGAAAGAATTGAACGTTGACTGAATGAGAGATGAGATGAGATGGAGCAATGGTTCATTGTCAAATATAACATACTCTACTAAATATTTTTTTTTCGTTATTCTTTTGTTCTCAATTGCTCTTAGTTGTTGTCCCTATTTAAATAAGAAAAAACGAACTGTCGGGTAACTTATCAAATTCCGTTATACACATTTATTATAAAAAGAAACCGCATTGTTACATCTCTCGCTCTATTCATTGTATATTCTCGTATATATATGCATATGAATATGTATCCGTATAACGCAATATATATCATATAGATGTCTATATGTGATCGTCGATCAACCATGACAAATAGGGAAGCTTCATAATACTTAATTACGCGATCGATCGTACTCCATATAGAATTGAGAATGAAATAACAGTTGTCTAACTTTGTGTTCAATAGGAACCAATATATACTGTATTAGGTGTAATCAACAGAATTGACTCTTTTCGTTTTTCTTATTCTTTAAGTAGTTTTTCGTAGAAGAATCACATAACCATTTATCTATCCCATACATATATGAGTTATAGAAAACGAGAGCTCGTTACAAAGATGACTATTGAAGGTTATCAATCGTATGAACATTGTTATCATTTCACATTATGAGCACTAGTTGAAAAGAAATGGAGCTCGAGCGATGGAGCATGACGTGTGAGTATGTATACACCTTGAAGCTAAATGTATATGAGTATACATATGCATTAGGCAATATGTCTTTTTGTGTATTCTTCTTCTTCTTTCTTCACCTTTTTTTTTCTATTAGACAATCAACTTATAATCATGAATGACAGCGAAAGGTGTTGATCAATCAAGAAACTTGTTGGACACACAAATAACATAACAAGGAAAAAAATCTTATATGATTTAATAAATAATGAACAAACTTAATTATGAATTCAAAAATATCGATTGATTATGATAAAAAATGGAAGGTAATTTGTTATTTATTGATTCTCTTTTCAATTCTTATCTATTGATCATTTAATTCTAGGCTAACAGTGAGCCACGTGGTTTTCCAACAAAACATTTTATAAAAGACGTTAACGGTATATTTATTCTTTTCCTTCATATTATTTTCTAAATCAAATATTTAAGATGTATGTCATGATCATTTTCGCATTGATAAAGAACAATCAATGCTTGCTGATTGTCAACGATTACTAGAAAAAAATGAACCATTAGATAAACCAGATAAATATGGAATTACTCTTGTAACAAAAGAAAAACCGAAATTCTTCTAAATAATACACAAGAGTTTGTTTTGTTTTTTCCTAGTTACATATAGCTGCTGCTAAAGCATATACAAGTGTAGTTCGGTTTCTATTACAACATCGTGTCAACGTAGATCAAATTGACGACACCGGCGCTACAGCATTACATCTTTGTGCTAAACATGAGCAAGTAAGCAGAAAAAGAAGAAAAAAAAGTTAGAGAATAGAAAAAAAAAGAAATTTTTCTTCATGACATTTTCCATACACATGTGTTTTTCTTCTAAATTACCAGGGGTTGATTGTCAAACTTTTAATTGACGCTCGCGCTAATCCAACAATTCGTGATCGTTTTGGTCGTAAGCCAAGTGGTAATAATCGAGAATTTTTTTGTTTTCATATTTAGAAAACGTTTTTTTTTTGTAGAAGTATGTGCATCAAATAGTTTTATTCGTGCTGTACTTCTTAAAGCTGAAATTAAATTCGAAGAAAAACGTAAACGTGCTGAACAAAGTGATGATAGTTTAGAAGAAGAACATGAGGAAACTTCTGAAAGTATATCAGATGATGATATTCATGATGATGCCGATGGTTTTCAAGATTTATTCAATCCAATACCACAAAAAAAACAAAGGTGAATCATCATATAATACTAATAAAAAGAAAAAGTACATCACGTTTTTTTTTTCTATTTCATAGTATGAGTTCTCAAATAACGGATGACGATGATGTTTCAAAAATGCTGGATATATTTGAGGAAAGTTTCAGTGATGAAAAAGTAAGTAAGGATATTTTTTTTCTTCCGCTAAATGAATTCACAAAAAAAAATATCAGTTAATTATATAATTACCATAGAAAATATGAATAAGACATATTAATTTATTATTTAATAGTAATTACGTGCAGAAATTCTTTTTTTTATACATTTATCGTAACAGTTGAAAAATCTATTGACCTTGTCTATTCACTTTTACTTAGAGAGTACTTATTCAGAATTTTTATGATTTTATCAAAACTAATTCATATAAAACATTATTTTATTTAATTAGATACTTGTAAATATTATCGAAAGTAAGATAAATTATAGATATAATCATCTATCTGTCTTATGAATATGTTCATCAAAGGAAAAGCTGTCTATTCTAATTGGTAATATAATATTACCTTTTATTTTATAATAAAAAAAAGAAGAAGGGAGAAAGGTGATAGAATACATTATTATTACTCAATAATTACATCATCATTTTAAGTGCTTGTCGACTCGTCTTACGCTCGACTGAGCTGAAAAACGTCACCAAAGATGTTTGACTATTAGTAGCGACGTAATGGACAAAGAAAAAGTAAATCATTTAGTATGATTCTGATCAGTCCAGTCACACGTACATATATGTATCTCTATATACATTTACATACATACATACATACATACAGTTAAAAGAACATGATAGATAGAAAGAAAAAAGAAAGAAAGTAATGGACAAAAGTAGGCATGATCAAATATGGGCGAGAGTAGGAGAATTGTCGTGGTTGTTATTGTGAGCGCTCTTCTAATTGACAAAGTAAGGAGAAAAAAAGAAAAGAAGATACCCGTCGTCGAAAGTAATCCTTTATCGAGTGACAGAAAGCGACATCGAGGGCGACTTAACGCCGTTGTCACACTCATCTACATCTACATACACATACGAACATCATGCCACCTACAATGTTACCATTGACACATGACATGGGTTTTTATAAAACTTCGGTGAGATTTTAAATTATTTCATATTTCCTATTGAATACTATTGTATCCATTTTGTCAAAAAAAAGTGAAAAAAAATCGATTAACGTATTGATAGTTGTTCTTTTAATCTTATGACATTGTTGTAAATAATTGTCAACCTCGTAAAATGTATACATACACTTCTAAAGATTGCTTGTCGAACAGGCAAATTGAAGAATATGTTTTTTGTTATTTGATCGTTGACTAAAGAAAGAAGAAAGGAGAAGAAAGTGAAGAGAAGAAGAAGAAAAAAATTCAGGATTTAAAGAATTTCAGTAAACATATTCGAGAATGCAGGCAAAAGAAACGTTACACAAGGATAAAAAAAAACGAAAGAAGTAAAGAGAAAAAATGAAACAAGGACATTTTAGCATTTACAAACTACTTTGACAAGTGTAAAATCGGACCTTGACTGTTATAAACAAACAAACAAACAAATCACGACCGAAATATTACTATTATCACTATCATTATCACTCGTTCCGCGAAATGTTTTTTGCCTTGTACTTTTATTTATATAAATCTATTCAATTTCACAGACCAATGTAAAAAAGGAAAAAAAAGACGAAACGAAACCAAAGGACATATATACATTCATCATACATATTGTACTGACCTTTTTTTGGTGTCTCATATGACTGTTTGTATTCATTCGGTCTGCCCATCAAAGGTGCACATACATACTAATTTTTCGTTCATATTTATATATAGATATTCGTAATTTATAGTTATTTATAAAACTAGTTTTAAAAACTTCATGTCATGACTGTAGACGACATGGACTATACATCAAATATCCCAGTTTATAAACAAGAACAGTTCTCAAGAAATGTACCTAATAACTATTCCAAACAGGTATTGCATTATCTTCTTTGGCGTTTTTTTTTTCTCTTTCATCTTCTGAAAAAAAATTTTGTGTCTTATATTTATATATATATGTATGAGTATATTTAGTTACACTTAGTCGATCATGTAGATATTTATAGCTTGTTTATTCGATGGAACTTATATAGATTCTTATTTTCTACTTAGAATATTAACATGCATCAAATAGTTTTCTGTAAATTGCGTATCGAAACGAAAAAAACTATTTTTATTATTGAGTAGGTGGATACTCGTCTGATAAATGGGTTTTAAATTGGCCGAGAAAAAATATCCCTAGGCTTCATTTCCTATCTTTCGATTTTCGTGTAATAACTATTTCTGTCGGTTAAATAATGAACAAAGTCAAAGTATATAAATTTTCCAAGACTGGTCTTAAGAAATATAAGGTTAGAAATCTTTTTATTTATATAGAATAAGTTATTATATTAATTCAGTATTTAAAAACTTTTCATTTTTCTTTTATTCTTCAGTCACTTCCAGCAAAATTACCAAATGATGATTTGGCATTATTTCCTGAAATTTCTGAACAAAGTGTACTGTATGATTTGGAAATGCGTTACCAACAAGGACAGATCTATGTAATATTCTACTATCTTCTTCTTTTTTGTAGCTAATATTTTTTCGAATATATTTTAGACGTACATCGGAGATATTCTTATTGCTTTAAATCCTTTCGATCTTTTACCAATCTATAGTCGAAAGGTAAATAAAACAAAAATTATTCAATTGACTTCATTTTATTTGGTAATATATAGATATCGGAACTTTATAAAAATACTCAATCAATTGTTTCATTACCACCACATATTTATGGATATGCTGAACGTTTATATCGAAATATGATTAGGGAAAAAACGTCACAATGTGTTGTTATATCTGGTAAATTCGAATATGAATTTTTTTGTATAAGACAAATTCTTTGCTTTAGGTTTATCTGGTAGTGGAAAAACTGAATCATGTAAATATATTGTTCAACATATTCTTAGTCGTTCGCTATCTGTTGAAACAGCACTTAATATGAAAATAAATCAGGTTTGCAAAACAAAAACGAAAAAAGAAATTTGGTAAAGTTCATTGGCATTTACTTTTTAGGTTAACCCACTTATGGAAGCATTCGGTAATGCTAAGACATATATTAACACTAAGTATGTAGAAATTTGATTTAATAAATTGAAATATGAGAATTTGTGTTTTAGTTCAAGTCGTTTTGGCAAATATCTTGAAATTCTTTTTTCACCATCGGGAAATGTTCTTGGAGGTAAAAATGATGAAGATTTGTTTATTTATTTCATTTCTGATTATTTTTCTAGCACAATTAAAAGAATATTTACTCGAAAAATCACGTGTTATATCACATAATAATGATGAAGGAAATTTTCATATATTTTATTATTTATTTGCTGGTTTATCACATGATACATTAGTTCGAAACGGTTTAAGAACACCCAGTGAACATCGGTAATTCAATTCATTTGTTCTTCATATATATATATTCTCATTTTCTTTTGTAGATATATGTCACATAATACTGAATTAGCTCAATTAGATGGTGCAAGACAAGTTGAATATCGAAAGAAATTTCAAATGGTTAAACAAGGTTTAATATCAATTGGCTTTTCTATGGATGATGTTCAATCGATATTTACAATTTTATCAGCTATATTACATATTGGTGATATTACTTTTATTCCACATGGTGCAAACGATGGTGTACGAGTAAAAAATGCTAGTGCAGTTGATAAAAGTATGAAGAGAAAATCATCCGTTGAATTAAATCATATTTTTTTGTAGTTGCTGAACTTCTTCAAGTATCTTCAATAGAATTTAGTTCAGCTTTAGTTACTGAATTACAAGTAACACGTGGTGAACAAATATTTCGTGAAAGAAATTTTATGCAAGCATCCGAATGTCGTGATGCTTTTGCTAAAGCACTTTATGGAAGATTATTTAGTTGGATTGTTAATGGAATCAATTCATATTTACAACCAATACAAGAAGAAAGGTAATTGTTAAATTAGAATTTCGAATGCCATTGAGTTCAATTGTTGTACTTTACGCATAATGAAAGTCAAAAAGATATTGTGGAAAGTTTTTCTATAAATTTGTTTGGATAATTAATAGAAAAGTCAATTAGGTACATTTTGTTTAGAATAAAAGGTCATGGTCTTAGATATCATTTTTACATACCGTTAAATTTTTCGTAACCTTATATTGAGGTCAACTTTTGATCAATTATTAATTGAAAATGATACAGTATCACATCTATTAGCGAACATCGTTAGATCCGATGGAAAGATTTTTTATTTGAATTGTTATTTTTATAATGTAAACATTTCGAATCACTTTAGAATTCGATCTGTTAATTGAAAAAAAAAATAGATAGATTACAAATCATTCAATTTTATTAGAATAAATATTATCTTAGTCATTTTTATTGTTAAAAATATGGGTGGCAGTCTGAGTAGTAGATGCATGAATTAGCCCGAATGTTTCGAACACTCTCATTACAAGATTTAAATAAAATAATGATTATTCAATATTATTATTCCTCAGCGAAATATAATTATGTTCAAAAAACTAAAATTAATTAGAAGATAGTCTCAAAATAAGACTCATTTGCAACGGGAAAACCACGTACTTCGGTACTCCGGAAGTACGCGGTTTCCTATTTGCTCATATGTCCTTTTAATGATTCTGAAGTGAAATATTTATCCATATAAAATACGTGAATCAAAAATTTAAATGAAAATACCAATATTCGATTTTTATGTAACATGATTATACAATTCTCATTTCTAGTGATTCCACACAATCAATTTCAATACTTGATATATTTGGTTTCGAAAATTTTAAATCCAATAGTTTTGAACAGGTATTAAATATATAAACATGAATTTTGTTTTATCTAAATTATTCAATTTAGTTATGTATAAATTTAACTAATGAACATATGCAACGTTTTTTAAATCAACATATTTATGATTTGGAAAATTATGATTGTCAACAAGAAGGTATTGATACAGTTGATATTAATTATACCGATAATCATCTTGTCATTGAAACATTTTTAAATGTAAATATATTTCTATTGAAAATATTAAAAGATTTATTATTATTTTAATTAGAAACATTCGGGTATATTGGCTATTCTTGATGAAGAAAGTCGTTTTCCACAAGCAACAGATCAAACTTTAGCGACTAAACTTCATCATGGACCTGGAGTACAATTTCCAAGTATATATGCAGTACCAAAAGATGGTGGAACTTCATTTACTGTACGCCATTACGCAGCACCCGTTGTTTATAATATTGTTGGTTTACTTGAAAAAAATCGAGATTTTCTTCCGAATTCAATTGTTTTTGTTGCTCGAAGTAAAAACCAATAGGAATTTTAATTTAAATTCATGTGTATTTCTTCTTCTTCTAATCTTTTAGCAAGCAATAATTTTATAATTCAAGAATTATTTCGTTTAAATTTAAATGAAAAAGGTGTTTTACCATCATCACCACAATTACATCATCATCCAAATACATTTCATGTTAATCGAGATTTTAAACGAAATGAAGTATTATTAAATCATAATGGAAGACAATTTTCACCGATGCAACAACCAACAAGAACATTACCGGAAAAATCCAATGGCAATACATTTGAACGAACAGGTGGAACAGCTATGCGAACAGTAGCTTTTCATTTTAAGGTAATGAAAAAATTTTATTATATATACTTGTCACTTATTCGATAACATATTTATAATCTTTCAAAGTCAATCGTTTGAGTATAGATTATTGTATGTCAATAGATGTAATATAGTTTTTTGGGTTTTATTTAATTAAGATAAACGACAATTGAGATATATTTTTATCAAAATTAGTTCCGTGTATCATCTATACTAAAATTTCAAATTAATCGATACTTTTTATGATATAGAGAGCCTTCATTCATCTTTTTTTTCACCTTTCTACTTGAATACTCAGTACAATCTTTGGTTGAATGAATAGGCCGAGAAAAAAAATTCATTAATAGTATGACAATATACATTATTATACAAAAAAATTATTTCGTGTGAGAAAAAAAGAAATGACGACGAAGTCTATTTGTCAAAATTATGCTTGATCATATCGATTCGTTTTTCGAGACAAAATTTTTGTCTATTAAAGAGAACAATGGACCTATTGAATCAGTTCTGCGTCAATAAACAAAATAAATGAGAAAATTAAATTTTTTTTCTTTTTGATTTTTTATTTTAGCATTCATTAACAGAATTAATTGATAAAATGAATGTTTGTCAATGTCATTTTGTACGATGTATTAAACCAAATGAAAGTCGTGATAAATCAACATCTTTAACTGTTCCTTGCGTTACACGTCAATTACGTTATTCTGGTATACTTCAAATGTGTGAAATTCGAAAGAAAGGATATCCATTAAGAATGCAATTTGATGAATTTCTTGACAGGTGAGACAACACTACCTTCGTATATTTAATCATGATTATCGAGAGAACGAGTGTATATATTGTAAATGTCAATCGTAGGTATATATGTCTCCTCCTTCTACACTTCTTTTTCTTCGTCTTCTTCTTTTTAACATCAGACAATCGATGAAGCAAATGCTTGTATCGGTCTTGATTATCACCTAATAACGACAAGAAACAGACAAATGTTGAAATTGATCTACATACACGCATATACAAAATATTTTTTTTTCGTGAGTCTATGTATGTGTAACAAATAATTGTGAATACTCAGCAGGCGGGCTTTTTCGTTCCTCATAGATGAAAAAAAATAAGAAAGAGGATACATATATATTATAAACATATAAAGCCCGAAAACTGAAATAATATCGTCTGTATATGATTTAGAAACAAGTATAGTGTTTTTTATGCAAATGCGTTTTTTAATATATATATATATATATTGATGAAAAAAACGAAAGCCTTATGTCAAAAGAACTATTTCCTGTCTTTTTTTTTCTTCTTTTTTTATACATCACTGTTGATGATTGAACTCTTTTTACCTCATTATTATTCATATTTAGTTGTATCGATATGATTTATGACTTCCCTTTTTCTTTTCTTTTCATAACTTATTTCTTTCCGTTTGTTCATATATTAGATACAATGCTCTCGTTCTATGTGTATTACCAACTACTGCCAATGATCGGTCAAAAGAGTTATCATTATCATCAACAACATACAATCGTGATCGATCCGTTGAATGTTTAAAACGGGCTGGAATTGATGATTATAAAGTGAGTCAAATATAGAATTTTTCTTCTTCTGTTCTGTTTGATATAAGAGGAAAAAAAATGAAAGTATAATAGTCAATAAGACGAAAGTTCTCTTGTCATAAAAAAGTAAAAGACACTTGATCATGTACATTTATATATTTATATGCTTTCTTATTTTGTTTATTCTTTTCATTTAAGGTTGGTCGTACAAAATTATTATTTCGTTATTGGCATTCTGATCAACTTCATAATTTAGCTGTACAATATGAGAAAAAAGTTAATGTTTGTCAGAAAGGTATATATATGTATGCATACAATAGGATTGTAGATGCCATTAAATTGATAGACAACAGCAGCAATAAGAAGAGAAGAAGAAGAAAGAGAAAGAGTGATTGATAAGACCGACAGACAGACGAATAGTAGTACTGATGAATCTAATCTCATTTATGATCGATAGAAAAGAGTACACACGTTCAGTTTATATACATTCGCACAATAGATCTATGAACTCATTAAACGCCAAACAGAGAGAGAGAGAGAGCAATAGAATAGATAAGGCTAGCAAGTAAAGGGTGAAAAATGAAAACAAGATATTTTCTCTTACTCTCGTTTACACTTGCTTTGATAGAGAGAAGGTCGTCGTCGTTATTCGATCCTCAATCTCGTTTATATAGACAGTTGTTCATTAACACATTCATATTCATTTTGTTTATTATATTCGTTAGACATAGATTAATGCATATTACTTTTTTCATTCAATAAAATATAAATATATTTTCAATGGAGAAATTAAAGCGTTTAATAGAAATATTACAAAAACGAGATGATGATATTGACGAGACGACAGGTAGTATGAAAAACATTACAATAATAATCATAGATTTTTTTTCTTTTTATTACATTGAATGAGTACGTTTGTTATTAATCCAATAATAAACATTACATAAATAGAAAAGAGAAAAACTAAAGATAATTGATTTGATTCTTTTTTTGTTGCCTGTATTTTAAGAGAATAAAATCTCTAATCATTTGAACTTTATACGTTTTTTCATTGATCAACATTCTTTCTTTTCTTATTTAAAAGCAATTAAAATATAAAAAAAGAAGAAGATTCAATCTTGATTTCGTAATCTTATCGATTTCTTTTTTTTCATATATAGTCTTACGTGGTTGGTTAGCTCGACGTAAATTTGCTCGTCTTCGTGAAGTTCATCAATTACAATTAGTATTTATACGTAAATTTTGTGATGATATTGCTTTAATCGGTCAATTATATAAAACAAAAATGGATAATTATTGTCAATATGATCAAAAACGTAAAACAAAACAAAGTTCACAACAAAAAACTGAAGAAGATGATGAACAAATTGCTAAAACAATGAACTTTTTTGATTCAATACTTGATCAATATCTTAGTGATCATGATACACTTGATGAAAATAAAAGTAAAATTATTAATAAGTCTTTATATGTTCATAATATTTTGATTATATTAGGTCGACGCGCACCAAATCCAGTTCCAAATAATCCTCATGCAAAACCTCCAACTCATATTGTTGCAAATGGAACTGAACCAGTTAAACAAGAATTTGATGTAAGTTTTATATAGATAATGAAAAATTTAGGCGTATGGGTCAGTGAGGGTGAGAGCGAAAGTGTGTATGAGGGTGCACTCGAATATTCACATCCTACGTACGTATGTATACTGTCCAACATCAAAGATTTACTAGTTTTGAACCCTAAAATGAGCTTCGATGTTTTGTCCTAGCGCCAAAATTTACACTTTACAGACTTGTAGTTAATATCTATTTTGTGTGATGATAAACTTTAGACTAATATATCAACTATAACAAATGCATCTTCAACTTCATCAACATCTTCTCAAAAAATTCCTCAACGTCCAGTAGATTTACATGCTTCACATTTTCATCAATTTCAAAATATTCGTTGTCGTTTTGAACAAATGACATCAGGCGTAAATAGTTCTCCAACAAATAATGTTCGTCGTTATACATCGGAAAATAATCTTAACGATATAAGTTCATCATCTAAACAACCTTTACATCAAAAAAATCAACGTCCACCTGCTGTACAAACAACAGCAACATCAACAGAAGATTTAACAAATATTCCTGCATGGAAAAAATTATCCCCTCAAGCACGTCTTTCAGCTTTACTTGATAAAACAAATCATGCACCAGCATTAACATCAAATGGTGCAAGTGCTAGTTTAATTGATTTAACTTCAATTGATAAAGTACCAAAAAATAAACAAATTCAACCACCACCATTATCACGACCACGTTTTCGTTTTGTTCCACCATCAGATAAAAATTCCGTATTAAAAGAAGAACCTGAACCAGAACTTGAACAACATTTAACACCATCAAATCAAAATTTTGATAGTTTCGAAACAAAATCACCTTCACCAAATCGTACACCAACAAATGTTAATCAACCACCACCACCACAGCAACAACAACAACAAAAACAACAACCATCATCTTCATCATCATCAGGACCAAAACAACAAAGTAAAGTTTTTTTCTTCTTTCATCATTATAATTCATTATTCTATTTCTATATTATAGATGGTGTTATTAAACCATCTGCTATTCATCCATCTCAAATAACACGTTCAACATTATTTACACAACCAGATCTGACTATCTATAATCAAAATGGTAATAGTGCATTTAAACCACATGTATCTCAACAACCAAGTAGTCATGGTAAATCACCTACATTATCACCATCGAATCAATCAAGTGGAAATACTTTATTACGTCCTAATGCACCAACACAAAATCAAAATTCAAATCATTCAAGTGGTGCAACAAATGGTAATAATAGTCTTAATAAATCTCAACAGCCACCACCGGTGCCTAATATAAAACGAACAGAATCTGCACATAAACCAGGTGTACATGTTGGTATAACAAATCCAAATGGTTCAACATGTGGAAATCCTTTACTTCGTCAACGTCAACAAACAACAGTACCACAATTTCATCAATCTATGCTTAATTTATCATCAATAGATACATCGGAAACAACAAATGGGGTTCAAACAACAACTGCAATGTTTGGATCACGTACATCACTTTTACAAACATCGACAAATTTTGTAAAACATCCAGCTTATACTCAACAACAACAACAGCAACAACAAGCTAAACCTAATGGACATCATCATAATCATCATCACCATCATCATCATCATGCTCCACCTCCTGCTCCTCCTCCACCACCTCCTCCTCCTCAATCAACATCATCATCAGCAGCAGCAGCTCGACCTGCTCCCGCTATTCTTGAAGATCCTATTATACGATGGATTCAACAAGTTAATGATAGTAGTAGTATAAATGGTTTATCACCAGATGGAGGAGGATCCCGTAATAAACCACAAACCTATCCTTACGGTTCGTATATTGCATCAGGTTCTTCTGGTATGAATAATCAAATCATTTATTAATTCATCATGTTTATTTCTTTTAGGTCTTACACCAGCAATGAATGATACCGATCATCCAAATCGTCAACAAGCTCAACAATCTTATTTAAATCAAGTAAATGTTCATAAACATCATACACCACAGCATACCGTACCTGTTCAATCTGCTTATTTTACAACATCACCACTGTCAAGAAATGGTTTATCATCAGTATCATCTGCTAATATTTACCATTTTAGTCATCAGCATTCTCAACAAGTAAAAGATTTTGTTTTTTTTTAATAATTTCATATTATATTTATTAGATTATTTAATTTTTGTTTTTATTAGATTTCATTAACTACTGGAGGAGGAGGACAAACACGATCTCACCCACATCGTCAAAATATGACTGTAACAACTTATCTTTAAATTAAAAAGAGACAATTTATTCTTTTTTCAGGTTTATTAAACTTGCAATAGTATCTAAACTCACTATAAGGGAGCTAGAACACTATTAACAAAAGATATCTATATGTGTGTTTGGTTTGTTATTGTAAACTTTCATAAGTTGTTTAACGTCTATTTTCCTCCTATTTTCTTCTCCTGATAATTTCACTCTTATATATTCTTGTATATTTTCATAAATTCAGCTTTCAACTGTTTTTCTTTTTTTTTTGCATTGATTATATGTTTTTATTTCATTTTCTTCGTCGATATTTCAATCAAGAAAAGAACAAAAGAAAACGTTTTACTATAATATTATTAATGAAATAAATCGAAAAATTGTTGTCGATAAGCATTAGATGACATATTAATGTCATCAAAAGATTTCTAAAATAAAAGAAATATATATAAAAAAAAACCGTTTTATTTTTTATTATTCTCAATCGATAAGGCAAAGATTCATTAAGGATTTAGGAATAGATAATTACAGGTATTGTACTAAACGTTCTATTCAAAGACAAAAAAACGGAAACGAAAAATTTTCTCGGTAGATAAGATCTATTGAATATTGTAAAGAAAAAGTAATTTGCATAAACAAATTGAATGTAACTAATAAACCTATCTGTAAATATCGTACTCTGAATAGAAATGATTATATTTCTTAGTCTTAGTAAGATTGATTTAAAACCAAAAGAGCTTAAAATCAGTTTCTTTATCAAATGAAATCAACACTTGACATGTCTGATTGATTATAAACTATTGCGCGAAGAATATTTACCATTAACAACCAAAACAAGCATGATTTAATGAACTATTGACTTAAGCAAACAACATAAAGCCTTTTACTTTAGCACACACAGTCAGAATCCTGATTTCAACATGTCATGAACTGAGTACTAACCTCATCAGTATCAAGATTAAGATTATTAATATCATCAACAATCGATTGTTGATTATCGATTTGTTCAATATCATTATCATTTAAGTCTTCAACTTGTTGAATATCCGATGCAATTGAACCTTGTGGTACATTAATCATTCGTTCATTACTTGCTATTTCTTTAATAGTTGTAAATTGATTTTCGATTTGTTTTTTCGTATTATCGATTAAATTATTTTGTACTTGTGTCTAATAAAAGATAAGATAAACTTATTTTCAACAAAAAAATTTTTTTTACTAATTTTGATGGTGTTGAAAAAATTTTTTTCGTTTGATTTTGATCAGTTTTTGATGTAGGCATACGTCGTACAGGTGCAGGACGTTTAGATCGATCAATACGACATCGAATTTGATAATCTAAAGGTAATTCTTCTTCTTTATATTCCTATTATCAACGATATGTTAATAATCTATTAATATTTTTATCATAACACACTCGATCAGCAAAGAACACACGTCGAATACGACAATTTGCATGAATCTATAATATATAAAATATCTATCTCTCTATTCAATCTTTCATTATACAGTTATTCGTCGACATTCAACATAATTTGTTCCATAAACAGTTTTCGTAAATGATTCAAGATTAAGTGTTAAACGATTCCAACCTTCAATCCAATTTAATGGTGAATGAGTACCAAATGGACCTATTTTTGTTTTCGTTGCAAATGTTGAAATTTTAAAACGACGATGCATTTTTTGACTATCTAATACCTACCGAAAAAAATTCAATATTTTTCATAGGAAAAAAAATAAAAATTCTAACTTCAATTTCCATAACAAAATAACGTCGTAAATTTTTTATATATAAATTTAAATATTGCATTTTAATACCAAGTGAATTATAAGGATAACATGGACATGTTACATAAGTTGAACTAAATAATTCTAGATAATATTTTGTTTGTGTTTAATTCATTATTTTACCTAACATTACTTGAAATAAGTTCAAGTACAAGTGAATTCGTATCTTCATCTGTAATTCGTTTAATATAACCATTTGATGCTTTACATATCCAAGTTTCAAATGGTTTTGATCCATGACTTGAAAGAATAGATAAAAGACCTAATTGATATGTTTGACGAAACATGTATAGAATACTGAACAATATGAATCATCACTTATCGAGATAATTGGATTTGATATGTATATATTCTATGAAGAAAGAAATAGAAACTATTAGATTCTTGTTGTATTTCTTTCATATCAAATAGTAATTCTCTATTAAATTTGGATAGATAAAACATTATTGTTATTTACAATAAAACGAGACATGAATAATAAGCCCCTGATGATCAATGTCTCTCTATCTATTGTTTTCTATGTTTTTCAGGTGATTTTGTTTGTCGTCGCGTACTTGATGCTGTCGTCTATGGATGATGATGACTGTCTCTTTTTCTTATTCTTTGCCTTTTATGTATATATATATATACATACATATACATATAGATATTTTTTTGTGTGTTTGTCATTCAAGCTTAAAATACAATTGAGTATATAACAGAAATCAAATTTTACGCGCGTATATCATAACAACCTGTAAGTGAACTTGGTAACTAGATTTTGTTTAATACAATGTATGTTTTATTCATTTGACATTCAACAACATCATCTTATTGAGTAAGTGAGTATGTGTGTGTGTATATGTCTTTCTTCTTTTCTTTGTTACGATGTGAAGATGTGTCTATGTTGTTATCTAACCATAGTTTTCTTTTTTTATTTGCTTAATCGTCATCATAATTGATCTTCTCTTTACCATCAAGCACAAATTCTATTGTCGTCACACACACACACACACATCTATATATATATATATATAGTCCTTCTTCAGCCGATGGTTTTAATTGTATCAACGAAATTTACTCGAAGATTGTCTCGTTCTTTCTCTCTCTCTCTCTCTCTCTCGGCTCGTTGTCCGTTGAATAGGCATAGACATAAGAAGGATGGACAATGGTGCATTCTTTATTCTCGATTGATGACTCGTTAGAATATTGTGTTCTTGTCGTTCGTTCGTTCGTAATTGGAATAATAGATGAGATGGTACTAGAAAATTTTCTAATCTAAGATCCCTCTTCGTTCATTTCCAATCATCAATCTCATTATTATTGTTTCCAATTGGGAAAGAGAAAAAAAAAGTAATAAAATATATATATATATAGGTGAGATTTTTAATACAATTCCCGTTTTTTTTTGATTAATCGAGCACAACTTCATCATCTACAAATGAGACACATCATATACAAAGATTGAACTTGTTTTTGTTGTTCAATATGATAGTTGATTAAAGAAACTAATGGAGTTTATTTTGACGTATCAAAACAGCTTTAGTTTTAAGTCGGTGTAAAGGAAGAAATGGAATTCATATCTCTATATATAGAGAGATATATCTATTTTTCGCTCTTCTTGTTTCATTTCTTTCTCTTAATCCTATTCGCGACCTTCTTATTTCCGTTCCATTCATTCATTTATTCATTCTATTGACGTAGAGTGAAGAAGATCGCGCGATGGGCTGAGGTCTTTGCTAGTATTGGTCGTCGAAGCAATATATATAAGAACCGACAAATCATTCGGGCCATCAACAATTGCACGTCGCAATGTTGTTCTGAGTTAGATGACGTCTTTTCTTCTTTTTTTTTTTCTTCGTTCGCTTTGTAAAAAAAAACACGGAGAATAAGAGAATAAGTTGTGTGTGGGTGTAAAAAGGGAACGGAAAACTCAAAAAACATGTGTGGTATGAATGTAAAAAAAAAGACTCTTCTCCTTCTTCTTCTTCTTCTGCTTCCTTTACTTCGTCGAAAACATCGTACTAATATAAAGCGCTCGCAGAAAAAAGAAGAAAAAAAACATAACCGTCTTTTTGTCTTCAAAAACATTCTATTCATCAACAATAGTAGAACATTGAGATATTATCCTGTATACGACAACACGTTCATGAGAGAAGAAAAAAATCGAGAAAAAGAGAAAAAAGCTTTATTATTGTTTTCTTTTTTTTTTTTATTCATTCATTCACTCATTCATATACAAAAAAAAAAGAAAATAATCATGATCGTTCTTGCATGTGTGACAAAAGAGAAAACAGGATGTGAAAATGACAAAAAAAAATATAGAAAAGACGACGAGTACCATAGAACACCATGAGGAAACGAGAAGAAAAGTAGTTGCAGTATAAAAAAAAAATTCCTTGCGTTTTTCTTCGATATATATTCAATGTTGATCTTTTCTTCCTATTTCACCATCATTATCCACATATATTTTATATATTTATATGTGTATTGTCCATTTATATATTCATTGTCATTAGACTAAAGAGAAGAAAAAAAAAGACGCAAACTACTAATGATCGACGAACAACAACTCAAGAATAACATCTAAGATTGTGCCGATAACGATTTCATTATTCATATTGTTCGTATTCAAAAAAGACAGATAGAGAGAGGTAAGTAAACTCAATTTTTTCCTTCTTTCATAGCTACAAATAAAAAAAAAAAGAAAGAAATATTGCACCCACACACATTTATATTTGTCAAGGCTAAAAGAATGAATGCAGCTGCTGTTACTACTACGACAAATGATGTGACTGTTGTTGTTACTTTGTCCGCTTCTTTTCAATTTGTCTTGACCCGTCGTCTATAAAGAGGAAAAAAGCTTGTAATGATGATGATAATGATGATGTTCTTTAATTGAGACTATACGCTTCCTATAATATTAGTTTTTTTTTTGCTTCTTCTTTTTACAATTCTTATCATCATCGTCTTTCCCTAATCATCGATGTAATCATTCGATCGAAAAAAAGAGAAAAAAAAAAGAAAGAAAAGCATGATATAGACCATCTACGTCAGTCTTTCTAATTCGATTTTGATCAATTATTTGTTCTTTTTTGAGTCGTTAGTTCGTTGAAAGCAGACTGTGGGTGTATATCGATGGTATTGCTCGCAAAACAAAGACAGCAGGTGTGGGTATATGAGACAGTATGAGAATCACTCTCATGTTCTCGTGTTTTTTCATCCATTTTTTTTTCTTTCGATTACAAATTGACAATAAATTTTTCTTTTTTTTATATTTAGTATACGATGCAGTTCGAAGTATCTGTTGCTTTAAATTTTCTTATCGCCTATCTTTATAATAAATTACCTCGTCGGTAAGTATTTATATATATATAAAAAAAAATCTTTATATATATTATTCTTAATCCTTAATTTTAGTCGAGTAAATATGCTTGGCGAACAAATGCTCGAACATTTACGCATTAAATTTCAAGGTCATTGGTATCCAGAAAGACCAACAAAAGGTTCAGCATATCGATCAATACGGATAAGTAAAGAAAAAGTTGATAAAGTTTTGGTCAATGCTGCAATTGATGTTGGTTTGGATTTACAAGAAATACTTGATACATTACCAAATGATCTTACGATTTGGATTGATCCAGGCGAAGTATCATATCGTATCGGTGAAAAAGGACCAGGTATATTACTTTTTATCTTTCTCTCTTTCTATATAATCAATAAAATATAATTTTAGTTAAAATTTTATATGAAGATGAACGACGTTTAATACGAAAAAGTACAAATAAAGATAGTCTTAACAGTGAATCATCAAGTGATAGTGAAGAACGTGAAGGACCATTATCTCATCAAGGTAAATATTTAATATATGAAAAACATAATTTATTATTAAAATGATAATTTTCTATAGATTCTGATGTTCCTATCCGTCCGTTTAATCCCGATGCGCAAATATTTCGACCAATACCTGATAATTTTGATACAATATCTCTTCTTTCCAATTCTATAAATAGTCTTATAAGTTTATCTCCAACATCATCTAATAATACAAATTTAAATTCATCAAGTGGTTCATCATCATCAGGTCTTGGTGCAAGTACAAATCTACCATCGTGGCCATCACCCAACAATAATAATAATAATAA